AATGGAGTTTAGGGGAAATAAAAGAAAGATTTTAGGGATAATAATTTAGGGGAAATAATTTAGGGGAAATACAGAAAAAATCCATTAGGGGAAATAAATTTAGGGACAAAAGGGGGCTCCCACTGCAGCAGAAATTATAAAAAAAATTAATCAAACAACAATTCATCCTACCTATGGATTTTTAAAAAGCTTTACTTTAAAAGAAAAACTTACTTCGCTCAATGAAATCGTTATAGGAATCTATTTGATTTGAACCGTTTTGTCACTTAGTTGCAAGAATTATTTATTTAACTCCTATTTATACTATATTCGCAACACGAATAAAAAGTTTGGACTTTAATTTTATCTTTTGGTGCAAAAATTCGAAACTTAATTCAAGGTATATAATAAAAACTAAAGTAATTTTATTAGATCTACTTAAGAAAATCTCTGAAGCTCTCCTTTGTGGGGATAAAGAGAGCTTTTTATTAAACGCAAAAACAAAATTAGCACCTTTAAATTGACGGATATAAATTTTTTTAATCAGTCATGTGATGTGCGATGAACTACAAAAAAAAACGGCACACTTTTTTCAATCTCAGTCAGTCTGCGATAAGACAACTTGTTGCTAAATTTAAGTTCGCACTCCCTAAAAAAAACTAAGTACCAGATACGAAAATAGCAAGTAAGTGTGTCACAATGCAAATTACTACCGGATAATTCTGTAGAACCCTCCAGGTACATTTTCAGATTCAGATTGGGCAAGTAAGTACGACTTGCAGCACGTTCCATAAATAATAACGGCAAACCATTTATTTTTAGACCCACAGCAGACAACAGTGGGCAGCTTTTTAATGCTGCGGACCGCGAGCAGGCTTTTGCAAGATGGGGTCAATTTTTTTTTGCGACCACCAAAAAAGCCTGTGATCTTATTTTATTCAATCTAAAATAAATTACGAGACAAAAAAAACTTGAGCGTGCTGCCTTTTACAGCGCAAATGACGTGAATGTTAAGTGGCTTAAGAATGCCGGTTGTTAGTTATTCATGCCGCGGTTTCATTTATAAATACGTTTGAGTGTCCATTGCGTTGACAGATAAGACCGCATACTAAGTAAGTTAATTGCAAAAGAGTTGCAAAACAACAATCATCAGAAAACCGCGACTAATTTATTTTGTCTTAAAATGCAAATTTGGAAACGTATTGAGACTTTTGAGAGGGAACAAATGTAGAAATTCGAGAATTTTCTTCTCTACTTTATAAGTTTATTGATTGAAGAAATGAAAGTGTAGAAAACGAGAGTTTTCTTTAATTATTTGTTTAATTATTAAATAAATAAATAAACAAACGAACGAACGGATTTACAATTTTCAGTGACGGTTTGCAACTCTTTTTAATGCGTAAGAAAAAATTCAAACAAATAATTTTGCAAATAAAAATAAATAAAATCTTATAGAAAAATTTTACCAAATTTTTTGCAGCTTCTGAAATGACCAAAACTAGAAAGCCAGTTTTGAATAAAATCCAAACTTTTCAACGAGGACAAAGATTGTTTTTCGCTCTTGCATTGCAAACATACTTTTTAAGTGCTGGAACCTTTCCCAAATTTTTTTGCTGCTTTACTGTCTGGTAGGTCACATGACGGCGCTTAAGCTTATAAAAAAAGTGATGCTCGTTTAGATTAAAATCGAAAAGCACTGAGGGTTACTGCGTACATGTTAGTCAGCGAATTCAACATGTCCGAAATGACAAATTATGGGAGAGCGTTAATTTCGCGAAGGCTCGCGAGTTATCGACAAACCACTTTTTTAGCACCGACAACGTAGGTACAAAAAAAATCTGTGCGCTAGTAAAACCCAGCAGTAATAAAAAAAGAGTACCGTCGCGTTTTAGGGTATATTGTAATCACCGTGTACAAGAATTTCGCCCTTCAAGTGTAAGACGTATTGCAAGGTTGCACTACTAAACGATATGTACGAAGGTGGGGCACTTTTTTTTGTGTGCCCCACCCAGGGTCTTCGGATGAATATCTGTGGAGAGGCAAATTTACAAAAAAAAATGCCTCAGATGTGACGATCCTTAAGAAGAGAGAATCGCAGCCGCCATTGGGAATATTTAAAATCTACAGTATCACTTTGCCTCCCAGGTCAATTATTTTTACTGCTTTTTCGCGTCGCACTTTATTTTATTAAGTCCGGACCAATTTGCATGGCTTAATGAAATTAAGTGGTTTTCATTTGAATATAAATTTATCCATCGCGCATTAGCAACTGCTGGCTTGATCAATCTTCTTTAGATATCACAAACGACACTTTGCATTAGGTAATAGATTATGTGGGGATTAAAAGACGGCGAAATTATTTTTAAATATACGTATTCAATTTGGTAAAACATAATAAATTTTGAAGATGAGATAAGGAAATCATGTAATCCTAATTTGGCACGAGCCAGCAATCTGAAAAAAAATAAACCTGAAAAATCTATGATTTAATAATTCTTTTAAAATACAAAAATTGAAACAGTTCGAGAATATAATTTACTTTTGGCAGGAAAAAGACAAGCGTTCATTAAAGGTTCAACTTTTCCAACCAAAAGAGAGAGTCAGTTTGATATTTTCATAGAAGAATTGCCAACCTAATTAACCATCCTTCGTTCTTTTGGCGGGAAATGGAGCACTTGAAAAATTCCAGATATTAAAAAATTATTACTGGAAGAGAAAACTTTCTACTTATGTGGTAAATGCAAATTTTAATGACTTCCAGGAATGATAAAATTCAAAAGTCAACTCAAATGGACGACATTTGAAAATAATAATAAACATTATGGATATTAAAAATTATAATTTACATTGGATCTTAACTTTTTATTTTCGCTGTTATTATTCATATAATATAATTAATCCAAGCATAAATGAATCGTCCTTCTTCTTTTACAAAAGCTACCCCATTCATTTTTATCTTTGATATTAAAAGGCGCTTTGCGACTCTTTCGCATCGCGCTTCCATTATGATTATGATAGTAATAAAATATTCAAAACTGCTTTTGAGACGTTTTCGGAGATAATAGTTGGCGGCTTCTGTGAGGACGAGCAAGTTTGGTTTGGCAACGGCTCCATCACTCAACGCGAGTGAGGCGTAATTTGTGCTGAAGATAGACTCACCGTACCAATTTTTTTTCCTACCGGGCTTTTTGCATTGCACAGATGTGTTTATTAAAAGCGCGCGGCGCCGCGGTTCCTTTTAATGTGAATTTTAATAAAAAGCAACGATTATTCTTCATTAGCACTTACTCCATCGCGCATTAAATATTCGTTCGTTTCACCAGGGCGGCGCACGCGAGTCGCACCGACTCTATACATTCACAAAAATTAATTTTCCTAAGTGATTTTTCGTGTCCACTTTTGCGTAAGCGTGCTGGAAAAAGCTGTGCCTGTTGCGACCGGTTCAACACTTTCGTCTTTAATTGTGACAAATAAAAAAATTACATAAAAAAATTAGGCTCTTTGCACACACAATCTTTTCGGCAGTGTGAATGACAAGATTCATTATTATTCCTTGATAGATCTGATTGCAAGAATGGTGAGAAATGTATTGTTATAAAATACGACCTTTCACCTAAACAAAATCCAAGTTTAAATCGTTTTGAACAAAACAATAAAAGTTGTAAAGATGGTAATTTTTCACAATCAAAATTTCAACATCTTTTAAAATTAATTTAAAATATATTAGACTGAAAATTATGGAAAATGTTAGAAAATAGACATAAAAATTTGATTTATGAAAAATTCCAAAAATTCAACAATTCCCTTTATTGAGAACCAAAAGAAAGATGAATTTTGGATCAAGATAAACCGAAAGGACTTTTATTCCTTAACCAGACTTTAAACTTTTAACACTTTTATCTCGCCGTTTCAAATGAAAGGTTAAATAAAATTTTACGAGTCTGAACTGCCCACTGGACATTGTGTTCGCCGCGTTTAAGTCCTCACATATCAAGAATTAGCAGTGAGGTAACAAGAGCATTGGGCGAAGTTGACCAATTATACTTTTGGCTCACAGTGTTAAACGCCGAGGAGGTGAATTCAATTTTGACGCTCGGCGACCACTTGGCACCTCCGGAGAGCTGCAAACGTTTCAGCCGCGCATATCGTTAAAACGCATTTTAAATAAATAAAAAAAAAAAGGAAAGAAAATCTACACGCTAATGATAAATGAACCAACAAACAAGCAGTTTTTGTTTGTTTGTTTGTTAGTCGCGCCCGTGTTCGGGAAACGTGACTTAATGTGAAGAAATTAATATTTACAGGTGAGAAGAGTTTCTCAGAGATGCTCAATTAACTGGAGCGGAATTTCTCTCTGATTTTACCAGACGGTGGAGAATTTCGATATTGATACCGGCCGAGTAATAAAGTGTGCAAACTATGAGAAGTGTCACAGAAGCTTGAGAATTTCGCCTTTAATTATGAATAAAAAAAGTGAGCCTGTAACCGGAAGATAAAAGTAACGGGGCTGTAACCCTTAATTTGATCTAAACTAAAGCCGATCCGCAAATCAAGTATTTAAATTCTCGTCAAAAAACTATAAATATGATGAATAAATAAACAAACAAAACACAATTTAATTTTCCATTAAAATTATCATCAAGATATAGTAAAAAATTTCATATTTTTAAAGTAAAATAAAAATGTTATATAATTGCATATTTAAAATTCAATTCAAATATAATTAAAAAATTATACAATTCAATGTTTTAATTCCACAATAAAATTAAAAAAAAAAACCAAGATAAAATAAATAAACAAACTCTACAAAATTTAATTTTTGCATTAAAATTATCATCAAGTTATAGTAAAAAATTTAATATTTTCAAAGTAAAATAAAAAAGTTATATAATTGCATATTTAAAATTTAAATCAAATATAATTAAAAATTTCGCCAATTTAATGTTTTCATTTTACAATTTATATTTAAAAAAAAGTTTCGGCAAAAAAGAAACATAGACAAAAGTGTTTCAAGTACTCACCTCTGAGACACTTGTTGCAACCGAACTGAGACCAGGCGACATGACCCTGTCGGCCTGCTGAGGTGCACAATTGGGGGCCACCGTCGAAGTTCTCCTAGAGTGGGCCACAGCCACCGCTGGGGCCGAGCTGGCGGCCAACCTCTTGGCGCGGGTCGTCCTGGCGGGAGGGGTGCCGCCGCTGTCCAGTGAGCCGCCGCCTTGAAACGACTCGCTCAGGTACTGCCGCACCTGGCTCTTCTGCTTCTGAATGACGTGGTACCTGGTCGGATTCTCCAGCACCGTCCTCACCTGGGAACAAATCACACGCCGCCATGCCCCAATTAGTGCTCCGTGTCGAAACTTGATGAATAAATAACACATGTGCGCGGCATTATTTGCCGAGATGGAATACAAATGAATGGGTTTCCTATGAAATTATTTACACTTTAATCAAAGGGAAAAAATACTCGTCGAATTTTTCACTTTAATCCCGGAGTGGAGTTGATTTTTAAAAATTACACACGATTGAATTCGTGATTCCATAAGGATTAAAATCTTAAATTTTTACTCAAGGAATTAATTAACCTTGGGCACACCTGGAAATTCACCGGGTCAAATATTGACACTATTCTTTGTGTTGCCGCCCCTTTTTTAGCATTTTACACTGAATTAATTATGTTTCCTTTTTTGGATTGAGAATGAATAATTTTACGACATGCAAATTATCGGTAAACAGACAAAAAATCCCACTATTTTTCTCACAAAAGGTAAAATAATTACTATTTTTCACATCGTAATTTGTCAGAGACTCCTGCGAGTGATGGTTTACTAAAGCCGTGTTTATGCAACCTGCTGGACATGCCACGCTGAATTTATCACGAGGATTTTTTCATTACTTTTTTCGCCGCTTTTTCTTTTCTGATATTATCTTTCTGATTAAACGATTTTTCTAGGAATTTTATTAAATTCTAATAGGCAAAAAACTTATCGCTCCTCTCAATTCGCTCAAGATTTATGCGCTACTCTAGGTAATAAAATTATCACGGGGCCATTAATTCTGCGCTGGGCATTGTCAGCTGAGCGTCTCACTGGCAAATAAAAAATGTTCATACCCCACCGCGTTTTGGCCCTGGCGCTTCAGCACTCCCATCGCGCGACTGAAAATGCAAATACTAAATCTTTTTTCTTTCATAATTGAAAAAAAGGAAATATTCTTCAATTTAAAAATAATTAGAAAACCCAAAATGAGTTTTATTTTATTTATAAAATATTTTTTATTCTAATCCTCTAATATTCTATAATGTGTAAAATGATTAATTTTTATCATTAAATAACTATTTCATATTTTGAAAATGTATATATTTATATTTTGCTCAAAACTTTCATGAAGATAATATATAATTTTTTAATTTTTTTAAATGTTTATTTATTATTATTTTATTCTTCTCAGTCGATTCTCAGTCGATTATGTTCGAGAATTGTGCAGTTTTAATCATAGTTAATTGCTAAGCAATAAGGAGTTCAAATTCATTTTGCGGAAAAATTCATAACTGTAATAATAACGCTTGGAGTCCCATTTTTTTATCAAGATATTTAATTAGTTGTTTTCCATAATATATCCAAATAAAAAATTTCTAAAGTAGGTCTATAAATTCATTAAATTTTTCGCCGTCTTGGAAAAGAAATTTTGATTTATAAATAGTGGCGTTAACAGGATAGAGTATCGAATTTAACGTCCCGCTGACCACCCATGGAAAGTATAATTCATGGCAAACCCTTGTGTTTGGGCAGAGCAATCTTTTGTTACTATTTTGATAGCTCATTAAGAAAGGTTATTTTTGTCAACAACTACTTAATATGCGCAGATGATTATCACGGGTTGACAATCAACACAGTTTAAAAAGTGGAAATAAGACTAAAAAAAAAAGAATCCAGTAGTTTAGTTTGGCGATTTTTAGCAAAAAAAAAAGGTGTGGCATTCCGCAGCAGAAAAAGTATTTCGAGTTTGTAATTGTGTTAAAGGCTTACAAAGGGCGTGCGTTGTAAAAAAAAAAAAGCGAACTGCGTATAATGTATCATTGAAGAATACAATCCCTGAAGAAGCGAATAAAACTCTCCGGTGGCTTTGAAAAGAGCGATTTTATCGAATGAGATCTGCGGCTAATTAGTTTTGAAATGGCATTGCCAGGTGAAGAATTCAGAAGCAGTTTTGAAAGGAATTCTTCACCGCACAAAGGTTTTATCTCCGCATCGAAATCTTTCAGGACGTTTTGTTAAAATTAATGGCTAGCAATAATATTTGAATACAATAGTTGTATGGGCGTGTTCAACTAGAAAGAGTATAAAGAGATGAGAATTGAAAGGAACTTATTTATTTTTACTCGTGTTTGGCTTCGACAAATTGAGATTGATTACGGCAACTTTGTTTGTAACGCGAATAAGTATTTTCATTCATAAACATCTTCACTATAAATATATGTACAGCTGAATTGATTTAAAAAATCACACAACAAACGCGCAGGTAGGTGAATGTAAATATTTAAACGATCTTTTATTCAGATTGAAGTGAAAAAATTGTAATAATTTTCTACTATAAAAAAAAGCAAAACATCTTTACGATTAATTTTGCTTTCACTATTTGCTTGAAATGCTAAATAAATATATATTTTTTTTTTAATCAACCTAGAGTCAAGTTTTGAGACGCAATTAGTTGGATTATCAAGCAAATAAATAAGTTGGCTTTTTCCTTGAACTTTTAAATCTTTTAAATGGACCCAGACATTTTAAAATATGGCCTCTTATTTGATAAGAAATGGAGTGGAGAATGAGTCGATTCTTAACTTGGACTTTTCACGTTCTGATCATGGTCCATTGGACAAATTACCTATAAGTAGGCTAATAATTATATTGACACCTTATATCGATAAAACTTAGCCAGTGACTTAAGTGTTTTTAGCACTATTGTTTGCATCAGTGCCTAATCTGAGTTGGCTCCTATCTAAATTGCAAAGGCGGAATAAAGAGCAAAACAAACCACACCAGCACCAATTTTTTTCTTTCCCTTTAATTTTGGTCGCTTCGAAAAAAAACCGATTGCTGAATTATATGTGGACTGGTTTTCATCAGCAAAAAAAAAATTATTTTTCGTTTCGGCTATTAACAGTGCGTGCAAAGTGACACTTCCGATAAGTGAATTTAATATCTTTTAGTGCCATATACTGCTCCGTTCTATGTTCAATAAATTGAGAACTGCGGAGCTCCGACTCGATTGCTTTTAGAGAAGCAGCATTTATCTACAAAGAGAATTAACCGAAGCAGTTTTTGACGACGCAATGTTTTTTGTTGAAGGCACTCACCGGTAATGATTTTTTTATTTATTGATTTGGAAAGAGCGCAATATTTCATGACTGACTGACGTCAGAATCAAGATAAAAAAAACCTAATTGCAAGACTTGAATTCGAGACAGGACCAAAATCTTCCGAACATTGAAAGAAGTGTTGAGATATATTTTGACACGTCGGCGCCGGCATAATGGGTCCGGTGGTACAACTCTTGATTGGCTGTCAACACCAGGAGCAAACTTCAAATCTTTGCAAGAAGACTGTCGTGTCTAACAGAATTTCTGTACGAGACCTCACTGGTGCCAAGGAGTATCAATAAAAAGTGATTTAGCAACCGAAGCAGATCTCATAGTTCAAATGCTTTTGGCGGGAAAAGGTGAAACTTTGAATAACCCTTTCTTATTCCTCAGGAAAGCAAATTTTTCGATTACGATCTTTCATTCAGTGATTGAATTATATTAATTTTTTAATTCAAAAGTGCAAATCATTAACGGAGAAGCCCTTTAAATTAATACCAAACTAAAGTTGAATTGTCCATGAAAAAATAAATGATTTCGTTTGAATCCAGCAAAAAATTTCTCTCAGATTACAAAATAGGAAAAATGTTTGATAAAACCAGGCTAGAACTTGTTAGGAAGGCTGATTTAGGCTTAACTGACTTTTTTTTTGCTCTTTTCAATTCACTTGATATGTTGATTTAAAAATGCTTCTTCGGTCGACTATTTGCGATTAATCATGTTCCAAATTCCGATTGGGTAATAAAAAAAATTGTGTTTGCGGCTTATATGAATGAATATAAACAAATACAAATAAGATTTAAAAATGTTCTATTACAAATTATTTGGTCAATAAATAATTTAAATTTATTTTCAAACTTATTTTTATATTTTGAAGAAAGACCCATTCATTTTAGTCATCACATCAAGCATGTTTTAATCTAAATAAAATAAAAAAAAATTTCAATTTAAGAAAAAAAAATGGTTTAGAAAGCTACGATTTCCTAATGGAAATGATGTAATGACCTCTACAAATAATAGTTGCTTTACCTGGAGGACTTGAGCTGGGAGTTCGACAGGGGTCGCCGCGAAGGGGGCGGGCAGGGGTGTGTTGATGGGGGCTGCTGGGGTGACGGCGGCGGCCACCACGCTGCCCGGCTTCCGAACGGCCTCTTTTCTGTCCTGCTCCTGCAACTGCTCGCGCATCAACTGCTGCTTCAGCTGCGTCCTCGAGGTCGTGGTGCTCGTCTTGAAGGTCGGCGGGCTGCAACCAAACCGAATTTGTTCGTCAAAAATAATGTTACAAGCCTTTTCGTTTACAATGCTGCAGTGTCAGGGAGGAGAGAACAGGTTCTACCATAAAAAATCAAAATAAAGATGAAGATAGGTGGCTTAGCATGCGGTGCATAGATTTGTTTTCTATTGAAGAAAAGAAGAGAGGCGCAAAAGCAGTGCACCAAATTTAGAATTTTTCAACCATATTTTATTATTTTTCTAATTTTCAATTCCTTATTTTATAAAATTAATGTAACAATTAAGCAATACACTTGTATTATAATTATTTTGAAATTAAATATTGATAATTTTACTGTGTAAATAAATTAAATATTCAATCTTTGTAAAATAGAAGTCGAGAAATGAATTTTTATTTTCGTCTTTACTTGTTGCGTAACATTTTGAAACTTTTTATAAATACTTTAAAGAAATGTGAAAATTAATCGATTTGTTTATATTAAAATTCACAAAATTACATACAAATTAAGTACAAATGAAGACAACGCTTCATCATTTATGCTTATTTTAATTCATTACTTTATTTATTAGTCATAGTTCATAATTGTTTTTAAAATTGTTTGGTTGTGAAGATTTTAGATTTTTTTTTTATTCTTTATAATATTTATTCTTTTTTAATTTTTGTTGAAATGTAAATTGATTATATAATTATAAAGCAAATCGTAGAGATAAATTATTGCTATCCCTTTTACAAAAATGTAATTATTTTATAAAATGCTGAAAAAAGTATTTTACCTGAGCAAACCTGGTGCGCAAACTAAAAGATATTTTTAACAAAATTTAGAAAAAAAACAAGCAGATAACTTTATCTCATTTTTCTTCCGTTATATAAGTAAAAGCTTTTAGACGCCTCTCTTCCTAAAAAAAGTCTCCAGCCGAGCTTCGAATGCTGATAGGATTATAAAGGCGTGTGTTTGTGTTTGGGCTGCAAGGGCCTTGGATTGGAAGAAAAATGTCATTAGTATACGGTGAGAAATGCCAATAAATTTTAGTGAGCGACTCCGGTGCTTCTGAACTGTCAGTGCTGAGAGAGGAAAAAAAACAACCTGGTGCATTTTTACTATTATATAACCCAGACGGTCTCATTTTAACAGATCAGAGAGAGTAAAAAATAATACTAAATATTTAATATTACTATTCTCCTGTAGGCAGTAAAAAAAACTAAAAAGAAAAGCTGGGCCGAAATGGTAAGCAATTAAAAATGACACCAAAGGGAATATTTCATGGGCTTGATTAACTAAATGGAAGGGTACTGAGAGTGATTTAAACCGCTTCTGGTCAGGGTACTACTTATCATATTGCTAGCAACATTTTAATTTTTTTGTTGCTTGTGACCCTCATCTTGAAAAACTGGCTAGCATACCACTTGTGAAAAAATTACAAAATTTGTATTATAATTTCTACTAATTTGTGGATTAAACTTATTACATGCAAATTCCAGTAATTTAATTTATAGAAATTGTGTTTAATTAAAATATGGAAATCGCAAAATTTCTCAGTTAAAAAATGTCAAGGTGATCGTCGGCCTTAATTAAGCAAGCGGAATTCCTCCTTAGCTTCTTTTTCTTGGCCCGCGCTAAAACTTGTGTGAGTGTCAATCGGATCGATTATATTATAGTGGTTTTTCTCGTGACTCCTTTTCAATGAGAGTTCGAAGTGACGCTATCTCGTAAGAAAGAAGACCATGAGCGTGTCCTCATTGAAGAAATTTCGTTCATTCAACATACAAACGGCTCTTCCAGTCATGAAAATTACTTAAATATGTATAATGTAATTAAATTTTTTTCCAAAAATAATACAACTGAACAAAAAAAGCCAAATTTGTTCAATTTCTATAATATTTTGTCATTTCGTTACATAATACTGTTGTTTTATACATTATTTTAATGCAATCATACTAAATTTGACAAAAATATGATGTTCAAATTATTCACTCATCAAAACAGGCCACAAATTTTCATTGATCGAACGCTTTTTAAATTATAAATTAAATCAATGATATTTTCAAACCAGTTGTTTGAATATTTGAAAAGTTGTATTCTGCAATAAAAAGACATGGTGAATCTTTCGGCTATCTCAAGCTATCTATGCTGCATTTGTTAAGGAGGAAAGATTCTTTACAATTTAACCTTTCACCGGGGTCCTTTGACCTACAAACTAGGTCACCATTAAGTAAATTAATTACATTACATAATCTCATTATTTTGGCATATATATTTTAGTAAAACCTAATGCATTTTAGAATTCGAAAACAAAAAATATGAAGGATTTTCATTTTTCGGCAGCTCCAGAACCAAAATATGAACTATCATTATTATTTTCGTTTCCACAAATAACCCTGAATTTTCTTGTCCATCAAAATGATCCTGATTATAAACTGTTAGTTTTTGTTAAGAATTTTCCTTGCTCTTAATTTAAGATTTTATGTGACCAATGGTAATGCAAAATTTGCTGTGTTCCTCTTGCTTGCAAATTAAGGTCGCGGTACCAGACGGAAACTGGCAGAGCCGTTTGTTTTTTGAATAAATGGCAATTTCTTCAAGGAGGACAAGCGTGTTTTTTTTTCGACTGCAGGACCGACCAAAGTTAAAAGTCCAATCCAGACATCTGATTGGTCCGAAGGCAACCTTTCGTCGGCCAACAACGACATTTCACTTTAGGAGCGGGATAAACTATTACACCTTAATTGGATTGCCGCGCCGCCCAATGCTACTTTTTTTTGCACGCACAAGACGAGATCGCACGGCGAGAAACTTTCGCGCAATCCGGGTTGAAGCAAAAAACGCAGTCACGAGGGTGCCGGGCGAAAAACGACATTCCACCGTTTTCGAAACGCAGACAGTGCCATCAAAAGAGCGACGAGGCCTTGGATTTTATTGAAAAACACTTTTTCGGTATGGTTTTTTTCCAGATTTTTTTTACGTACAAGTCACAAGATTGACATTTTTTATGAGTGTATGAAAAATTAAGTGCGAAACTTTGTTGTTCGATCAGTTACATAACGTCTTGAGAGATACTCTCAAGGAGAAAAGAAAATAATGTGAATCAGAAACAATTTTTTAAAAAGTTTAAGTTTAATTTCAAAAATTCATTTTAAAATTTACAAAATTTCATGCTGCAAAATTTGAGCTCAATTTTATGTAATTCTTTACAAATTGACAAATAAAGTAGTTCGTGCACTAAAAGCAAAATAAAAAAGTAAACAATTTTCACCGTGCCTGTTATATAAGCGTTAAGAGATTTGTTGGCGAAGTGCCTTTGCCATTACTCCACTCATTTTGATTACTGTAAATGCATTGAAACTCAATCAATTCTAATAAAATTATAATATTATGTTATACACAGTGGATTAGAAGTAGTCTGCGCAATGGAGATCATAAATGTAAATCTATCACAATCGATAAATAAATAAACTTAAAAATGATTCTTCAGGGTAAATAAACTAAACATTAAAATTGTTACTACATTCTGAACTCCATAAATAATATTGAAATACTAAATTATTGATACGCGCTACGTCAATTAGATAAGATTTTTATTTTAATTATGTGATTAATCTATCTAAATCTTCGCAATTAATTCATTAAATACTAATAAACAATTTTATAATATATGTAGTTAATTTAAATTGTTATGAAAAAGGAAAGAATTCTTTCTCCAAAAAAAATCAAATTTTTTTGTGAAGTTAAATTAATTGTAAATACTGAGTATTCTTTTTTGATATTTTTATTATTAAAAACTAAAAAATTAGATTACATGAAATTTTTCAACATATTTAATTAAAACCAGATTGCATTTTATTTTCTTTGCTAATATAATCACCACAAAAAACTAATCTTCTTTTATTTTTCTGGTACAAAAAACTGGGCAAAATTAATGGTTCAGATCAAAGGTCAACTCAGCAGCATCATTATTTATTTCATTCCAAAGTTTAATTATTTCTCTCTCATTCCTCTGAATTTGGAATTTTCCAGCAACGACGAAAGTGTGTGGAATGTTGCGACAGTTACTTTTGCTTTCGAAAGGCGGTGATTTTTTTTTGCAAAAAGTGCATTATCATGTCGTGACTGGCCGGCGCTACCGAGATAACTCGCACGCGACGACTTGTTCCACATGAACCGGCCCCATTCTGTGAATAAAAGTTACGCAGGCACAATTTTTTACTATACAAAAGAAAACAAGCAGTGCAAATTTCTGCTACGGCAATAGCACGGCGAATTAGAAATCACGTAACACAATTAATTTTAATAACATATTCAATTTCAAAAGTGCTCGAAATTAAAAAGAAGAGATAAACAGGACGGACGTTTTGTTTAAACATTTTTTTTTCTTATACATTTACTTAGAAATAAGATGAGGTTATCGCGATCACCTTTTAAAAAGTCATGATTCGTAAATTTCATAAAAGAGTCTCGTTTAATCTCGGTCGAATCTCATTGTCGGACTGACAAGTTTTTGCCCACGTCCACCTTGAGAAGCGGCGAGACGTCTGGCTGAGACCTTTTTCCGGACGCTGTTTTTTTTGTGCGCTTTTTTTTGGCAAGCACCCGTATGATCATATAGTAATAACCAGGAGCGATTGTAATAAATAAATCCCACAAAAGGAGCGGTCGTAAATCTCTGCGTAAGTAACCTTCGAAGAGCACACAAAGGTTCAAGTGCACGTATGTAATTATTTTTTACGCACGGAGGTTCATTATAATTTTTTTTCCGCTTCTAAATACAGGTTGGGAAAATTAGCGAGAGAGTTGTGCTAAAAAAAAAAATTAAAAAAACTCACAGGAATTTTTTAAGGACTTTCACCCTGAGCGGTCGGCCGCGCGCCCCACAGGACGCCTGGGCCGGCGCGAGGCAACACAAGAGCGGCTTGTCCGAGTCCTGCACGTTCACCAACACCAACTGCACCATCACTGAATTACGACTGCGCTGCCGGTCGGGTGCATCGCGCTATCAGCAGCGACAACTGACGAGCCAAGCTTGCTCGTCCGAGCACGACTCACTTATCAATGCACCCAGCGAGAAAAAATATGCCACACATATATAGACTGATAACGAGCCGACCATATTTTGAATATCTCCGACGCGCTTATCCAGCGTCGAAAACAAAGTCTAGAATTTATACAAATTCAATGGACATGTTTTGATGGATTGTTTTTCTCCGACAGTGATTTCCTTAATTGATATAACTCGCGACGTTTTTGTGTTTATTCATCACACCCATTGGAGTGAGAATGTGATTTCGCTCGCGGCTACAGACCCTAATAAATCTTCAGATTTTTTCTATGAGGTTAATAGCTTGCTTTTCGGTTATCAGATCGGTGTCCGCAGTTGCCGGACATCTCAATTATGAAATTACCTTTTTTTACTGCGCGTCGTCCAATATAAATCTTATTTTTCGTCGTGAGAAACCGATTTGAGTGTATATTGGTGACACCCAAAATAAACAACTCGATTTTCCTTATCTTTTAAATAGGAATTAGATTTTCATTGGAGAAGTTTCTGTTTAAACAAATTGCACCCTGTGTGCTCAAGGATAAAACTTGTCCCCTCATTTACAAAACCGAGTAAATGTTCAGAGGAGAAATTGAATGAATTTCTTGAAATCTCTCCTTATATTTTAATTATTGAATTAATAAAAATTTAATTTAATCAAAAATGTTTTATATATTTTCAATGTTTAGCAAACTTCATTGTTAAAAAAAAATATAGAAAGTTTTATAACAAAAATAAATAGCAAATGATTTTTTATATTATTTATTTTATTAAAAAAGTATAAATTTTTTTAATTTTTAGTAATTTTTTGTATAATTCCGTGTTAATTATTTTCAAATTAAAATTCTCTGACGAAAAAAAAAATATCAAAAATTCTCATTAGAAACTTTTACCAACAAAACCACATTATATAAATTTAGTTTCTTTTTGTACTTTATATTTTAATATTTAGTTACCGTTTTTTTTAAATTCAGGTGCGATGATAAAATTTAAATTTTCGCAGAATTAAATAAAAATCTAAACATGCACTAAAAAAATTAAATTCGCAATTTTAATCTTTCACTGAAATCCACATATTTCGGTACGATTCTTTTAAAGTTCTACTTCATATCTGATTCTCCACTCTTTCCATATAAATAGCAAAAAAAAGGTGAGCTGTCAGACACCTGAAACATTTTAATATATTTTTTTTTACAATGTGCGTCGCAGGCAGGGTGATAGATAGAGTGACTGCCATTCTCGGCGCCACGCATACACGCACTTCTTCTTCTTAAGAAGTCTTCGCATTTCATCACCGCGACGCTTCTTGTTCGTCTTCGGCGGAAAACAACTCGATCGCCTTCGTGTATAATTGAACACGCCAGTTCTGTTTCGCTCTGAGAACGCGGCGGCAAAAAAGTGACGGCGCCGCGACGTGGAAAAAAAACCGCGATATCTTTTTTCAACTCGAGCGGAGAATGGCGAGCCTATTCAGATGCCCTATCAATGTCAATCATGTCCAATTAAGCGTCTATTTTCAAATGGTCTCGGTGACAAAGCTGCGCGGTCTCGATGAACGGCGCCCACTTAATATCATTCAATATACAAAAGTTCCGCAACAAAGAAACGCAGAGACCGAGGGGCGGATCTGACTGTGGGAAACGCAATTGATTACTTCGATAAAATGAAATTGGCTGCTTTTTGAGTCGAGGCAAAGTGAGGTAGTAAAAAATATGTTTTAATTAAACATTTAACCTTTTTTAAGACCTGAAAATCGCTTTTCCTTATCAATAAGTAGGCGGTTTTTAATTTAGGCAAGGAAGGCCTCATATTTATCCTTTTTTTCATCTAGCCAAGATTTAATCGCAATTCAAGCATGAAATGATTATAATCCGGTTTATTTCGACCCGATAAAGAGTTAATCTTTTACAGTAATGAACTATAAAAAGCAATAAATCAAAACAAGACACCCAAAAGCAGATTATCTCGAAAATTGAACAAGCTGGGAATCATTTCAGTGCCCCTGTCGGGTAGGCAAATTGTTTGGCAAGAAAAAATTTAAATTCTTCGATGCCATTGTCGATTGCGACGAAAGCAGCAGGTGTGCTGAAGAAGATTAGAAGAAACGTGCAGTGTTCAATATCTGTTGATAAAGGAAACGCGATATCAACAAGAGGGAACTCGACATGAGGATTTTGATAGACATTCAAAATTTATAAAAAGAAATCTAATCAATGGGGGAAAACCCCGTTTAACAATTGCTACAAAAATCACTAAATTTGGTTGAAACTTCAATGATTCTGGTAATTATTTCCCATAAAGAAGATGGAGAAGAGCACGCTGATGCGCAGAAAATTGGAAACCACTTCGTATTTATAATTTTTTGAAACTTTGGTTTAGAAGAATTTCGAGTTGTTTTTGGTTGTTTTAGTAGTGAATGTACTTAATTAATGGATTTATTTTAATTTATTATATTAATATATTTGTTAATTTTCAATCAAATATAAAATAAACCATAGCATGATTAATTTATTTATTTAATTTCATAGATTAAAAAAAATTCTTAATGTTTTCCATGAATAAACTAGAGTTTTAATCATTTCGGCAGATATATTATTCTATTTCCTGAAGTAAGAATTATTATATAATTTTTTTTTTATAATTTCAGAGCAATAACAAGAAAATTAAGATATAATTCAACAGATTATAAGAAAGTCTGTTTCAAGTTTGTATCTGGTTTGTAAAGTAGTTTCATCAGATTTTCGTAAGACCGGTAATAGCTGAACATTTTATACAAAAAAGTATTCAAGAATTCCTGGTTGACAATAAATTTCTTTAAAGCGGCCAAACTTGTTTCTTTTGATAACTTAATTGACACGATTGTGGTAAACAAGAGTTTTGAATTGCCTACCAGTTTAAATTTTTTTCTTTCCTCCTAAAAGAGCACGGAATTTTCAGCAAATTGGACACACGCGCGACTTATTTGAATATTAACTCGCGTGTATACGCTTTTAATTACTGCCTTTAGCCGTATAATGGATTGCTGCTCAGTGAGGACAATTGTTTAATTGCCACCCGAATCTAGCGCAAAAACCGAGAGGCCGCCATCAATTGCGGCAATTATTCAAACACATAACAATTTAATTGCTACCCAGGGAAAAGTCGCCAATTAAACTGCTTTGGCAATAAATAACCGTCGGCGCGTTTGTTTCTGCCAAGGATCAAAAACTCGATCGGGGCCCAACTCGCAGATCGAGAAAATAAAAATAAAAGAAAGCCAGAGAAAACCTCCATCACGAGAAACACGTTAAAATAAAAAGGACGCTGTAGAAAAAAATGCCTCTGTCCACAATCACATGACTGTCTGAATATGTTCAGCAATTTTTTCTGATGAGCCTTGAAGTAGCCTTCTTTTTAAACAAGGGCCGCCCATTTTTTTTAAACTGTGCTTAAAAAAAGTGTGACGGAGAGGCACATCTTACGCCTTAAATTAGCCACCGTAGTTAACTTTTATTAGACATATTTTAGCCTGATTAATCACTCTCACGTCAAACAGGTCCCTATGATGGCCAATTTCAATAAAATGGCCTCAGTAATTAAATTTTATGAATACTCGAGAAATTTCGCGAGCATAAAGTGCAAAAAAAAATAAAGATCGGTCGTCCGAGTTCGACGGCGCGCGCACCGTCATCTCTACTCTTGGCTGCCGACCAAAATTATAAACGGACGAAGGTTAACACCAGAGCGATCTTTCAACCGACAATAAACTCTCTTCACTTGTAGATGAATCTTATATATAAAGATAATAACAAAGAAACGAAAAATAAACAAAATCGTGCTTTTTTTTCACTATTCAATTTGCGTCCTTGGAGGTTGGCGTGGAATTCTTAATAAATTTGATATCTGTTTTGAAACAAAAAGCGTAGTAGATTCGGCGTGCCAGCCGTTGGTTTTGGCATCAAACCGACTTTGTATACATATTCAAGAGGTCTCGTCCATTATTCTGCGAAAAGGCGTTATTTTTATTTTATTTTAGTTCGGACGTCTGGAGACATGTACACCTCGAAAAAAGTAATTCCGTCGCTTAACATCAACACGGATCAGGTTAATAAACGACGAAATTACCTGCGTGTTGTCATTGCAAATAAGCCTCCTTAGCGCGCGCCTGATTTAATGATCGGGATTTTTTTTACAAGTAAATTAGAATTTCAAATGTGCTGCTCTATTTATTCTGTCTGGCGCGACAAAAAAAAGGTCAACAAATTCAACAGTTACCCGGTAGGAGAGGGGGTGAAGGGGGTGGCGCTGACCTCGACCCCGCTCTGCAGCAACTCAGGGTCCATGTTGTCGAGGATGACCTTGAGGTCTTCGTCGATGCCGTGGTGGCTGCGTTTCTGCGCCCGCTGCACGACGGCCGGCGCGGCGGGCTTCGAGGCGGCCCTCGAAGGCCAATTTTTGTCCATCTGCTGGATTATCATGTCGAACTCGCACAGTTGCGCCTCGGTGCGCGGGTCGATCTGCCAAAGGAGGGGAGGGGCACGTCAGGTACACTGCTGCGGTTTTCCTTTTCAAAATATTATGCACTCGTTATTATTCCGAGCGAGTGCTTTGCCATTAAAAACCTTCCATGAAAGTTATTTTTGCGCACTTTTTGGCGCACACAAGTGTGCCATGCTCGCCAGCCAAGATTCGTATCAGCGAAATTTCGGGTTAATCTTCCGATCGAAATTGCATATATAATAAATCTCTGGCGAATTTTGGAGGTGCCTCCGGTCTAGGGATATATTTAATACGGAATTACCATTGTGTGATTTACTCCCGTTGAAAAACTAGCGCGCAAATTGCTCCATAAAATTTTATGAGCATTTCAGTGGCTCACACCGACTACTAAATTGCTAGGTGGAAAGAAACTTATGGTTGTTTGTCCCTAATACATAATAATAATTTAATGCTTAATATATTGAGATTTGAATGCAGGAACAAAAAAAAATAAAGATTTCAATTTTATTTTTTGTAAAAAATAATTAAAAATAATTGAATTGGTACGATTCATTAGATGATTTTGTAGTTTTTTTTTAAAGAATTCTTGAATTAACAAAATTTGGGCTCAAATTTTTCAGTCCTGCGAGCTCTTCATTATTGTTGTTCTTTCCCCCAAATATTTCATTAAATTTTAGCAAAATATAGTTGTTTTTTTTTTTTTGTATAAAAATTCAATGTTTCCCTGCCAACTATAAATTTTTTTCAGTTAATTTAAAAAAAAAAATTCAAGTAAAACCAAAACAATAGTATTGCCACAAATTTTAAAACCTTTTTAATTACTTGAATTATGCTGGAGGATTAAGAGCGTTGGATTGTGTGATTGGTTCTGATTTCAGATTTGATTAAAAAATTTACTCTAAAAGGGACTGGAATCTTACAGTCAGATAAACAAATCTCCAAAATTGCGATTGTGACAGACCCATGCGTAAAGAAACGACTCTTTAGGAAACTAATTTAGACCAAAAATTAGATGTATCATCTTAAAATCCCAGGGGCAGCCATAAAACCTAAAGTCGAAAGATGGCTTCCACTTTGAGATAATTGCGTCAATTTACATCTTAAAAATGTCTGAATCTTTAGGCACAAATGTACAAAACTCCTCCCTTTTTTTATGAAAAAAAAAAATATTCCACATTGCAATAAAATAATAAAAATGTACTGCATAAATTATTTAAATCTATTATAAAAATTCCTGCACTGTGGAAACATTTGACACTGATTTCGTAATAATTGTAATGGCAAAGCGAGTTAAAACGCGATAAAAATCATCTGACACTAGGGATTGCGGAAACCAAAGTGTATAAATATGCGAGAAAACCGCAGCAGTCTGTCCCGGCTACGCCACGAGTGGCCCCTGACCTGTCCTCCGAAGCTGGCGCTGCGCACGGCCACCGCGACCTTGGCCTCGGAGGCGTCGCCGCCGCACGAGCGCGACGCAAAGGGCTGAGGGGGCGGCCGGAGGCCGCCCGAAGTCCCGCGGCCCGACTGTTGGCCTGCCATTGAGGCGCACTCGACGAGACTACTGACGCAACGGCGCCGCGCGCTTCGGCAGCTATTTCCGGAGCGCCGACGAAGAGATGGCGCACGGAATCATTTCACTTTCTTTCGCCAAAGCAACATCTACCCTCGCACCGCAGAAACTATTGCAAAGAGTAGGGCTCGAAATGTTTAGTTTTGTGATTTGGAAAAGGAAATTGCAGTAATTCCTGCCATTTTTGTGGTAATAAAAATTAATTTTTAAATAAAAGCGTGAAAAGGGATTTAAAAAAAAAAAGTGTTTTTTACCAACAAACCTTGTTTGTTGTCTCAATTTATTCAATTTTACAAATTTTGAAATATCATTTGAAAAAGTTAACTATTCGGTAATGACTATAATTAGTGGGATTTAATAAAATTTCATATAATTTCATTTCAAAGAAAATATTATCAAAATTTTTGTCATATAAGAAAATTTGAAACGATTTACCGCAAATTTTATAATTAATTTGAGTCAAAATACAGGACAAATTTTTTGTGGATAGAGAAATCAGAGTTCAAATTTCAGAATGGTTATTCCGTTCTTTAAATTCAAATTTAAAAGGAAAGCAGATTTCAAATTTTTTTATGAAAGTTGTTATTTAGAAAAATCGCAGAATCAAGAGAACAGTTTTATGTTTATTTAAAAAGTAAACTTTCCTTTATCTCTAATTAATAAGTTTCAACGCGGAAGATTGAAGCAATTTTGACCTGAAAAAATTTGACGTCGTAAACTGATTATTTGAATGTCAAAAAGTGATAAAATTACGTAATTTTTCAACACAAAACGTTTAAATATTATTGTTTTCATTAGCGGCTGGCAATGCGATGAGTCAGCATAATCAATAATTATATAAATAAGCCAAAGCTAACAAAGATTCAAAGGTCTAATCTAAGAATTATATCTCAGTCATTTCCCTAATTGATTTAGTTTGTTTATTATAAAGAAAAAGAATCTATATCAAACTATTTCAAAAACCTTGAAAAAGTTTTGAATTTAAACTTTAAAATCTGATTTAAAAAGCCCCCTTTTTAATTCAGAAGTATAAGCAAAATTTTTGCCTTTTTTTCTTTTCCCTCAATTCAATGTTTTCCGCACAAGAATTTTTTTTTATATTCATTGTTGCAAATAAACAGCAAAAATAACAACGTATCCATTGAGTTTATTGTATTTTATCAAATTTAATTTAGAACAAACAAAAAAATACACGAACCGGAACTGGTCAACTGCATTGATTTTGCTGGTTTGCAATTCTTCGCACACCTGACGTGAGACCACGTTACGAATTCACCTCGCGATTCGTCCATCAATTTTAGGAATTCGTCAACCGTAGTGAAATAAGTCACGCAAAATAGCCAAAATAAAATTTCCAACGCGTCCCCATCGAGCAATTCAAGATAACAAAGGATCAAAACTCGCGTGCGTGACGAGCATTATTAGCAAGTGTGGTATTTTTATTGCAAGTGCCTTTCGCTCATTCGCTGACTGGCGAAAATAAATCAGCAGCAAAATGACGAATGGCGCGACGTGTCCGAATGCATCACTCCGCAGTTTAGCCTTGCTTGGATGTAATTAATTTTAAATCCGCTGCAACTCTCCGTAGAGAATGCAAAAGTCACTCATCCGTCCGCATATATTAATTCTATATAATACCGGCAATTAGAAATAAATTATTCCGTCGGTGTGTTATTACGTGCAACAAAAAAGTCACGGCTACCCTTTAATTAAACGGACGATCGAGAAGCCCTGCTGATATTTTGCCACATTTCGCACCTCCAGGCAAGAGTAGTTTTCAACTTGCGCGATAACTCGGCAACGAGCTTGTAATTTATAGCCGAGACTCGTTTTACACTTTGCTTAAAGATGACCAAAAATTAATATATCGCATGTCGTGCCAAAGTGGTCCAGCTTGTACACATTAATCGAGCAACAATCGCAGTGTGTCGAGCAATTGAAGCAACTCACAATTTTGTTCCGCTGTGAGATAAATTTGTTTGAATTTATTGTTTTTCTTGTTTGCCTATCATTTTTTTTTCTTTTTAGCAAATTGATAAAATTGTAAACAAATCAACTCCTAATAATTGCAATTTATGAAGAAAAAATGTACCGCAGGGAGTCTCTGTGCAAATAATAATAATTAGGTGGGCGTAAAAGCAATATGCAAATTCATTTAATCAACTATAATTTCCTGTACTACAAAGTATGTCTGACACACTTGATTGCAATTTATGAAAAAAATTAATGTTCCGGAGACCAGCGGGTGCCAGATCTGCTACTTTTCAGCTGGAATTTTAACTGCTTCCAGCCAAATTGCCAAGTTTATTATTTTTTATTCATTCTTGAATTACATCCCTGATGAGGATTAAAATCATAAAAACAACCGCTCGTTTTTTATACAAGTTACCCCTATTTCTGGAACTATTAAGGTGAACTTAAAACAGTTAAAAATTAGTTTTTTTTTCACTTCTACATTGAAAGAAATCAGAGGTGGGATCACAATTTTAACAATAATTGCCACAGAGCAAAGGCTGCGCACCCCAAAGGTACACTGCTGCTGTCAAGAGCCATGGGAACTTATGGTTTGGATCAGGTTTGGATGGAAGACATCTTTACTTTTGGCCAACATAATAGAGCTGATGCTCAGGCTTTGGCCTCGGAGGATATAAAATGCATAAAATAAAGGCCAAATATTGCCTTTAATTAGTTAAAATTGAGGTAAATCGCCTCTATTTCAGTTATACGAGTTACGAGTAAATATCAATATATTTTTTTCACAATTACGAGATTTTTATTCGCTTTTCACGTTTTGTCATCTATTTAAATAAAAAAAAATTCATATTTTTAGAAAAAAAGGGTTTATTTAAAACATTTTTTCTTAAAAACAGCATACAAATCTTAATTGTGAAGCAAAAATCACCAATTTCAGCTTCTGAAAAAAATCACCCATTTTTTTAATGCCTATTTCATATAGAACAATTTTTATTGAATATATTAACTATGATTAATAGTGAAATTGGTGAACCTATGAGAAAATTTTGGAACATACCTTATTATTGGCTGGTTTTTACAGAATATAATAGGACCTGATTATGGTGATCCAGAAGTTAAATCTGACCTTGATCAAAGTCAGATCCTGGATCAATTTGATGGCTATAAAAAATCCAAAAGCCAAGTGCTAACTTTGTCAAAGTCCTAGTCATCTTATAGGAGACGAGATAAATAAAACTTACTTTCAACCAGGTTATGTTTTTGGTTCGATTTGGAACATAATTATTCACTGATTATTTATATATTTATTGATTAATAAATATGGGAATCTGGTCTAACCATAAGTTTAACAGCTTTATAAGATTTTAAAAAAGAAAATTCAGCTAATTTTAAGCTAAAAAATCTGAAAAATGACAAATGATAAAGATTAAATTTAATTTAGGACAATTTCAGATGGTGGGGAATTTGTTTGCAAAAGTTAATATGAATCAAACAAAATGGATACAACCAACTTTTATAAACATTCAGAAGACGAGATTTTTTTCCTTGAAAAAGAAAAGGTATTTAACTGGTCTCCAATTAAGAGGATAACAAGTTTGTCCCTTTGAAACACAACCATGGGTATCAAAGCGTCTATAGAATTATTTGGAATTAAACTGCCAAACTTTCTAGGGTTTTAATCGACGGAATCAGCCCAAAATGCAAATAAATGGCTGTCGCTTGGGGGCTGCTTATAAATCAACGCCGCCTATTGATTATTCATAATTCGAGAGGTTCGCGCACAGCCGAGATTTCCGCACAAGTTGCAATTAAAAGTTGCTTGCTTAGTGTTTTAAATGAACTTCATTTTACAATTCAAATGAATTCGTCCACCAAAAACTTATCCTTATTCATAAGTGCGTGAGATTGCCTGCTGTATAATTAATACCGGAGATTAAAACCTCTTTTTTTGGGTACGTGCGTTCTCTTTCTATTTTTTTTCACCACAGCCCTTTTACGAGTCGAGCCGCAAAAAAAAATATTAAATTGTAGACAGTCGCGAAACGGTTAGAAAAAATTCACAAACATTGCTCGAGAGACGCGGCTTTGATAATTATTACTGTCAAAAATCGAGAAGGCTCTGATTATCATAATTGAAGCACAAATATATGCGCCAGAGTTTCTAATTACTTTTGCGTCAAAACGGGCACTCAACTTGATTGACTCTGAGGCCAGAAACATTTTTTTATAATGTAGGTAAGTAAAATTAATCGCGAAAAAATTCAAACTACAGGTCGCAAGTACGTTTATTTTTTTTAATTGGCACTTAGGGATTCTATAAATATCTTTTATGTGGATTAAATGCATATTGAGCTTCGGTGTTTTTAAATAATAAAAAATTACAATAATTTTGAAAGGAAAATAAAGATTTTCAGTTTTTCTTTGAATTAATTCAATTTTGGTTTGGGTTGGAAAAAAAATGGTCAAGAAAAAGTAAAAAAATGGAGGAAAAGAGATAAATCAAGTGATTAAAATTTAAATAATATTAATTATTATTTAAACATCTTAATTTTAGTTAAAAAAAAAATCGGTAGCTTATATCATCTGTAATTTTGGACATTACGAATGTTTGAGAATAGAAATGCAATCAACTGGGGATTTTTATCTGTTGCTTTGCACGCATAATTGTAGATAATTAATTGTTGATTGATTAAGGGAAACAATAACTTTCTTGATAAAAAGAAACTAGATTAACTGCAGAGATTTGAGTTTTTAAAATATAATTTAAGCAAAATTGAGCAATAATTTAATTCGTAAATGAAAACAAAAGTAAATTTTTTGTTAGTCTTAAAACATATTAAATTTAAGTCACCAAAAATAATTAGTGTTAAATTTTGACTGAGTTTTAATTCCTAATTCTAGTAAAAATAACTTAAAACTTAAATTGTTTCAATCCTTGTCCAGGAAAAATCTGATCAAAATCGTAAGAATAAACTTTCACTTTTTATATATTCAACAATGAGATAAGTTTTGTGTGTAAAAAGCGTGCTCGGCTTGTGTTCATTGTATTGTAATAAAAACATGGGCCTCTCGCTGCAGTAACACGGACGTCACTTGTTTGTATGAATCATCAACCAGAAGCCATTATGTGCGAGGATGTCGTTCTCTGGCTGATAAATGATAATGTACATGAACCGCATATATACTTATAAAATGTATTCTCCGCAATGACGTTTTATTTTTTCCTTTATGAACAAAGTTTTCCTGTGTGCTTTTTTACTCTGATGTGAGTCATTCTTTTGTTGCCAAGCAGATTATAAAATTTCAATTAATGCCAAAAATTTTGTTTTACGAAGAATTACAATTATTATTATTTTTTTTTTAAAATGGAACAAAAAAAATGAATGATGGCGTAAAGCGAAAAAATAATTACGCTAAAAAAATGACTTTTTTTATGACAAGTCGTTTTTGTCAGGAGGCGTGTTCAATTATGCAAAGTCGCGTACAGCGAAATGTAGCAATTGGGCGGAATTCGCGGGGCGCGCTAATTGTTATATAAGCGGTCCAGCGGTTCCCCCCACTGGTCCTTTTCAGCGAAACTCACCTTTCGTCCGGCACAGTTTTCGACTTGAGCTCGTAAAAAATGCCCTCGTCCAGTCGACTCTCCAAGTCCCAAAAGGACTCCGTGTCGAGGGCGTTGAGGTCGAAGCCCAGGTCAATGCCGGACTCGTCCATGATTCCAGCCGATCCGCGATGACGAAGGAATTAGAGAAACAAGCAAGGACAACAACAAACCACACTCGGCTGTTATTGTCTTGCCGAGCAAGTGCATTGAAAAATTTGCTCGCTTCCACGCACACTCCTCCAGCACTGGCGCTTTTTCCGCCGCCATCTACTGGTCACCGTGGCAAAGAGATAATTTTTTTTCATTAGGTCCGATTAATACGCTTCAGGGCCGATTATTTTTTTATTTATTAAATTTTTCCCTGTGATTTTATTTTTTACTGCTTCCCATCGGCTCTAGGAATTTATCTCTCATGACTTGATAATTCACGAAATAAAAAGATTATTACAAGATATAAATAAATAAAATTGCGTATATATACCGGTCACCTGCGGGGCTGTCTCTGTTTTCAGGCGAAGATCACTTGTTTGAACATTTTATTAGAGCATAATTATATAATATTATATATAATCAAGTTATATTGGTGAAAATAAGCTTGCAGCGAAACCGCAAAATTAATAAAAAAAATTTCAAAAAAAACGGCTCAAACCGGTCTTCTTACTGCCTCGGTCACGTTTCTCTTACATGCGTGGATGGACAAATAAACAAATTAAATGATGAGATTTATATAATAAAAGGGCACTTAAACGTTTTATATAATAAAGATCCACTCTCGATAAAAAAAATCGGTGGGAATCAAAATTTTTTTAGTATACAATAAGAGGCTCATTGCGGTAGATTTAGTCTTTTGATCTTGGAATTATGGTGGTGCAAAAAAAATTAGAAATAAATAGGCTCACTGGAAAAAATAAACAATTTGTCAATAATAAACAACTAGTATATATTTATTGCAACTTTAATATAGGTTTCAATGATTCATTTTAAATACACTCACAAAATTGCTAATAATACATTTTCATTTCAGGATTTCTGCACAATATAAAAGTTAATTTGTTTTTATTATGGATATTTGCAAGGTGCATCACTGGTTTACATTTGATATAATTTGTTAATGTAATTATTAGAGTTGTTGGGATATCAACAAGAGGAAAAATATGAGTAGGGACTACACAATTCACTAAAACTTTCTCCTTGTTACATTATTTTTCAGTCAGTTCACAAATCGACTCCAACTGATGAAGAAATAAGTTTTCACAGCTTGAATAAAATAAAAATTGAGAAATTTGCCGATAAGGTTAATTTGATGTATTAAAATTGCCAAAATTGGCATTATTTTCAAATTGTAAACATCCAAATTAAAAAGCTTATTAGCATTAATTTAATGCATTCAAAAATACCATTGTTGTGGACACTTGCATTGAGCTTGAAGTCCTGCTCTGCAACTTTTTTCGGATGAATATATTTGGTATGTATGCTTGTGCTCAGAATTTATCAGGAAGTCCACTTTCTAGCGTTTGGCTGGAAGATTGGCGTGGGTCATTCGTCCCATTCGTCGTCATCCTCCTCGTCGTCGTCATCTTCGTCACTGTCCGACTGGATCACCTTGGCGCGGTCGGCCAACGCTCTCGCCAGGGCGCCGGCCAATGTGTTCTCCGATTTCATGTCTTGCTTGACCGCCGAGGAAGCTCCGGGCGTGACCTTGCGCAGCTCCTTGCCCCTCCTGATTTCGTCCAACAGGTCGCATCGAGCGTCAACAACAACCGGCGCAGGGTTCGAAGTAGGTTCAACTTTCTGCAATCCGAAAAATATATTAATTTTAAAATAATAATTTAAAATTCAACAGAATTGAATTTCACTAAAAAAAAGGAATTTTTTTAAGAAGAATAATTAAGAAATTTAAAAATGGATCGCAATTTTTGGCAAAAGAAGAAAGAATTTGTTAATAATTTATTAAATCTTATCATTTAATTAAAGCTTCTGACCTTCAGTTGTCTTCCACCCCTGATTGCCTCCATCAGGGCTGTTCTGGGGTCGGCGTCGCCGCCACCTCCTCCTGCCATTGGAGGTGGTGCTGGTGAAGGCATACTCGGGGTGGAGGGAGTTGAATGGGTGCCTATCGACTCCATAGCCACCGGTGGCGGTGGGGGCGGTGGTGGAGGAGGACCTCCGCCTCCTCCCCGTGAAACAGGAGGCGGCCCTGGCGCAGGAGGCGCGATTCTGCTGCCGCCTCCAACACCTCCAATGACGTTTCGAGAAGGAGGGGGCGGCGGTGCAGCGACTTGTTGCGACGGAGGCGGTGGAGTGGCCCGAATTCTATCCGGAGGCGGAGGAGGCGCACCCCTTTTTAGTTCCACAGGTTGTGAGAGGGCTGTGCGCACCGGAACTGGGGGTGGAGGTCCTTGGGCCACCTCGACAACTTCCTCTTTCACAGCCTAGAAGAAAAATTAACAATTAAAATTTAGATCAACTGTTTTCTTGATTTAAAAAATTATGAAATCTTGTATAAATAATACAAACCTGGATTCCTCCGTGCTGAGAGATGAAATCGTAAATGAATTCCCTAGTCTGGGGATCTCGAAGTTGGCACTCTTTGACGCCTGCCTTGTCGAAGAATTGCTTGAGCTGGGGGTCAGCCACGTTGTCCATGTCAAAGCCCTTGTTTGGATCCCAGCCAATGTGCGTCACATGGCGGAAGTCTTGAGGCAGCCCAATGTCTGCCTTGGTCAGCTTTCGGTCTTTATCCTTCCGATTTTTGCTGACCACTGAAGTGTTCATGCGATGTTGCGACAAGGCGGCTTTGGATGCCATCAGAGGTGGAGGACCATTTTGACTGGCAGGCGATGGTCTGTCTGGAGGAGGCCCCAGCATGGACATGCGATTTCTCCTTTCTATAAAATATCACATAATGAAATAAAATTGTCCGCAATTCGGAATTTCGACTGACCAATTTTCCTCTGCCTTTTCGTCTCCATCTTCTGCAGCAAAGCCGTTCGAAGTCGGTAGGCCTCATCTTCATCAGCAAAATTGAAAGCAGTAATTCCATCCTAAAATATTTTAGTAATTAAAACTGCTTTTCCTAAAATTATTCGATCAAACCTCAGCTTCGAAGGTGTGAAGGTAAGGCTTCGGAGACTTGTAGTCGATGTGGTTGTAGACTTCCTGCTCCCAAATTAATATCCTCCTCGTCAGACAATAAACCCGGAAGAAGTACGAGCGCCTGATGTTGTCCTTGACTAGACATAGCACCCCACAGTCTCTCTGCACCCAGCTTGAATGGTGAGGAGGTTCGCTGCTGAATAACTGAACAACCGCCGTTGCCATGGTCTGGGTGACAAAAAAGGTAAACAAATAAATAATCCCGTAAGAATTTTGTCTTCAAAAACCTGGCATTTGTGACCGAGGAGCTTGAAAACTTGTTCATTTTCAGCGTCATTCAACAGTCTTGAGGGGATATTTTGGATTTTGGGCTGTGGCTGGTTGTTGTCTAGCATCGACATTTTTCTCACAGATCCGTGGGGTCCCGTCATGTGTCCGACCATTTATATGCTGCAGCGCTGGAAGAGGACAAAATAATTAATTTTCCAATTAAATGAGGAAGATTCTTACAAGGAAGTCCGCCGGACCAACCAAGAAGTTTTCCTGTGATTCAGTCAGAAGATCTTACACGCCCATTCTGAAGCGATAAAATAAAATATAAGCTGATTGCTTTTGCGTGTGGTGTGAACTGTGAACGACGATTGTAGAAAGTTTGCTTTGGCCAACCAGATGATGTGTGTGACGTCATCACAGCAAGGGAACCAAAAGGGGTTTTTGCGCTGGAGTGGGGTTTATTTGAATTTAGAAATCGATATGAAAGCGCGGGAAAATGTTTTATAAAGCTTTGTTTTATCATTTTTGAATTTATAATAGATTCAAATAAGTGAAATTTGGAGATTTATTCTATTTACGTCACTCCCAGCTAACTAAAATTATTCCTTATTAATAAAATCGTGATTTTGCAATTTTTTTTTTAATTACACAAAGACTTTGATCTTGTTGAACCAAAGGCTGAATTTATTTTAGGAGAACCAGGAATTACAATGAATTAATCTTGAGAGGGTAGGAGGACAAACAAATTACACACTCATCCCTCAAGCAAATCCAAGGAAACATTTTGATGATTTTGATGTTTTATGATTCCCTGCGAGCAGCAATTATCGTAATGTCATCCATTCACGCACTTCCTTTTTGCCTTAAATAATTAAGTTAGATAATATTCAGTGGTTATTCTTTACGTGCAATATATTCTTTCACTTTACACTTTGCTATGTGACAATAAATTACACAATTTGGGCCACTATTAAAAAATTTTCTCTAAAGAGAATGCCAAAAAACACTTCGAGGGATTTGCGCATTATTCAAAATAATGAGCGAATACTCTGCAATTTCAATTAAAAAGGAATTGGCCCTACAAACGCCACAATTCATCTTATGTAAGATGTAAAATGTCATTCACCATGAATTTGAAATTTGAACATACATACACACAACTACAATGGTAAAAAATTTTTCAGGATGCCGCTTTGACGATTTTTAAAATTTTGTACAAGGTGAAGTCGCGGGCCTCCTCGGCAGGTGGTTAGTTGTTTGCATTTCTTTCTTGGTGTCGAGGAACACTCCATATGCTAATTTTAAGTGTAAAAATCCAGGATAAAACCAAAAACGAGCTTTGGAATGATAACCGCAAATTCAGACTGCCGCGCACAGACAAATGATTTTTCTTGCGTGTCGAATGAGGTTGGTTGATAGAAAACGCCAAGAATGTTTGTTTGGCACAAATCGGGCACGGTTGCTGAGAATCTGAAATTAATTGCACAGTCGTTACTACGGGGAAAGTGTCCGATCGAAGACATGCAGCTGAAAATGGAGAAAAAGTGATGAGGCGGTCAAACGCAAATCAAAAGTGAGTTACCTCGGAGCATATGTTAATTTCCAAACATGTATTTTATTGATTGCATAGTAATCAAGTGTACAAATTTGAGTGAAATCATCAACCAGCAGGCTCTAAACATAATCATTAATGTACGTCGAAGTACTCCAAAATAAAAATCTTTTTTGTTTAAGTGAAAAGAGAGAAAATAATCACTCGCTCAGTAAACACAAACACTCAGGGATGCAAATCAAAAAAATGTACCCAGCTGTACACACATCATGCAAGAGTAATTTTTCGCAAAATTAGCAGCACAACCTTTTCTTCATTTTTTTTTTTTTTTTTTTTTTATCTGTCAGATACATCATGCATGGAGGCCCATAACGTGTACTATTGCAGAATTACAATTAATTGTACATAAAGAGGAATAGAAATGATTTCAGCTTTAAAATGAAGATATACCATAGCTTTTTGAACTTATGGTGACCTCGAAATTTCTTTTAAGTTGTCAAGTGGACAAGTTCTCTTATCCATACAGGGAAGGTTTAGAGCTCTACATTATTTATAGCCTTGCAAAGTTGACTAAGAAAATAAAATTCGGAAAATAAACGCGAACCATTCGGATTTCTTTGATCTACCTAAAGCTAAGTACGGCCTGCTGCTATTTGGGAGTGTTTAGATAAATTAATGCACTGCAAGCAGGCCTTGCAAGAAAATTTTTTACAATTCTTTTCCATATTTTAGGATTGATAGACCGCCCAACGCAAGAACGGGCAAACAGAATGTCAAATCATTTATAAAATCAGCTTATGTGGCAAACACAACACAATATATAGAAAGAAAAAATACTAATTCACATTCTCGGTCGGGCGGCACCGCATCAATTTCTCTCAACTTTACTTTATTTTATTGGCATAGGATTTTAATATTTTTTCATGTTAGTCATATGGCTAGAAAAGTTGCACTTCTTTAAAAATTATCCACTAATAAAAAACTTAGTTTATTACGTGGTTGGCCTTCAGGCTTTAATCAGCCTTGGCTGTTTCATTTGTGGCAGTCTGTACTTGGGTCTCTTCAGGCTCAACCTTTTTCTCCTCAACCACTGGCTCAGCAGCAGGAGCAGCTTCGGCAGCAGGAGCTTCAGCCTGAGAGAAGGAATAAATAAGTTTCGGCAAGATTCTATTATGTAACCATCTTACTGCTTTGACTGGTTCAGGCTCCTTGGCCTCGGGCTCTTCCGTCTTGGGTTTCTCCTCGGCTGGCTTTTCTTCTGCCGTCTTTTCTGGCTGCGGGTCAGCCTCCTTTATGGGTGTCGCAGCTTCAGCTGAGGGCTCTTTCTCCTTCTTCTCCTCAGGCTTGGGTTTGCTGTCGACGACCTCATCGTGCTCCTTGCCGTTTTCATCCTCCTTCTTGGTGTCGTCCTCGCTCTCGTCACGGCCGTTCTCGGCAGGCGACTTGTCAACGGCTGGCGATGCATTTTTGGGCGGCCTTCCACGCCGACTTCCACCTAGAAAATAAAAATTCGTAAAAAAAATTTACTTTAAACGGAGGAATTGCTTTCGTGTACTTACCCTTGCTAGAAGCAGGGGTTGCAGCCTTCTTTGGTGGTGGAGGAGCGGGTGTTGATCCACCACGAGCCGACGACCTTGTCACGCGTCTTTCAGCGGAAGGAGTCTGCAATTTTTAAAAATCAAAATAGAAACATGGTTTGGGAAAAAAATTAAATCGTTGGGATTTAAAAATTAAATTAATTACATTTAAAACCCAATGGATTAATTTTTTAGAAAATAACAATAACAAACCTCGATTTCCTTGGCTGCCCGTTTGCGTCCCTGAGGTGACTCCTTCGCAGGGGAGTTCTAAAATATGCAAAACAGGTGTTAGTTTCGATTGTGCCATCAGATGGCGCCACGGGCGGTCAAAAAGCCGGTTTAAAAATCGTTTAAATCCCGCTTAAATACGGCCAAACGCGTTAATTTTGAGCCAAAACAAGTTCATAAAATTAAAGCAGATGCAATTTAACCCATCAAGAGCACTCCAGATAATGAAAAATTAAAAAATTGCGTCGGTCGTGTTGGCGGACTTTTGTTTTGTAAATAGAGCCATATGATACGCGACATTTTTGATCCAAAGAATTTCATTTTTTACGGCTAAATAACAGTTTCCCCGATAAACCGAAACTGCAGAAGGGTTAAATGGAACGCGAAGATCATTTTGACACACGAGAATTCACTTGAGAGCAATTTTTACGAGGCGAAATTCGAAATGCAATGAGAAAATCGATGGGTCGACCCTCCCCCTAGCTGTTGTTCCTTTCGAACGCTCTCGAGACGAACTTAGCTCATGAGAGCCGATGCACTTTCACTAATTCGGTCGCCTACCTGTTCAGGGGCCACGTCGGCCACAGAGTTCTCGGCTGCGGACATAATTGGTTGCGAATTTCGGCACTCAATCGGCAGGGCGACTCCTCAAATGGTGCTAAATCAGTGGAGCGTCGGTCACGTGACCTGGTCTGTCTGCCTGTTGGCGCACTCTTTTGGACTTCTTGGCGTGGAATTTGCTAGATAGCTGCGATTAGTTGCAGACGTACCGGCTAGATGGCGCGCAACGCTGATTCGATTGGACGGGATGATTGTAAACTTAAAAGAATGCGCACAGCCGCCATATTGTTATTCGATTACCGAGTAAAATTAAAATTTCGCGCTTTTTTATACGGATAATGTTGAATCTTCTTTTATCTTAACATCAAAAGTCGTCATTTTAGTCAAAACGAAAACACTTCGATTCTTGTCGTTTCTCGTATAATCTCTTGATATAACCAGCAAAACACAGGTTTCTCTTTCACGTCAGGTCAAGATAATTTGCAAATTAACATCAGTTGAACGAATCTAGCGAACTTCAACCATGGACGCGCAGTTCGCCCGGAAATTCGTCAACACTTTCCAGTCCAAACTGTAAGCGAAATTCTCAAAAATTGCGATCATGACGATGCGACCTTCATTGCTCTGACAAGAGTCACACGTCATAGTCTGTAATCTATGTAATCTGATTTGAATATGTAATTGCTTTCGCAGGGAGCCGCCGGTCAGGTCGCACCTGAAGAATGTCTACGCCTGCCTGACACTCTCGACCCTGGTGAGCGGACTGGCAGCCTGGCTGGGCCTCGCCTACCCCAATGTGGGACTCATCCAGCCCGGATTTTTGACTCAGATTGGTGGAGTGGGTCTGCTAATTGGACTGATGGCCACGAGAAACAGCAAACAAAATCAGCCCTTGAGGATGGGCATGCTGGCTGGTCTTGCTTATTGCATTGGTAAAAATTTAGAAAAAAAAATATTACATAATTTATTAAACAATGTCTGAAAAATTCTTTAATTTGTAAAATTTATCAATTTTTTACCACAAAGAATTATTTAAATCTTAAATTCAGGTTTGAAAGATATGACCAAAGTCCATATTTTCTTATTTCTAATCAATCTTAATTTCATAAAATTATTTCGTTTTTGTCTAATTTCGATTTTAACTAATGTTTTCTTACTGCTTTGTAGGAACGAACCTTGTACCTCTGTTGGACGTGGTGATCCAGATTGATCCTAGCATTGTGGTCACAGCACTCCTGAGCACCTCCGTCGTCTTCATCTCCTTCTCGATGTGCGCCCTCCTGTCCAATCGCGGAAAGTGGCTCTTCCTCGGAGCTCCTCTTCTCAGTCTGATGAACGTCATGCTGCTTCTGACCGTGGTCTCGCTCTTCACTGGTTCCTTCGCTGCCGTCTATAATGTCAACATCTACCTTGGACTGCTCGCCATGTGCGGCTTCGTCCTCTTCGACACCCAACTGATTGTCGAGAAGAGACTGATGGGTGACGATGACTTCATTGCGCACTCCGTCGACCTGTTCATTGACCTGGTGGGCATTTTCCGCCGCCTCCTGGTCATCCTCACCAAGAAGGAGCAGGACAATAGGAATAAGAACAAACGGGAATAAATTCTTGATGTTGGAACTATATTTATTTTCTGTTTCTGACTATAGCTGGTAGAAGGATAACGGCGGATTTTAACGTTTTGTACTGTTGCACACACACATACTTTTGCATTGAAATAAAATGAGGTACACATTGAAAATAAATGTATAATAAAATGTTAATTATGATGGGCTATCTTATCAGCTGTGTGAAAATATAAAAATCCTAATAAAATGAACGTTATAAACGATATTTTTCTTTCTTGTGCTTTGCTAATCAACTAATTGAAATTACCAATCAGGATTTAAACTTCAACAATTTAAATCGGATAAAACTTAGGTTTACGGACATATATAAAAAACACAATTTAAAACTGGATTCTTTTATTAAGAAACGAACAATATTTATTAAAATTTTTACAACTGTGGCAGTAATTATTAGTGTAGTTTGTCTGTGACTGAAAAGTGAAGCTGGTAGCGCAAATTTGCTGTAAATTTTTAAAATTTTAGGAAATTTATTACATTGCAATTTACGTTAGGCTCAGGATAGATAAATTTGAAATTTTCTAAAATTGCAGCAGCAGTAGTAGAATATTTTAAAAGAGGGAATTTTTCTGGCTCCAGTTAACATGTAAAAGCACTTTCCAAACTTAAAGAAAAAATCACATTCAATTTTTTTTAATAGCACTTCATTGATTAATATTATTTGTTAGATTTAAAAAATAAAACTAGGCAACAACTTAACTGCAACTATAAAAAATAAGAAATTCCGTGCAACAAATCAATCACATTTTTGCAGCACCGCTGAGCAAAACTTTCTGGATCTGATCCAAAGCCGCTTCGAATTGGAAAAACAGCTTCTCGGAACTTGTTTCTGTGCTGGCTTTCCAAGCGCTAATGGAAATGAAGACTTGGTCGTTCAAGATGTTGTAAAAACAACCGTAGCCATCAAGGCACATTGGTGCCACGGTACCACCATTTGGCTGGTAGCCTAGCAGACTTGTGGACAGGTAAAAATTACCACTTCCCCCGCTGAAAAACATTAAAATAAGAAATAATCCGCGGAAATAATTTTTAACTTTACCTCAGTTTCCACGATGGATCTGTGAAAATTTCAGGGGTTGGAATGTCATTCTCAAATGCTAAACACTGCAGGCCAAACAAGTGTCTGTCACAGCCAAAGCCATTTCGAGCTTCTTTCATCATGGCATTGTGTTTGTTGACAGCACTAATGAATAAGGCCTTGCAATTCTGGAGCTGTAAAATATATATAAAAATTTTAGTTTCTGAATTTATTTTTAATTATATATACATTTGGATTTTGCTTTGCCATTTCACTGATCCACGCAACAGCCTCCAGACTGCAAGATCGAACAGTTTCAGTTCTGCCTTCAAAGTACTGTCTTGTCGTGGCAGTTTCGTACATCGGAGCAAATCTAAAAAAAAAACTTTTAGAGAATTTTATGAGAATGAAATTTTAATTTACTTATTGTGAATTTTGTAGAATGCAAGCTGGATAGCCAATTGAATCCAGGCGTCGGGGTGCAGTTTCTGGGTCTGCATGAACCGCTTGCCGTACCCGTCAAACGCTTTCCTTGTGACGCAGACTGGATTTTTCTAAAAGAATTTTGTTTTAATTTTGCTCGAATTCAAATTAATTAATCAAGTTTTACGACGGCTTCGGCTTCCCGGCTCACGCGAGCAATCTCACTCTTGATTATGGAATCAACGTCAAAGGTAATTTCCACAGGCGCTTTCATGTTTTGGAGAACTTTTCGGTCTCCGATCCACTGACCGTTCATCTCTTCTATTGCGTGCTGCACGTAGATGAAACTGGAGATGCTGACCATTCCATCATACGCAGCATGCTGAACGGAATTAAAATAATTATATAATAAAAAATCTCAGAAATAAAATATTTTTACATCGCAAAGGGATGTAACAGATCCACAGGGGAATGTTGTGATGGCCATGCTTTTGTCAACCCAGTGATTGGCCAGGTTGCCTCCTCCCAAGGAATATCTCAGTCCTGCCTCTTGGTCAAAAATGCCCTCATCAGTTTCCATGGCGATGATGGTAATGGCCGACTCGATAAGGTCAAGTATCTTTCGGTTATTGGAACTGATTTGCATCAACCAGTTTTTATTCTGAAAATTTTTAAAAAAATAAGAATGTTTAAAAATTTTCTATAAAAATGTCACCTTGGCCCACTGGGGCCTGTTGTCGCAAGTCAAAGTGGCGACGCCGTCGCCGTCACTGATGCAAGCTTCAAGGATGCGCTCGAACTGCACCTCAAGTTCAGGTGGCGTGAGGAGGCCCGAGTGTCCGCTCATGACGTCGAAAACAAAGAAGCGGCCCCTGCACATCACAACAAGATGGGACGGACAGGAATCGTCAGTTGTAAAGTGGCTGCGAATGGCGTCGACGTGTTCTCCTGCTGCGCGGCCAGTGTTGAACAGGTTGCGGAAGTTGGCCATGCTGAAGGGTCGGCCGTCCACAGACCTGTGAGGCACGTACTGCTGGTTCTTCAGAAGCTGCCAAAACTCCATCAAAAAGTAGGTATAAAGTGCAGCTTGCTGGAATTACATAATATTTATTTAAATTTGATTTTATTGCGAATAATTTTTTTATTTATACCTGAGGCATGGTTGCACCCTTGGGCCAGGGCACAGCCCCTCTGTCCCACGCACCTCCCATGCTGTAATAGGGAATCAGAGGTTCCCGGAGGGTCAGGTAGGCATAAGTGTCCCAATATTTGCTGACCTTTAAAAATAATAATTATGAATAATTAATTTCAAAAGCCGAAAATCAGGAAAATACCCAATTTTTCTCCTTTTTTGCTTTTTCCAACAGTTTTTGGTGCAGGGTTTTTGCGACACCATTTTCAAAATCTCTGGCTATGCGTTCTGTCTTTTTATAAGCAGCACCATCAACATGAGGTTTGACGGACTCGAGGTACTTGTCGATAGTCTTTTTGAGATCAGGCACTGGCAAGGGCGGCAGCGTGTCATCCTTGGCAAAGGTCTTCTCTTTGGTTGTGGCAAATACTGACCGACTGGACTGCAAGAAAAAAAAATTAAATTTAAAAAAAAATTAAATATTTTCTTTGAACAAAAAAAGGAAAAGATTAAATTCAGCCTAATTTATGAAAATCATACCTTTTTCTGCATTGTAACTGCAGGCTTTGCTATCAATGTTGACCCTCACGGAAAATCTCTACTCGATTAGAGCGAATCGCGTTTTTGTTTGTTTTCTGAAGGGTTTGGAATTTGTTACTCAGATAAACACAAACTGATCGCGATACCATAATCTGTAACAGAGGCACAAAGTTCAAACTTCAATGAACTACTTTCCAATTTCCTGCGCTGGTAAAATAAAATTTACCTGCCGCTGCTCCCACCTCGCATGTAGCTTTTTACATCACGATGAGCGAAACTTTTCGACTCACCGTGATTATGCATTATGACGTACTCTCATGTTCTGCTCGTCCAAGCGGCCTCTGATGGTGTTTTGCGTGCGTGAAAGAGCAAAATACCTTAATTGGTTTATACATGAATATGCATTTTTTTATGTACAGCTTAAAATTAAGCGAATATGAGTTTTTGATTTTTTAATTTTTCATGTAGAATTTTATTTAAATATTTTGATACCTTAATCATGTAACAGCGTTGATTTGAGAACTTCCAAAACGGCAACAAAAATTAATTTAAAATGTAAAAATTCATGCCCATAAAAATTACCATGCACAGGAAGGGGGCGTGTCTTTTGAATGAAAACAAACAGATAGGGGTGGGGGATGATCGTCGGCTGTTTACAAAAATACAAATCCTCGCAATTTTAACCTAATTTTTAAGTTTAGATCAAGTTTTAAACGATTGATTTCGATCTATTTTTGACTCTGGATTGTCCAAATCCGTGAAAACAAAGGATGGCCGCAGTCGAAGGTGTTCTTTTGGACATCACCGGCGTTTTGAAAGAAGGCAATTCGCCCATTGAAGGGTCCGTCGAGGCTGTGCAGAAGTGAGACATTTTTACTGATTTTTAGTGCAATTTATCCTAATTTTTTGTGCAAATTGGCAGGCTCAGAGAAAAGGGTCTGAAGATTCGTTTTGTCACCAACGAGACGCAGGAAACCAAAAGGTCGCTGGTGTCCAAACTGACCAACATGGGCTTCAGCCTGTCAGAGGACGAGGTCATCTCTCCATGTCCGGCAATGGTCCACGAGCTGCAGAACAAAGGTCTTCGACCTCACCTTCTTGTTCATCCGAGGGCAAGTCTTAAAATTTAGATCAAAACTGCTTATTTAATTTATTAATAAATTTTAGAAAAATAGAAAATGACCATAAAATTTATAATTCTGCAGGTTGTTGAAGACTTCAGCACCGTATCCTTTGAGGACCCAAACTGTGTCGTAATTGGTGACAGCGCCGAGCATTTCACCTATGACAATTTGAACAAGGCCTTCAGGATTCTGATGAATCTGTCCGAACCCATTTTGTATTCCTTAGGCAAAGGGTAAACACAATACAATCCTACAAAATTCAAACCCTGAAAACAAAAATTATTTTTAGAAAATACTTCAAGGAAGACGGAGAACTGGTTCTCGACGTAGGCTCATACGCTGCCTGCTTGGAATTTGCAACAGGCACTAAGGCGAGAATTGTCGGCAAACCCGAACCTTCGTTTTTCCGAACGGCGCTTCAAATGATGCAAGTCGATCCAGAAAAAGTAGTATAAATAAAATTGAACTAAACAATAACATTAAATGTGTTGATTCCTTAGGCCATCATGGTCGGAGACGACCTTATTTCTGATGTCGGTGGTGCTCAAAATTGTGGAATCAGAGGCGTTCTGGTGAGGACAGGAAAGTTCAGGCCTTCAGACGAGACTCATCCTGAGGTAAAACCATTTTTTATTGCTGATAATCTGTCCAACGCTGTGAGTCGTATACTCTCCATGTGAAACAAAATGTGATAATTTTCATACGATCCAATCGGAACTTGAATAAACCAAAGGTATTTTTAAAAATGAAGTAAAAATCCCGGCGTTTTGTCTAAAAGATTTTATAAAAAAGTATAAAAATTCCAATAAGCAATATAAAAAATTTATAATTCCAAAAGCTTCTCACTTTTGGCCCAAAACAAGGTTAATCCAGCTTAAGAAGGAACTAGTCCTCATGTAGACATCGGGAAAGTCGGGATTTCCACAGGCTGGCGGTGCAAATAGCGACGAAATCCCTACCATGGAGAACAAGCCGTTGGCATCGGCAACAATCAACGGCCCTCCAACATCACCCTGGAAATTTTCAGTTAATTAATAATTTTTTTTAAATTATTTATGTGACTTACGTTGCACTGAGCAACTGCTCCGTCACCAGCGCAAATCATGCTGTCCCTGATTACGACATTCATAGCATTCCAGGCGGTTTGGCAGGCCGCGTTTGACCTCACTGGGACGTTGCCGCCGAGGAGGAAGTTGCTCTTGGCGGGACCACCATTGGTGCCCCATCCAGCTATAATTCCCGTCAGCCCAGCAAAATTTCGGGCTGAAACGAGACACAATCAATACTTTACATAGCAAAAGTTACTGGAGCTTTTTAAATTTTTTTATAAAAATGTTAAAGGAAAATAATTGAGAAACTGAAGGAAACAATTCCAAGTTTAATTTTGGGGAGGGAGAATTCAAGTTACATCAATAGATTTTTCTATCATTTTTGTTCAGTTCTTTAAAGAAAACCTTTAAAATTTTGATTATATTGGAAAACTCATTAAATTATATTCTTTAAAAGCAACCCTAATAAAATTAAATCATGAAATGAAAATACTCACTGGGACTTGGGAAACAGACCGGTCGAATTGCCGCGCTAAAAGGGACAGTTTGGTTCATCCTCAAAATAGCGACGTCGAAGTTGTTTCCTTGGAACTCGTTGTGAATATAAACTCTTTCCACGGTGCGCGTCACTCGCCTGGTTTCCGCCAGGGCTAAATTGAAACTTCCGAGCAAGAGCGTAATTCTTCCCACAGCAGCAGTCGATTCGGCGCTGAGAATTCGAATTTTAAATAAAAATTTAATTATAATTAATAAAAACAATACTAGAAATTAACGCAACTGGCCGCCGTCACGACCCACTGCCGGGCAACCAAAGTCCCGCTGCAGACGTGGCTCCCGTCCAATAAAACGGCCACCATCCAGGGAAATTGAATTCCTCCGAGGTCGGCGCCGCCCAAAATTTTACCCTCGAAATCCACGATTTTCGCCAGAGGCGCGGTCTCGTTCAAATCCGAAAAGTCCAAGCTCCTAGCAGGTAGGACGGGATTGTTCCGCACACCACACTCGTCATTGACTGAAAATTTTTATAGAAAATTATAAAAACAGATTTTTTATAATTTTTCATACCTGGAACATTCAGGTCGGCGCAGTTGACTTGGGTCACGTTGATATTCCACATGACACCTTTGCTTTGGGACATAATCACCAGTCGGATCAAATCGCTCGTCTGGTTCACGGGAATCATAGCTGCGTAAAAAAATCACTTTAATTAATTTAAAATAAAAATTAAGTAATTTAAAAAAGCGCATTTTCACGCTTAAAGTTCCACGTAAAGCCTATGTAAGCAGAAAAAGATAATATATTTTTTCGGAAAGTAATCTTTTTTTGAATTCAACATCAACATACCAAAATAATTAATTATTCAATTAAATTAAATTACATTTTTTTTAAATTTAATTTCTAAATAATTTAGAAATATTATTAATTGTTTAAAGTTTTAAGTAAAAAATAAAATGTGCTTGATTTTTAATATTAAAAATAATATATAAATCTAGGAAAAGTACATTTTTTTTATAAATATTATATTTAAGTCTATAAAATAAATCGCAGATTTTTCAATTTTCATAAAACTTACTCGAGTAACCCTTAAGAAGGCCGCACATGTTGGTGTTGAAACCCGTCGCGTCCACAGTTCCACCTCCGACGACGGTGAACAAATCTTGGAAACAAACTCCGCTTCGCGAAGGCGCCAGCAGTGCGTCCAAAAACTCGATTCTTTCGATCAAATTAATTAATATGAATTAAAAAAGCAAATAAATTATTAATTCACCTGATTCCACACACGTCTTGTCTTGGGACGACGTCGACGGCGCAATTGATGGCGTCTGTGGTCGGGTCAGGGAAATTGGGGTTGCGGAAAATCGAATTGGTGGATGCTGTCCTGTCTCCGCACTGAATCACGTTTTGGACTGAAAGTTATAATTTATTTATAAATACAAAAGAAAATCGAAATTTGTTCTTCAACTTTTTTAAATTTCATTAAGATGAACTTTTAAAATTTATATTCTATTTTCAATTCGGAAATCGGTTGTATTTCCTGGGATGAGTAGCTTTTTTAGTTTCAAAACTTAAAAATTCAAAGTATTTTGGACCGATTTTGGATTTAAATAAAATAGGAAATTGAACAAATTTTGTATCTTATCTGAATATAAAAAAATTCTTAAAACTAAAAAAATTTGTGAACGGCATTCAATTTTCAGTGTTTGGCGAGAATTTTGTATGTATGAAAAAATTAGTCTAATAAGTTGACAAAGTTTTACAATTGCAACAGACTCCTCTAGCGAAACCTCTGCCGCAGGCCGCGCCCGGCTGTCCACCCTGTGCGAGGCACTCGGCCCTGACCAGGCAAATGGGCGCAGGGCCTCCGGTAATAGGTCCCGTCGGCGCGACGCACTTGATTTGCCTCGAGGATCCTAAAAAAATTCTGTGTAAAAATGTTTTCCACTTGATTAAAAAAAAACCCACCATATTCAAATCCGTCGTCATCTTCAATCGAACTTTGGTTGGCGTCGATCAAAGAATCGGAATCTAAAATCGACCCGTTTGAACCACTGAGAAGGGCGCTTGATTCAAAAATAAATCTCATGTTATTAAGACGTTTTGAAATTTTAAATACAAATTACCTGGCCATAAAAATAGTTAGCAGTTGGTGCGGAGCCATTCCAATCATGCTTGTACCAAAGTTCAGTAAAAACAGGGAAGGCAAATTTTTGCGAACCTGAATTTATACATTTTCTTGGCCCGTATGAAAATCTGCAGTTGATTGTTCCGGGATTTCCAATTATTTTTCAGATGTGAACACAGAAGGTTGTCACATAATTTATTTTGATTTGACATGATCTCTTTAAATGAATTTTGTTCCAAAATTAGCATTATATGGTGGTACCAAGATTCTGCAATTAAAATTTTCATTACTTGTTGCACGCAACTGAAGATAATTTTGCGAAAGTTCACCTCTGTGACTTTTATTTCTAGAAATAAAACATGCATATGACCTGAACCTGAAAGCTTCTTCTTTATCCCGCAGGTTGAAATACTCATATTATAGTTTAGCCAAATTAGGAAATCATTCCATTTTAAGATAATTAATTCAGTTTTTTGAGAGTAAAAGATTGTAAAAAATTCGGCGCCCTGTTCACATCATTTGACCTTAGTTAGTTTCAATAATTTCAAATCTAACCTGCAGATCGGATATATAAAATTCGATCTAGAATTATTTAAATTACTTTTTTGTTTCCCCTTTTCCTCAAAATTTTTCTTTCAATAAAATTTTCTGCAAATTATGGAAAGATTATGTTTTTCTTCTTCTAATTTTTGCGATATGAATTGAAATAAAACAACATTTTTTCTTTTGAATTTAAATTCGAGTTTTTTAACCAAAATGGGAACAAATGTTAACAAATTTTTGCCAGTCCCATTAAAACCTAAAAATGTTGTGCTCTCTTCAAATCATCGTCGATTTTTAACTCTTTTTATCAAACAGCGACTCTCCGTAAGGTCCGAATGGGCTTGGTATATGATCCGGGGGTGGCGGCAGGGCTAAGACAAGGGCGATCCAACTCAAAAACGAGCTGGTCCGCATGTAGACGTCTGGGAAGTCGGGGTTTCCGCACGCGGGGGGCGCCGAGAAGGACGAAATGCCGATGAACGAGTAAAGACCGTCTTCGTCCGCTGAAATTAACGGTCCGCCGCTGTCGCCCTGAATAAATTTAAAAAAAAATAAAATAAAAATTCGGAATTATTTCGGTCGTTGACTGCTCTTAATTTAAAAATCACGCACCGTGCACTGAGCAACGGACCCGTCACCGGCGCATATCATGCTGTTCCTTATCTCGACGTTGAGGGCACTCCAGGCGGTGCTGCATGCGGGGTTCCTTAGTATGGGGACGGTGCCGCCAAGAAGGACGTTGCTCTTGGTGGGACCACCGTTGGTCCCCCATCCAGCTATGATTCCTTGCCACCCACCGTAATTTTGGTCTGAAATAATTAGCAAAAATAGTAAATTAATGGTACAAAACGAAATATATAAATGGCATTTTTAATTGAAATTAAATATAAATAAATAGTTTTAACGAACTCTTTGATTGATCTTCATTTTAACAATAGCAGAGGAATTAAATGAAAATAAATAATACTTGAATTAATGGGTCAAAAATTGATATACAAAGCAGCCAAGGATGGGAAAATTAAGCACCTTTTTAACACCTAATTTTACTGAATATGAACAAAAATTGATTAACATAATCAAAATTTAACGTTTTTGTAAACTGAAATCACCCAATATTTTGAAATTCAACTTGATATTAATTATTTTCAAAGATCGTAGATTTAAAACAGAATAAAAAACAAAATTAAAATATAGAAATCACTTATTTAACTATTTCAGAAGAAAAAAATCACCTAAATAATTTATTTCTTATTAACAGAAATTATCTATTTATCTCATTTTTATTTATTTATTCATTTTATTTTAAAGAATTTCAAAATTATTTTAAACACTCACCTATGTCCTCGGGGAAACAAACCGGTCGTATAGCCGCGTTGAAAATCACGGTTTCGTTCATTTTCATGATAGCGACGTCGTAGTTGTTGCCCTCGAATTCGTTGTGAACGTAAATTCTGTCCACCTTGCGGATAACACGTCGGATCTCTTGTTTTATGGACAAAGACAGGTCGTAACTTCCCAGCCAGAGACGCAATCTTCGCACCGAGGGCAAACCGTCTGCAGCGCTGAAGATTTCCCCAATTAATTAGAAAAAAAAGAACAAGTATGAAAAAAAAACTGATTACTAAAAAGTGACGCAATGGGCCGCCGTCATGACCCACTGCCGGGCAATCAGTGTCCCGCTGCAGATGTGGCTTCCGTCGTACAATATGGCCACCATCCAAGGGTACTGGATGCCCGCGACGGGCGTACCGCCCAGAATTTTGCCCTCGGCATTGCTGAGTGAAAAATTTCCAGAGTCTGAGATCTTTGCCTGAGGGCGCGCGACCTCCACCGGCGCGGACACGTTCGAAGGGCCCAAGTCCAGTTTCCTGGCGTTGTTTGCTACAGGATTGTTCCTCACACCGCACAGGTCGTTGACTGGAAATGCATGAATCAATTAGAATTTACTTGAAATCTTGAGTGAAGAAGTCCGAGATGAAAATTTTGTTTTATTCAAAAATTCAAAGAGCCGTTTTTACCAGCAACTTTTTCAGGCGTTTTTCTTTGCTAATTTTACTTTAATTTGATTTTTTTTATTTGTTATATATTATATTTAAAATTTTTTTTCTTACATGGAAGGTAAAGGGCGCCGCAGTGGACCTGAGTTATGTTGATATTAAACATGACATTTCGGCTCTGGGAAAGAAGGACCAGTTGGACCAAATCGCTCGTCTGGTTCACAGGAATCATGGCTGTTTAGTTTTCATTATTAATATTATAATTTCGTGAAATTCTTTTGAAGAATTTACTAGCATAGCCCTTGGCCAGTCCGCAGATGTGAGTATTGAAGCCATCCGAGTCCGTGAATCCGCCTCCGATGACTGTGAACTGATCTTGGTAGCAAACTCCGTCTCGCGTCTGCCCCATCAGAGCGTCCATGAATTCAATTCTGAACCGCATAATTGAATTAAAATTTAATACTAAATAAAAAAAAAACTAAATCTACCTTATTCCACAAGCCTCTGGCCGAGGGACGATTCCAATAACGCAGCTCAGGGGATTTGAGGTTGTGTCAGGGTAATCAGGGTTGCGCATGATGGCATTAATTGCAGACGTCGTATCTCCACACTTAAGTAAATTAGGCCCTGGAGGATGATTTTTTTATAAATATTTTTTGTTAATTATTTGTCCTTACATTGACAACAGAATCCTCTGCTGAAACCTCTGCCGCAGGGTTCGCCCAGCCGTCCACCCTGAGCGATGCACTCAGTCCTGAGCATGCAGACAAGTGGAGGGCCGCCGTCGAAAGGTCCGGCGCCGCACTCGAGTGGCACCGGCTCCTCAGTGGTGGTCGTCGTATGTCGGGGGTAGTAAGGCCGGTAATGGTGGCCTGAAATTCAATTAAGTAAAAATTCTCTCAAAAAGCAAAAATTTAAAATCACCGTAGCCGTAGCCGCCGTGGCCGTAACCTCCGTACGGACTTCGTTTCGCGTCTCGACTTTGGTTCGCGGCGCCGATCGTTTCGTACTCGTAAGCGCTTTCGGGGTTGTCGAGTAACATATCAAAATCTAAAATCGCCCCCTTCGAGCCGCTTAAGAGGGCGCTTGAGTAGAAATTAAATATGAAAAAATGGGTTTAAAATTCATCGGGGAAAATATACCTGACTATAAAAATACTGAGCAGTATGTTTGGAGCCATTCTCGTCATGCTTGGCTCGAGGCTCGATTTGCACTGAGAGCTCAAAAACTTGAAAGATGCATTTCTTTATTGCCCCTATGAAATTCGCCAGTATGACCCCCTCTGTGATAATATCATGCTCTAGGCACCCTGCTGATAATTATTTTTCCAGGCGTCACTATTTCATAAAACAAGGTTGTGTTGTATGAATGAAATTCAGTGTTTTTGTCACAATTATTTCAAATTAATCACTCTTTTTTTATTGAATTTTATCTAGTTCAAACTCTCTGATCATTTTTTTCACCATCAATGTGGTTCCAACATTCTACATTCTGTCTTTATTGCACCTAGGAAGTTTTTACGCAGTTCAGCTAATTTCCAGACCTCACTAAATATTACAAATAATAATATTCCACAAAGTTTCAATAGGACGTACAAAATAAAAATATTGCTTTGCATCACCTTCGCCAGCATGATAAAATACATATTATTTCTATTAGTTGAGATAGAATTGTAAAATTTAATACGGAATATATAATAATTTATAAATCTCCATTACTGCAACATTAAGAATAAAATCAGACACGGCAAACGAACAGGCGTTTCAAAGGATCTTTCGAAAAGAACCCAAGTTTTATAAATGCTCCTTAACAAAAGCGTGATAAAATGTCTAAAATTCAAACACAGCTAATCTTATATGTATAATTTACGGGCATAAAAAAAATTAGTGAGATGCGAAATTGCTGAAGTCGGTCTTGAGCTTGATGCTGGGCTGCTGCTGGTGTTGCTGCGAGAGGACCTTGTTGTTGGCGGTCGACGTGGCATTTGAGCTCACCGTGTGGCTACTCTTGATTGCGTTCTGGATTCTGGTTCGGAATTGCGGTAGCTGGTTCATGAGCAGCTTGAAGTCCTGCGGGTACTGAGGCGCGATCCGCATCAACCACCCTAGGCTCTGCTCATGCAGCACTTGCGACTGCTTCGAAACGCCGCCCCTGCTCGGCTGCTCTTCCTTCAGACAATTGACCAAAATTGGCAGCAGCAGAGACAAAAGTTGCATTCCTTTAAGAAAAAAAAAATCAAAATTGTTATCCAATCTTATGAAACTTTCAAACTAAAATTGACTATAGCAATAATCTAGGCAGGAATAAAGCGCTAGCTTACCAGCTTTGCTTCTGTCTGCAGCGTTAATATTAATTTACAATTAGCAATTACATTGCGGGAGTTTTTTTTTTTAATAAGATGATAAAAAAAATAAGCTTACGGTTTTGAGGTTTGGCGAGCATGACTAAACTCTCCAGAGTTTTCAGTCCTTCGACAGCCACAGCAATCTGGTTCTCATTCATCAGTTGGCTCTTGTTGCTCGTCAAGAGGTGCAAAATTTCAATAAGCCGAGGCGCCAGATTGTGAATGAATGAAACAGCAACTCGTTGTTCGGGCACTTGGAAAACTGCTCGGAGCGTCTGAATGCATTGCAATCGAACCTGGAAATGAACAATAATAATTAAAGCTTATTTTTTTCCAACTAGATATGATTAATAATATAAAAAAAACAGCTTAAACAATAAAAATACTTTTATGAAAATTTTTTTTTTTACCATAACATTGTTGCTTTCCAAGCACAATTTGAAATGGTTGACGCACGGATAGAGCAGCGTTGGTGTGCAAATGACATCTGGAGAGCAGTGCAGAATAAATACGGCTATGGCCAAGAGGACGGTCGTCGCATCCAGGCGGTTCTGATCACTTCCAGCCGTTTTCGCCAAGTCCAGCAGCTTCCCCAGTGCAGACTGCAACAGTTTTCTCATCTGAATTCCCTCCGTGGAATCCTGCTTGGCCAATTTCAGAGACGCCAAGGAACGCAGGCAGTGCAGTGTGGACACGACGGGGTCGGTGGTCACCTCGCAGTTTCCTTCGAGCGCGCACTCTTCGATCACTCCGGTGGCCAAATACAAGAGGGTAGGTGCCACTGTGAGGGTTCCTGTAAAAATTCATTTTTATAAATATTATCTTGAATAAAATTACTAAAAAAATACCTTGAGGCGAGCACAAATTAGGCAAAATGCTCAACGCTTGCAGAGCGGAGGCGATCAGAAGTTTCGACTGAGGGCCTTGTGATGGCAAATGCAGCAGACTTGTCGGATTTTTTCCACCCACCGGATTCAGATTTGGTAGCTGCCGTGTCAACAAACACAGACACACTTCCAACGCAGCAAACACCACTGACTGATTAGCCTTGAGTTGGCCAGTGGCCCCTCCTTCTCCGAGGTTCAACACCTCGGGCAGACTTTGGGCATCACACTCTTGATTAGCAGGAACCAATTCTACAAAATTCAAGTATTTAATTATGGCAAAATTTTATTTTAATTTAAATACCTTTTATTTTCCGCGCTTGACTTTTTTCTAAACTCATCTTGCCCGCCTCGAGCACGAGCGTCAGAGCGTCCATCACGAGAAGCTGGACGGATGCACTGTCCCTGGTCAACATGAGCCTGTGAAGGACATTGCAGAGCTCCACGGCCAGGGAGTTTGAGTCTTCCGAGATGAGATACAAGCGGGACTGCTGAGACTGCAGCAAAGTGATCAAGGCCTTGAGACAGCTTGTGATGTTGCTCATGGGTTGCGACGAACGAGGACAGCACAAAGCCTCCAAACAAATTCCTATGATTTAAAATTAAATTATTAAAATTGTTGTTGTTGTTTTTTTTTTTTTTAATATTTATGCCTACCAAAAAGTAAGTGGAAACTGTCCTTGCAAATGTCTCCGCTCTGCTTGTTGGCGTTTTTAACATTCCAGCTCGATCCATTCTCCTCTAGTTGCTGATACCCACCACCTTTGGTCAACCAAAGAGTGACGGCGTGCAAAAGAGGGGGCCAGGCGGAGACGAAGTGGGGCCTCGATGCCTCAATTGTATCACACGTGTAAAAAGCGCCACCGTCGTGTGGCAGCTGACTTGAATAATCTGATAAAACCAATATTAAAAATTAATTTTAAATTAAGTGAAAAAATTTCTCACTTGAAGGTAGGAGAAGTAAAGCATGATCTCGCAGGGCAGAGAGCCAGAGTTGGGATAAATTAGGCAGCTCAGGCTGCACCAGAACGAGCAAACCTTCACTCTGAACGTCGTCTTCAGGTCGATCACCTGATTCTGAACTTCCAATGGCCACTATGTATATCTGTAGAGATTGTAATTAGATTTTGTTGATAAATTTAAGTTATAATTTACCTCGGCCCAAGCTCGAAGAATGGCTAGACACTCCAAGGTGGACAAACTTTCATTGTACAGCCTTGGAGCAGATGTTTTGCTGTTTGCCGGACCAGTTCGCAATTTTTCTAGAGAGGACACAAGCAATTGGTGAACCCGTCGCAGGTCATTCAAGTCTCTGGCCACCCCCGATCCAATCCAGGTAGAGCAAACCTCGCAGGCGGCGGCCGTCACAGTTGGAGGAGTGTCAGCTGTGAAGGCTGGACGCAGAGCTGCTCCAACCTGAGCTTGGTACTGCTCCAGAAGGAGGTGCCCAGGGAATTCTGGTTCGATGACGTGAGCAAATTTCTCAATCACGTCTTGCAAGGTGGTCAGGCCCTCCAGTCGAAGAGGGTCCGAGTCACTCGTGGCCGCCATGAAGGCCATTCGGACCAATTCTGCCAAGTGCAGGACAAGGAAGTCTCCTAATAATTAAAAAGTTGATTTTTTTTTAAGGTTTCTTTTTAGACTTTTTACCTCCTCGGCTTTTGCTCAGATGACATTCTTTAGCTTTGGCCAGGTCAAAATGCTTGTCTGCTTGCGGTGAGGAATGACAGGAAGCAATTATCCTCCTAACGCATTGGGCTGCAAAGACCCTTGTTGGCCAGCGAGGCGCGATTTGAGTCCTCGACCCTTTAGAGTCTGACGCCTTGAATTCGGCAGCATCATTGTCGTCTTCGTCCTCATCAGCGTCCAGTTGGAAATCATCAGGACTCAATTCCAGTACTTTTGTCTCTTCTTTCATGCTCGATTCTGAAGATCAAAACTTATAAATTTAAATTATAAAATTTTTTTATTTTTCTACCATAGGAAACTGTAAGCACGTCCTTGCAAAGCACCAGCCACTGGGTTAACGACTCCGCTGCCAAAATGTGAAGCATGCTGGTAAGAGTGTCATGAATGTGAGATACCAGCGTGTGGTCGCTCTCAGTGTCAAGCATGCTGAACAAAACTCCAGGCAGTCCCAGTTCATTAATATGCAGGCCTGGAGAAAAATATCATTTTTTAATGTGAATTTTTTTCCAGCGAAGCAAACCTTCTGTGTTTTCCTTGCCATTCTCGGAGGCCAACGTCAAAGCGTATTCACACACTTCCTTAGCTTCTCGTTGTGTCAACTGCCGAAGACAAGAAACGGCAGCTTTTCTCAGCAGCAAGTGACTGCTTGAAAGCATATTCTGCAATAGAAAATAAAAACTATGATTGAGTCCATTGAATTTGTCAAATTCATACGCAAAGAGTCGGGACAAGAGTCGAAAGATTGACATGTCTCGGAGCAAAAAGGTGGAGTTGCTGCAGACATGCTGTTGCCTCTGCTTGCACTGCCGGATTTTCGTGGTCTTGCAAAACAGCGCACGATGATAGGAAAAGTGATCTGGCTGCACAAACAGTGTTGCTTCCCCCTAAGAATTATAAATAAATATAAGTTTCAATTTTATTTATAAAATTAATTATCCACCTTGTAGTTCTGGGCCAATGGTGGTAATCAGTGCAGCCAGCACCTTTGCAATACATTGGTGGACGTCGGAGTGTGACAGTGGAACTGTGAGCAACAACTTGACTGCCAAGGACAAAGTTGGCTCAACATATCCTCGGAACATTGGACCGCCCGAGTCTGCAATCAGCGCCAGCGCATGTAGGGACCAAAGCTGAACCACAGGAGAGGCCAAATCTTGGGCCAGGGCCAGCAGGATGCTGATGCTAGTGTTCAAGTGCTGACTCGATCCGAGACCGCCAACGTACCTTCAACATTCAAAATTAGTCTATTGTTATTTTTTTTTCCATAAATAGGGTACTTGTGAAGGCATCCAAGGGCCAAAGAATGGCCAGTTCTAGAGGTAGCATCGCGGGCTGTGGTCAGTCGGTCGAAACTGTACTGGGCCAAATCAGCAGTGAATCTCGGCTCGGCCACTGCTTGAGCCAATCGACCGATGGCCTCGCCGCTTGTGTATCGCAGAACAGGGTTCTGGCTTGTGAGGCCACTTTGAATGAGCGCGACCATTGCCTTTTTTACTTCCTCAGTGCCCAAACCGCTGTTGGTCTTAGACTCGGCCATGCCTTTCAAACCTCCCAAGAGCTGTGGATAATTATATTAAGTAAAGATTTATAAAACAAAATTTTTAAATCGACTCACAGCAGTAAAGACATTCAGCTGAACGACTTCCTGTCTTGTTGATCTGGCTTGCTTGATGCACTCTGCAAAGTGGGTGAGCATTTGAAGCTTATGCTTCGGAGCAACCCTCAGGAATATTTGACCAAACAAAATGAGTGATTGGTCGATGACAGCAACGCCAAGCGGAATTGGACTTGGAACATAATTTTCCTCCTGAAATTTTTTAATGTAAAAAAAAATGAGGTAATGATTAAAAAAACGCATACCGAAAGAGCAGGTCTGTAAAGATGGCAAACATCATGTTCTAGAGCACCCGACCCAGCAGAACTGATGCCTTGCAACTGAAATAAATAAAACGTTTACAATAATTTACAGCTTCAATCATGACAAGTAAGGATTTGAGTCTAAAAAATTGCAAATTAATTTTTAAGAATAAAAATTAAAAAAGATAAAAAAGCTGCATCAAACCAAACACGCATTCAAATGAATAAATAAATTTAAAAACCCAAAACAAAAGTTTTAAGTTCAAACAAAACTGTGAACACCATGACAACAGAACTTACAGATTCCGACTCAACGCGTCTTGAGTGCTCAATCTGTACCGAAAATTAGGTGATTACAAATGGGCGATTTACATGTTTGGGGCAAAAATTTTATTCACATTTTTAAGTAAAAATACTGACCTGATCTTCAATCTGTTTGTGATTGTTCTCTTGCAGGCAGGAGCCAAGCAACATGTTGTCATCAGAATGGTACACGCTCCGTAAAAGCGAAGTAGCAGTGTTTGCTGGGTTTTCAGCCAAGGTGAATTCCGACACCAGAAGTCTCAGTAAATGAGTGTATGAATCTATTTAAAAAATAAATAATTAAATTGATGGCACAATTATTAAAAACTTACTCTCAATGCTGTGCGAAGGGAAGAGAGAAAGCGTTTCATAAAGCCGAAGACGAACCATGGAGGCAGGAGCTTTCAATTGTTGACCGTAGGATTTCAAAACGGAAGAGATGCTAAAAAAATTGTGGTTAATAAGAGAATAATTCAGTAAATTAAAAAGTACTTGGTGAGCATTGCAAGAGCCGACTCAATAGGAGTCAACAGCCTCCGAATGATGTCGTCGGTAATTAATTCAGGGCAGTGATAGAGAAGACTGTGAATTGCAGAGAGGGCGCCTGACCGCCCTTCCAAAGTGATTTGCCAGGTGAAGGCATCACCTCTGGCCTTTTCCGACTCAAGCTCTCTGTTCGACCTTGGGAACGAATTGCGCCACAAGAGCAGCATTCTCGGCAACAAACCCTTCACAACAGGAACGCCTAAAACAAAAAGATGAAATAAGGTAATAGGAGAGAAATACTGAAGACACTGAAGTTCCTACCAAGAGTCATTATTGCACCAATAAGAAGCCATCCTGCCTGAGTTCGGTTCATAGACAGACGGCTGTTCTGACTCGCACTTCGCAGAAGTTCTTCAGCAGTGTTGAAAATTATCTAATATTGAAATATAAAATTTATTTAGAACCAGTTGACATATTATAATTAAACTATTACTTTTCCCTTTGTGTGGGGAACACCAAGAGGAGACAATCTTACTCCTCCCAAAACTGCAGCCAGGGCACAGCTGTACCCAGCAATGGCTTCAGGGGAACTTCTCATGCTTTCGACTCTCTCCAAACACCTTTAAAATTAGACATTGAAATAAGGTTCAGATTCTGATTGATTTCAAATCAAAATCACCTATCAATCAGAGGGGTGGTGTGACAGGGAACAGCCACACAAATGCATCGCAAACACCAAGCAGCCGAAAGTCGAGCCGCTTGACACGGGTGGACGAGAAGAGCAAAAGTTGTGTTTATCAAACCTGATAAAAAATTATAATTTATTCAAAAAAATTCAAATTAGCAATTTTTAACCTGAAGAAGCGTCAATTAGGATGCTGGAAGCTGTGGTTCCGAGGCTCAAGAGGAGGCAGCCTATTTCCTGCAGGGCACAGACCAGCATGTGCTGATTGTACATTGAGTCTTGAGAGCTTTCCTTGGCATTCTCAGCCAGAGCTTCTGAAAATTTTATTATCACGACGGTCTTACATAAATTTCAATTCTAACCATTTGCGGAAAGGTGTTTTGCAATGAGAATCGCAAGTTCCTTGCAAGCTGCGAGTTGGGCTCTTTCGCCGAGCATTCTGCCCAAAGTGGAGCGCATGACGTGACTGATGCATTTCCTCGAATAAACCGCGTCCATGTGACTTGCCGACACCTTAGGATTGGCCACCAGATCCAAAAGGTGGGACAAAAACGGCTGCATGTTTCTTTCCAGCCACTCGGGCCCAACAGCTCGGACGAACATCACGTACGACTGGATTAATCAATTATTAAGAAATGCACAAATTCTTTATAAAAAAAACTTACATGTGCAATTCCAACTCTAATTTCCCTGCACACATTGGACGTTCCTTTTATTATTTCTCCAGTTCCTTTCAAAAATCCGGCCCCGCTGCCCTTGATAAATCCCGATTGCAAAATGCCCAAAGCTTCTTCCAGCGAAACAGTCTTCACGTTCTTTCCATTCTGCGCCCCACCAGATTTGGGAGCCGATTCCTTGCCATCCTTTAAGATTTTATTAAAATTCTTATCAAAAGATTTCATTTATAAAGCTTACAGTGATCTGCGTTTTGGCTATCAAGGTTCCGAGAAGTTTTGCCACACAGCATCGCACTTCGTAATTTGAGCCATCGAATGAGCGAATGCAAAGCATGGCCACATTTTCCAGCTCCACGGTGTAAAGGAAAGAGGCGTGCTGAAGCATCCCTAGTAAGCACTGCAATCATTTCAAAGTTAGAAACCAAAATTTTACGGTGAATATAATTGAAAGTTGACCTTGGCAGCAGCGCATCGCACAGCCATAACACGGTCAGTCATGTAATGCTTGACACACTTGTAGATCTCCTTGTGGACGTTGGTTATTGCATTTCCCATCCCAGAGCAAATCTGCATAATCCATTATAAAGAAAAAATGTATCTTTTTAATTATATTTATTTTCATACCTTTTCGAATGTACAAATTATTTCAATCCTAGTTTGAGACTCGGCATTCTTGATGGTTTTGACCAAAATCTGCAGAGTTTCTTCGTACGAACGTCCCATCATTCGTCCCAGCTTCTCATACATGCATCCCAAACAGCAAATGACAGCCCTGGAGTAAAAATAATTTAATTATAAATAGAGGAAAAAATGATTTAATTGTACAATCGAGTTGGAAGAAAACTGGGTGAGTCGTCTCTGACTTTCAAGATGTCATTGCACTTGTTGACCGTCTCAAACAGCATGAAAGTGTCGCCGACACTGAACAAAGTGGCCAGACACCTTCCAATGAGTCTTCTGATCGGAGGACCTGGCGAGTTCTGCATGCAGCTCATCAACTGCTCCAGCAGTTGGACCTGGCACTCTTTGATATCCGCCTGAATTTACGAAATAAAGTTAAAAATCAATATTCAAATTTTATATCATCACCTTGTGCGCGGCGGAGAGAACTTTGTCCACGAAACGCAGCCATTCTAGGATGAAAATTGGCTTCTTGTCGTCGGGAATCGGAGCGAGGGCCGCTTCGTTGAGAATCAAACTGTGCGAGAGCTCCATCAGGGCGGAATTTGCGGTCCTGAAACGAAACCAAATTAAATCCTGAACGCCATATATGATTGAAACAAAGAATTACATGTCAGCAGCAAAAAAGGTTCATCGTCACGACAACTGGGTCAGAAGGACAAAAACGGAGTTGCTTCGAAACACTTCGAAAGAAAGACGAGGAGGAAAAAGTAGCACGTGCAGACGGGAAATAATAAATTGCGGGGAAGACTTGACAGCTCACCCGTTGCAAGATGCGTCAAATGTTAAATGTCTGCTAACATGTTTTAATTTTGTAATTTTTTGTTGAGTGGGTTGAAGCTTGTTTTGCAGAAGTTCCGCAATCGGCCAAATATTTGCAGATGGCGCTCGGGCAAAAATCTGCCAGCTGGGAAAAGGGGGCGTGCCTTGTATTTACCTTCGATTTTAAAAACCATGAGGACTGGAAAAGTCTGATGCAATTTTATCTTTTACCACTTCGAAATTGAAATTTATGCTCTAAAAAAGTATTCCAATTTTGTGTGTGAAGTCTTTGTTTTTTCCTTGAAGAAAGTGAGGAAATTGTTTTGCACATTAATTTAGTTATTAACAAAATAAAATAAATTTTTTTAGTCGCTGCCCGATGAGAGCAATTTTTTCACGAATCGTGCTTAATTTTGAGAGTGTTCGTGGTTTGTCAACTAAAGTGGACATCAACAGTATCATCATGAACATGAAACCGTTCAAAGGCAGCCCAGCCCGAAACAAGAAGATCAAAAAGGAATACGAAGCGGCCAATTTCAACTTGCAGGTTTTGGGCAGCGGCGCCCCAGGAGCTCCAGCCTCGCTCTACGTCACATCAGACCAAATCAGGTTATTTTGGAATATTTTCTTAAATCAACACGTATTGATTAAAATTTTTAATTACAGATACATGTTTAATTGCGGCGAAGGAACGCAGAGGCTGGCCCACGAGCACAAAATGAAACTGTCCAAAATGGAGCACATTTTCATCACCAGTTCGAGTTGGAAGAATTTCGGCGGACTGCCTGGTTTGTGCTTGACGGCGCGAGACTCTGGTGTGACCAACATCACCCTCTACGGACCTAAACAAGTTGTAAGAAAATAAAAAATAAAATCTCAATTGATATATAAATTTAATCATTCTTTCATTATCAGGAGGAAATATTTTTTATTAGCAAAAGCTTCGTAGCGCTTGGAGACTTAAACGTGCACCACGCTGACCTGACGCAACCTTATGAAGATTCAGTCATGAAAGTTGACTTTGTAATAATCGAAAGCAACGGCGATCCTCCTCCAAGTGAAGATTTTGATGATGGAGAAGAATCGGAAGGCGCTTCAGTTTTACAGGTATTAATTAATATATAATTTATTTAGGTAATTAAATACCTTTATTTCAGGCAAAGCGAATTTGCCAACGGGCACCTGGTCCTGATCAAAGCATCAGTTTCATCTGCAAATTGCACCCAAAGAAAGGAAAACTGCTTTTGGAGCAGTGCGAGAAATTCGGTGTCCCTCTCGGCCCACTTCTGGGAAAGCTCAAAGCTGGAGAGGATGTGATTCTTCAGGATGGAACAGAGGTCAAATCATCTGATGTCACCAGTCCCAATGACCCTGGCCCAACTTTCATAGGTTTTATATTAAAATTTAAAATTTCATTCCGTTATTAATTTTAATCAAAGTTGTCGAGTGTCCTGACGAGTCGTTTCTGCCTTCGTTGCTGTCAAGACCGGAGTTCAAAAAGCACCAGACTGACGACCCTGAAGCAGTTTTTGCCATCTTCCATTTCACGCCGCCCCAGGTGATGCGTCTGCCTGAATACCAAGAGTGGATGAAATTGTTTCCATTGTCGACAAAACACATCACTTTGAACTCTGACAATTCCTGTCAGGGAACAACTTCTGTCCACCGCCTGCAACACAAACTCCACCTTCTGCACAAAGACATTTTTCCTCTACCGATAGAAGTGCCTGAAAAGATGGCCCTGCACAACACCGTCCAGGGTAACACTCTCGTCAAATGTGTCCTGAGACCAAACAAGGGAATTGACATGTAAATCATAAAAATTAAATGTTGTTTGGGAAATAATTTTTTTCTTTAAATCAGGTCCTCAAGATTGCTCATCAACCCACAAGAGTATGTCCAGGAATGCATGGACGAAGAGGGTTTCAACGAGGAACTGCAAAGTGTCCAGAGAAAACTCCTAATCGCAGACACAAAAGGTGCGGTTTACCCAAAGATCACCTTTTTGGGAACTGGTTCTTGCATTCCCAACAAAACAAGAAACGTCAGTGGAATTTTGGTTGAAACTAGGTAAAGATATAAATTGGAAATGGAAAATTAAATATTAAATTTGTTTTCAGCAAAGACAGCTGTTTTTTAATGGACTGCGGAGAAGCCACTTTGGGGCAGATCGTGCGTTTGTTTGGAGTCGAAGAGTCGAATTCGATTTTGAGGAAACTGAAAGGTGTCTACGTTTCTCACCTCCATGCAGATCATCACCTGGGTTTGGTCGGAGTGATTCTCGCCCGTGCAAAAGCGTTGGAGTTGCTTGACTTGGCACCTTCCAAGTTGGTGCTGCTGCTTCCCCAACCTGTGATACCATTTATCAACGTAAACTATTGTTTTAGTAAAAGAAATTTTGTTATATTCTTCTTTATTTTAGAATTATAGCAACATTTATGAACCGATCCGAGCACATTTGGAAATGATCCGGCTCAGTGAAGATGGAAACTATGACAAGTTCAACTCCGCTCTTGCGATTAAAGAGACAAAGACTTGTTTGGTAAAGCACTGCAATCAAGCCTACGGTGTCCTTTTCGAGCACTCGTCTGGTTGGAAAATGGTCTATTCGGGAGACACGGAGCCTTGTGACAAATTAATTTCTATTGGTAAAATCACACATTTTTAATTTTACTCCTAATTATAAAATTGTGTTAAGGTCGTGGATGTGACCTTTTGATACATGAAGCCACAATGGAAGACGATTTGCGCGAAGAGGCAAGGCAAAAGAGACATTCGACGACGTCGGAAGCAATCGAAGTTGGACAAAAAATGGGTGCAAAGTTTACTCTTTTGACTCACTTTAGTCAGCGCTACGCGAAAATCCCCATCTTTAATAGTAAATTCTCAGACTCTGTTGGAATTGCGTTCGACAACATGCGGGTAAGACAAAAATTTCAGTAATTTAATGGTTTTTTAATATAAAATTGTTACTAGATTTCTTTGAGTCAACTGCAGCTACTGCCAATCATAATGCCATCGATGAAAATCATGTTTAGCAAATACCACGAAGAGATGGAAATAAAAACTGAAAAATTGGATCTGCGAAAGAGGAAGCGTGCTAAGCTTTTAGAACAGCTTGAAAGGAAGAAAATTGTTAAAGCTTTTACCTCTTAAGTTTGACATTTTTCTTAGGTTTTGTGTAAAGGAGTTTACGCAACAAACCCACAAAATAAGTTAATAAAAAATATGCCGAGTTGAAAAATGGAACAAACATAAATTTTTTTAATATTCAACAATTCTAGTGAATGCTGGAAGCTAATCAGTAAAATTTTTTATAAAAACTTAAGATTTTAATCATAATCATGATTTTTTAAGCTTTATTCGGATCCATACATTATTTTTGGCGCCAGATTTTGGCCTTTGTGATAATAGTTCTATAATTCGACACCAGGTGGTGCACACGTTAAAATCCAATCAAAACATTTCGCCTTTTGTGCCGACAAGAAGTTGGAAAAGAGCTGAAATTCAAGCTTTTGCAACCTTAATTTCAATTAAATTGCCAACTAGAGTTGTAAAAAAATGCTCAAGCTATGCAGTCGTCTCTCAACTTTGAGCACAGGAATGGTCCATCCGCCTGGCTTGCAATTTGCTTTTATCAGTGTAAGTTTTTTCTCATCAAAATTATTTTACGGTGGATGAATTTTATTTTAAATTCTCATATTATGTATAAATTTTCCAGTCGAGTCCGTTGGAACGATGTTCGACAATCCTGAAAAGAAAGTTCCCTCTCAGACCACACAAGAAAGGCCACAGACCAGTCAAACTGAAAGGCACAAATTATGTTTATGAGACCGTGCAGGGAAGGAATAAGACCAAGGAAGAACCACTGGAGGTCATTTTAACCCAATACGTGGATGGTAATTCGATCTAAATTTACTTCTAAACAAATCGATGAACAATTTATGATGTTAAATTTTAAAATTTGCACAAACAAATTCAGATCTGATCTTGGTTTTTTTTTGTGTGCAGGTGTTGGCAAAAAGGGGGACAAAGTCAAGTTGAGACGGAACTTTGTCTACAATAGATTGCTGTTGCCAAAGCTGGCCGTTTATGTAAATCCTGAAAACGAGGCACTTTTCTGTTCCGAAGCATCTGGAGGTGCTTCTGTTGAATTCAGCTCGAAAGATGCTCCGAGGGTAAACTTCAAACTTGGCTTTTTATTAAAAAGTAATTTGAAAACATTTCAGACTGTTGCTTACATCGCGCGCCAAATGGTTGCCGTCACGATGAGCAAAGACAATCCGTGGACGCTAGAACCGTGGCACATTCGAGCGAACGCACGGAAAGCCGGAATCATAATTTCCGACGATAGCTGCATCGAAATGCCGCCGGGACCGATCAGCGGGCCCGACCTGAGTCTGCAGAACAAGGAGTTCTTTGTCACCATCACGTTGAACAAAAAGGAAAAGGTAAATCTCCGTTGTCGCATTCACCACTGGAGCTCCGAGCCTAGCGAACGAATTTACGCGCACTACCCCTGGTTCGAGAAGGCGGAGCCGATTTTCGCCGAACAAGCCGAATATCTGGAACAAGTTCCGCTGCCCAAATTCAGGGTTCTCAATATATCTGCGCCGGAATACAACTAATTCCTGTGGTTTTCCATAGTAAAAATTAAACGTTAGTCTAAAAATTTGTGTCCAAATTTTCATCAGAACCTAAATTAAAATCAGTCAATCAAAATACAAACATATGTAATTCATATTTCTACGTTTATTATTAATCCACATAAATTAAAATGCATTTGAATTGAAAATTTCCAAACTTAACAAGCAAACCCTTAAACCAACGCAGATAATCCAAAGTCGAAACAATTTCATCACATTTTCGTTTAAAAATAAATAATAACTTAATTAATTGCGGTCAAATTACACGCCTCTAATTTCAAGTCGATTGTGTACATTTTTATGCCAAGGACTAGGAAAAAGAGGCGCGTTTTACAATTGAACAAAAAGCGCTCTGTGTTAATTTGGTAAGAAATAATTATAAAGAAAAAAAGCATCACAAAATTGAAATTTGTTACCATTAAAATGAAAGTCTCAAGATTTTCTAAACTAAAGCTAAACATTCACCACTACGAAAGATTAATATGGCAAGTATATAATTCCTTAAATGTAGTCGGAAGGTACTGTTTTCGTGGCAAGGGACGTGGTCATGATCAGGTCGTGGTGCCTGAAGGCCTCCAGCGTTTGGGCGTTCCAGGTCGAAGGGACGCCGTCGCCGACGGCCTCGTACATTCGGTCGGGGCCGCAACTCAGGTCGGAGTAGTAGGCGCTGCTCGGCGCACTGGGCGGCGCCTCCGATTCCACCTCGGGTGGATTTTGGTAGCCCGTGTTTTGGTAGGCAGGGTCGGCGGCTCTTTCCAGCTCGGCGTAAAGGGCCTCCTCGCCGGCGTACGAAGTCGTGTAGACGGACGAACTGGAATCAGGCGCCGGACTATTTTCAATACTAAAAGTCAAATTGGCTCAGATTGTTGGACAATTTCGAGCGTTCTCCGAGATTTAAAAATTTTGAATTTTATAAATAAATAAAAAGAAATGAAAATCTATGGTGAAATTCTGGAAAAAACAAGACAGAAAATTCACAAATTAATACGTTCTCTAGGATTGCTTTGAATTCAAATGATATTTTTACTTTGAATTTAAAATTTAAAAATGATATAATATTTTTCTAAAAAAAAAAAAATGTTTCTAAAAATCAAAACGATTTACTTAATTTCTGTCAGTTTGATGCAGTTTTTTCATGATTAAAACTAGTCTTGGTAAAAAAAAACTGGGTGACTTAATTGCCAAATAGCTGTTTCTCCATCAAAATTTAGAGCTTGTAGTTAATTTTAGGCAAAACAAAAACATAAAAATACTAAAAATAGGTTCATTTAGGTGGCATTTTATAATTTAAAATAAATTATAGAAGGAGAAAAAGTCACAAAATAGGTTGTTTTTTAGATATTCACTCTATTTTTGATAAATATTTGTAATTTAATTCATTCTAAAACCTCAATTTCAACTAAGAAAAAGCATTTTTGTCTCTTATTTCGTTATTTTCTAAAAAAAAATTATTAAAAATGCTAATTAAAATGTTTGTATTTAATTGGAAATTTCATAAATAATTTCTTTAAATTAATCAATTTTTTTTCTATTTTTCATTAAGTAAAATTCAAAATACTTTAGATTCCGGAGAACGCCTTTGATTTCTTCAAATATATTCACCTTCTAGTCACTGTGTAGTGATTTTCATTTGTCGGAGGCGCAGTCGGGCAGAGGCGGCGCGGAGGCCTGCGCTGGAGGCTGCTCTCGCAATGGCCCCTCACCGAAATGGGGTTGCGTTTGAAGATGCGCCTCCAGAAACCACCGCCTCGGGGTGTCCGCGTCGACGGCAGGGGTGGCGTCTTGTTTTCGTCTGCGAACGGATTTTGATTCTCAGGGGTGGAAGAGGAGGTGCGGCCGCCGCGGAGGTCCTCCTCCTCGTCGCTGGCGCAGCACCCGGACTGCAACCCTTTCATTCTAAGTAAAGAGAAAAGTCAGATTGAAAAGGAAAAAAAGTAGGGGTTTTTCGGACCTTCTGCATTGCAGCATTGTGACTGTGACGACGGCTCCGATCACGGCTGAAAGGAACGCGACTAAGACAAGAGTTAGGGCCCAGCCGAATTCCCCATAAGTGGCTGGAGACAGTCCTAAAAAGCAAAAATTAAAATAGTAATTAAATTACAAATATTAATTTCTGTTCGTTTAATTGATTTAAATGAAATTGTCAAAATATAAATAAGATTTTATTTAGAAAAACTATTTCAATTTAATTATTTTATTAAAAAATAATTAATTGGTACGAGACATAAAGTTCTAATCCTTTAAATAGTTCAAAGTATTATATTTAAAATTCAAATAAAACAATTTTCTAATTTTTATTCATATTTTTTCACTTTTGTATTTAGTTTTTAATTAATGAACAAAATTATTTGAAAATATCTTACGATTAGGGTCTATGGCAAAAGCAGGGTTGCTCCAGGCCCAGGAGCACAAATCGCAGCTCGAGGTGAAGGCCTCGCTGCCCAATTCCTCGAGGGCGAGTATTTCTGACGGTCGTGGCGGCGGAGGCAGAAATCCAATGGACGAAATGCTCTCCGAACTCAGAGGAATGTCGACCAGATTTTGCAGGGCGCTCACTGGCAGCCACGAGTCCACGTCCTCCGCGTCCGCCCACCAGTCATCATCGGCAGTTGCGTTCTGCAAATTAAAAATTAATTCATTTCTAAAAAAAAAATTAAATTTATTCATTGCCAGAAAATTCTTTAGTGAAATTATTGAATTATTCACAAAGGTTTTCGGAATTGGTTTGGGAAAAGTCTGGGATTTATTGACGGGCGAGTCATTGCCGGCTCACGGTTTAATGATCGGCAAAATGCCCAACTTGCTGGGCGGTCCATAAATCTATCGACGACCGAGCGCCTCTTGTGAGAGCTGCACGGCCAGCCAAAGAAAGGTATGTTGGACCTGAGTTCATTTTGCGGGTTTCGGAATTTAGCATTTAAAATTTTCACACAGAAAGTTTGTTATAAATTTGCAATTTCCTTAATTTAATTTTTACTCTTTTTACTTTAAATTTCGTTATCTGGAAACCAAGATTTTCAAAAATTTTAAGAAGGAAAACACATTAAAAATAATAAAATAATTTTTTTTAAATAATATAAAATGCCCAAACGAATCTTTTTAATTGCGTGCAAAGTGTAAAAATAAAGCTCACAAACAATAACTTTTTTTGCATTGATATTTTTGCACACGGGTCTAAAATCAATCACCCGAGAGTAATTCACGAGGAGCGAAACCAGCATCCCCCCACCTGAGCTCAAGTCCCTCTCTGGTTACCTCGGTACATTTCGAGAGATTATTCTGCTCTTCTCTTTGCTTAGAGAAAGAAATAAGAGAACGCGTTGAGCACAAATTCTGCAGCTCGGCCAACAAACTCGGGGCAAAGCGAAGAAGTGCAATAAACCAAACGTATAGTATAAAATTCAGAATAAGTAATTACTTATATCTGATGTTACTGGCCGCGGCCAAAAACATGCGGTTAATAAAAAGATCATTTTGATCTCGACGAAGGTACAAATTTTACAACTTAATTATTCGTGTGCACGGTCATGCCTCGTTTTAAATGGAATTCGTTGGAAAGCTTAATGACCCGTTTCAAAAAGTAATATTTTTTATATTGAAGTTAATTATCTGTAGTTTATTTTTAAATTTTTTTTATAAAATACAACAAAAATGCAAGGATTTTAGTTCGTTTATAGCATTTCATGTGCAGATGTCTGACCTGCGGGTTGTTAAAACCCTCATTCATTAGTGGCGGCAGGTGCAGAAAAAGATACCCTTCAAATTGGTTAATTTATTGCTATTAACTTTTACCTGGAAGGGAAGAAGGTATAGAAAAAGGAACCTGACAAGTTGAGGAAGGAGCTCCCTATAAAAAAATTACAAGCTTCCATTTGGAAAAAAAAACTGCAGAGAAAATATAAAATTGTAGATTATTAACGGAGATCAGGGTTTGTTCTCTGATAATTTGAGGATGGTATACTTAAAAAAATAAACAATCACTTTATAATTATTATTTACAGAAGCATCAATAATTCGTATGATTTATTTACAACTTGTAATGAAATAAGAAATTATAAGTTAATTATTTATCTTTTAATTTACTGCAAGTTGAATAATTTAAAACTGAAGAAACAATAATAATGTCATATCTGAATTTTTAAAAATAAAATAATTTCACCGAAAGTGTAACTTGATAAACGATAGAATTATTTTAAACAATTAATTAGGAAAGTACAAATAATAAAGATAATTTTAATGAGATTTTCAAATTAACGTCGAATTCCAATGACATCTCATTTCTCAATAAAAGTTTGACCGACGGCAACCTTGAAAATGAACCGCAACGGAGTAAAATAAAAAGAAGCGGCCACCGCCGAGAGAGACGAAAGGAGTCGAGAAGCCGAGGGCTGTTGAAAAGTTCCTTTTTTGTAACAACTCCACACACCCGTGATTATTATACGCTCCACACACACACACACACACCTTTCAAGCTCGTTAATGTCTTCATCAAGAAAACTTCCAGGAGGCAGAAGAAAAAATAAAGATTTTTAGTAAAACCTGCACCACTAATTGTGTGTTCGTTAAATTTATAAAAGCAGTGCGAGAATTCAGACAAAAGCTGAAAAACGACGTGCTTGAGTTTCTGCGCGTCTCGTTTTTTTGAAGGGACTCTTTTTACATTTCACACGTTTTTGCGATTTTTCAGCTCGCTGCTCTCGCGGCACGGTTAAAAACATGCATTAAAGATTATTACTAAGCAAGTGCGAGAGAATTAAACGCTTCCTTTCGTGTCATTTCGTCGTTTTTCGTATATACAGCTTTTCAATTTGCACGCGCTGCAGGAAATAGAATTTTTCCTTTTATCATAATTAAAAACAAGAGATATAATATTTCCTGTCGCTCAGGAAAAGTGTACGAATTACTCCGTTATTAAAAATTCACTCTCATATATTTATTAAAACGGCAAAATTCTGACATCGTGTCTGTTTTTCCCACAAGACTTTTTGTCATCTTTGACGTGATAATTCTCTTCGCAATTAAAAATAATGGAAAAGGGAAAAATGTAATAAAATTAATAAGCTAATTACATTATTTCAATGCCGGCAGGAAAGGGTTGAATGAAAATCTTGGAGGAATTTTCAATGGGTGACTTGTTGGAATTTGACACTTTTTATATAACCAAGGTGCGCGTTTCCCAGGCACTGATTTTCCCATTGATTCTTATAAAGGCTTCACTCACTTTTAAGGATTCCTTCCCAAGACAAAAGACAAGCTCCTTAATGGATATTTGTTCACCGAAACGTGATAATTGACTCCGAAAAATAAAAAATAATGAATCTCGTTTATGAGAGGTAAAATGATAGATTATGTCAATTTTTGAATATGTAACATTATCTTATAGCTTTTTTTATTTCTAAAAATTGTTCTTTTATTAGATTTTGTATTTTAAAATGGTAAAATCAATTAAATTTCTAATTAAAAGTAAAATTATTATATTAAAAAATCAAATAACAAATATTAAAAGAAATTCATTTGGTAATAATTTTTAGATATAACAAATAATTTAAATTAATATTACAGGCCTATATATCGCCTGGATTTCTAATAAGAAACAATCATTTTTAAACAGAACAGAAATAAAAAAATTCCTAGTTTAAATTTCAACTGAAAAAGAGAGATGAGCCCAATCAATCTTAATTAAAACGGTGGAACATTAATATGGAGAGCATTAGGAGTAAATAATTTTCTACGGAAATTGAGTTTAAACCTCACGGAATTTAAAATGAAATGAAATATTGAATTGAAAAATTATTGTAAATTTATCTCCTCCCTGAATTCAGATGGTAAAAACCATTTCTGGCATAGAACCGTTTAAAAATAAAAAAAAAAGTTCAATATTTCCCTCTTTTTAAGGATCATTGAATGGTTTGGAACGATTAAATTTCAGAACAATTTGGATAAAAAGAAACGCAGTTCCCTTCTTAATTATACAGCATAAAGTTAATTTTAAAATATTTTTTTATTACTTTTAAATTGATTAAAGTTTAAGATTCCACAAGAAATTTAAAATTCAGAGACTGAGCGAGAAAAGAAAACCAATTAAAATAGTCCAAATTTAAAATTAATTTTTTTAAACAGAAAAATTAACAACGCAAACACGACACAACTCTACACAAAAATCTCAACTAAAAACAAAAATTTAACATTAATTTTGCCACTTTAGTAAATTTCAGCCTAAAATTTGGTAATTAAATAAAATTTTGAGCTTTTGAATTATTGAATTGTTGCTTGCGAGAGACTAATACGATTGCAAAAGTGAACGCGGTAGAGAGAGCGGCGGGTCCAGCCTCACTTTAAACGTGATCTAAAAGTAACAGGACCTGCCGAAGGTATGGAATATCCGAGTGAAAATTCCGCCATTGAAATGATCGGGGAGCTTTTGCGAATGCGAACTCACCTCCATGGCTGCGGTCGCGAAAAACGCCGGTTTGCAAATTCACGAGTGCATCCTCGACGCGCGGCGGAGGGCGCGAGCGAATAAGGGGCTGCGAAGTCACGGACGCCGCGTTTTCAAGAGATCTGCTCTCGCTCGGCCGCCGAGGTACAAAAACAAAAACGCCGAGACGTCGGTCTTCGTGAGGTTGCTCGCGGCAAAACAGGTTTTCTTCTCCTCTCCGCGCCGCCGTATCGTTTTTTATTTTCACCTCCACTCCATTCTTCGGCGACGGCGGCTTTTTTTATACATCTACTTTTTTACCTGCCGCGCCCCTCCCCACCTCCCTCCCTCTACCTGCTCATATATTTTAAAGTACCTGTGCTGCTGCTTTTGTCTGGAATTCTTAACACACACTCGAAAACCTCTTGTCCGCCGCCGTGCGTCAGGGGTACACTTTTTCTTTTTTTCCGCCACATTCGCATAATAAATACACCCCTGCACTTAAATTCACATCCTCTCTGCTAATTGGATGCGGGTTTTATTTTTCCATCATTTCGAATATTCATTCCATTTTCAAAGATCTGATCTTTGAATTCATTTGGAATGAGATCCGGAATGAAATATTATAAAATAAATAGCAATTAATTAAAAAAAGTTTTGAATTGCAAGATTTTTGCGAATTTCTTGTACATAATTAAAATTTACTCGCATTTTAACCAAATTCCAGTTTGTTTTCAAATTTTAAAATCAGATATTGAAAAAGTTTTGATTAATTTCAAAAAATTGTTAAATGGTTTTTTTTCATGAAATATTTCAAATTATTTTTAAAAGTTCTCAGATATTGAACACTTTTAATTTTCAAACAGAACTTTCCAATTTCCGAAATGCTTGTTTAAAAAAATCGTTTTTTTCTATTAAAAACTCCTGAAAATATTCCAATAATTTAATTTTTTAATTTAGAAATTGCATATTATCTTAAAATTAAAATAATTTATTTTTATAAATATATAAAAGTTCTGGATTTTTTTTTATATTTTACTAAATAAAACATCAAGTACGTTTCTCTTTTCATATTTTTATTCCTAAATTAAAACCTGCACGGATTTTCTTTCAATTGGTATAAAACATTTTTACTTATTTATTCACAGACTTAATCCTATAGTTTGTTCTGAGAGCATTGTATTGATTTTCTTAAATTGCATATTTCGTATTTTTTTTTTTTATATTGAGATTGGCGTCTGAACAACTAAAAAACAATGGCGAAATGCATCAGACAAGGGGGTAGCTGGCTTGAGTGGCCACTCCGCAGTGGTTGTCGCGGTTGCGGGCGATCTTGACGTAGCCCTGGTCGCCCCAGACGGTGCCCCAAGAGTTCTTGATGAGCCAGTAGTCCTGGCCAGATTCCTCGTCGGTGCCGTAGCCGACGGCCAAAACGCCGTGGTCCAGCTGCTGGCTGTCACACTGAGGCTCATAGTACACACCTTAAATTAAAAAAAAAATCAAATAAATAAGGGGAGAATTAAATTCATTCAATTGGATTTAATTGAATTTAAAACTCTTGCAGGATTTTTCTTGATATATATTTTTTCCCCATTTATTAAATGTATTTTGCTTTTGTTAAATTTTATGAATTTTGATTACATGAATATGGCAAATTTTGCATTCTTTTATAAATTAAATTTATATTAATTAATTAAAAAAATTAAAAAAGCATGATATATATAAAAAAAAATTATTTCTGATTCTTGGCAACATTTTTTTTTCAATGTTAAATTAAAGTTATTGTAGAATTTGATCATAAGAAATTTTTAATTTTTTTTTTTATAAAACTAATTAAAATTTAAATTATACCCTTTGAGTAGAACTGGAAAGATTCATGGCTGGCATCGATGGCGACGGAAACAGGTCCAATCGTGGCGATGGCTTCCTTCAACTTGTCTTCGTTTCCGCTCTCCACGTCGACGAATCCTGCGTCGGTGGCTCCGGCGTGGTCAGGGTCGTATCTGCACTTCTCGTCCTGGCCAAAGAAATAATTTTTTTTTTAAATTAATTTTTATGGAAATTTTGCTGTAATCTTCTCACCTGTCCGTCATAAGGGTACCACGTCTCGGTGTCGAGACCTTTGTTGTCCTTGACGTACTGGAAGGCCTGGTCCATGAGGCCTCCGTTGCAGCCCTCGTTGCCGTACTTGGTCGAGCAATCGATCAGGTTCTGCTCGCTCAGGGACACCAATTTGCCAGTCTTGCGGAAGTGCTGACCCTCAAGAGCACCAGTCTAAAATATATGAATTTTGTTATAAAACATTCATAATTTTTAATAAGATAAAAAAAATCAAATTAGAAATATTATTAAAATTAATTACTATTTCAAAATAAAAAATAAATAAATAAATAAAACTTCTATAAATGTAAAGGGTCAATCAAAAGACCATGAGAAATGATAACCTTTTTAAATTAAAAATAATTAAATACTCAGATAGATCATTTTGCAAATCATTTTAAGTTCAATTATTTGATAATTGGCTCCTTTTTTCCCAAATTAAATGTTTCCGCAAACTTTTTAATTTATTACAAAAACATCTATCAATATTTAGTGGAATTTTAATTTTCCTTACATTTCAGTTCATAAGTTATCTTTAAAATTTTTTAGTTAAAATTGAGAATATTTTTACCGAGCTGAAAGACCAGCAGGAGCCGCAGTGGCCCTGGTCCTTGATGGGGGTGACGGCGCCGAGGTCCCTCCAGTCCTTGGTGTCGGGCAGTTGGACGCCGTGGGGCGAGATGAAGGTGGCGCCGACCAATTTGGTGCGAGTGGCCGCGTTTCTGGTGCGGTTGAAGCCGTTCACGATGCCTCGGAACTCGTGGCTCAGCTACGAAAACACGGCCAAAGTGTCAATAATTCTGATAAAATTCAAAGTCCAGAAAAATAAAGCAGAGGGTCAAATCATAAAATAATATGAGGAAATTCATCTTACGACTTGTGATTGTTGGATTGCAAATAATTCTTAGCTGATTCATATATAATTACAATTAAGCGCAATTTCTTTTGTTGAGAAAAGAAGCAAACTTTCCTTCTTGGAAGTAATTTGAAAAGATAAATTGCGCCATGCAATATTTATCTAATTGAAATGAGTTTTGTCATCTGAAAATTAAACCTAGAGATTTAAAGGAAAATTTATATCTGAATTAACTATCATTTTAGAAGTCATTTTCATTGGATAGAATTTTCATTGAAATCAAAAACTTATTTTTTGGAAATTAAAACAATTTTCGATGAGAATTTTCTATTATATATTTTTTTCTAATAATCTACCAAATCATTTTTTTTTAATTAGCTTGATCTTCGTTTTGACTCTGCTGCTCCATCTTTTAATAAAAAAAACTTTTCACGTTATTGTCACCATAGATTTCTATCTTTGCGGCATTTTTTTTTCAAAATTTAAAAATTATTTAATTAATTTTAATAATCATTTTCTAATTTGCTTTATCAGCTTCTTATCATTAAAATAGCTTTTTTGCAAAAACGTGATCTTATTATTTTAATAATTTTTATCTAGTGTCAAAGTTCAGAGGAGTCAGCAGATCGAGTGTCACACTTGGGGTGACGCAAGACAGTGGCACGATCATTTGAAATGCGCGCAGAATGTGCGGCGGTGGCGGCCTCGCTACAATATTATTTTATTACGCACCAGGTCAGCGAACTTGTTGATTTCCAACTTGTAGCTCACGTGTCCCTGCTTGAATCGGTCGTTGTGCTGCTTGATCTTCTTCGCGTTGTCCTTGAAGACTTTCATGCGAAAATTGTCCTCAAAGTCCAACTCGTAGGTCTTCTTGTGGCGCGCCTGAAATTCATCGCCGAAGAAAAAAATGCCCAATGAGAAAAGAATTCAGAGCGAAGCAAAATGTTAAAAAAAAAAAAACAGCCAAGGGCATTGCCTTGGAAGTTCTTGAAATTAAAAAATATAAGTAAAGTCGTCATGAATTAAGTAAAAAGAAAATGTAAAGAAATTTGATTAGTTTTAATAAAATACATACAAAATTTTGATTTTTTTGTATTTTAAATGAATTAATAAACAAATAAAATAATTATAAATACAAAGTTTGACTGTTTTGAACTTAAAGGTTAGCCTGCAGGTGAGCAAATGACCCTGCCAATATTTGCATAACTTTTGATACCTTGAAAGCGTCCCACTCGTCTCTGAGGTTGAAACATTGGCTAAGTGCAATTAAGGACAGCAATACCAGTATCGCCTTCATGTTGTTGTTTTGACGAACTGCAAAAAAGGAAACTTTATTCACTACAACTTCAATGTTGTGCGCATTTTCCCATCACGTGATTATCAATTCAAGTGACGCACGTATTAAGAAAATCGGCTCTTAAGATTTTTTCAAATAAAATGCAGTGAAAAAAAATGTATAATTATTTGTTAAATTTGACTATGAAAAGAAACTGTTGTTATGTAATAAGATCTATTTTGATTTTCACTGATATATTAATTTTATTCAAAAGAATTAGGAAAATCAGCTGCTATGATAAAATTGACCAAAATGATATCAATTAAAATTTGTAAAAATTTTCAGATCTTCAAATATTCCTATAAAAAAATGTCCATCATTTTATTTAAATTAAGTGGATTAATTTTTTCTTTTCTTTTAAAGCATTAAAATTTTAACAAATGTATATACGTAGAATTTTAGTATTAATTTATTTAATTGTGCAATTATGGTTGGTTTTTTTTATGACAAACAAGGAAACCCAAACTCTTTCTCGAGAAATTGCGCAGTAACAATAAAATAATTCTTTTACGAGTACAAAATTTAACAATTTACATGAAAAATTTATAATTTAAATAATTTTGCAAACCTGCTGGTGTTATAAAAAGCTCTTCTTGAAACTGATGCAAATTTCAGTCGGACGTTTACTGACGACGGCGGCTTCCACAATACTATACCAGCAGTTTCAAGCACCACTTCTTCTTCTTTTCTTCCACTTCCTTTCTGTGTATTTGATGCGCACATATAAAAGTCTGTCTCGGGTGGGAGAGCGGCGGAGAGACGGCCAATTATCTTGGGATATATTATTTGGTTTCAAACTGATCAAAGAGCAAAAAAATAAACAAGATATCAAAGGTCTTCGGCGCACATGATTTACAAGAAGAAGTGATAAATTGCGCGTGTGTGTCGGTCGATCTGGAGTCACGCGGCCAGGCCATTATAATTTATCAAAATTCTCAAAACCTTTTGGACTTCTCGGAGCCGATGACACAGTTTTGAGATAATCAGCATCCGCTCTTTCTTAATTAACTGACACAATTTAGGTCGGTTTAGATTTTTGTTAGTTGCGTAATTAGTTATTTTATTACAAAAAGTATTTTTAATTTTTAATACTTGTAATTTGCAGGAATAAAATATCAGTATTTCTTTGCTAATACATTATATCAAATTAATGGAATTTTATTTAACCATCATCGGACCATCATCTTTTCTAATAAATCATAAATTTTTTTAATATTTACTTGATTTATTTTTTTCAAGTGGATAATAATGTTAAAAAAAATTGCATTTCATTAAATTATTAAAATGGCATTAATGGCAAAACTTCATAGAAATTGATGGAAATGAAATCAAATTTTTCTCAAAAATTGTTCCTTGCAGTTGAGGAAAGACGGGATTTTTTTTATATTGTCTGGTTCTTTTAAGCCAAAGAAAAATCAATGTTTTTTGATAAAATTAAAATTGAGTCCTCGTTTGCGCCTTTCACAATATAAAAATTAAATAAAATGGCAGAACTATATTAGAAAAAATGAAATTTAATAGCTCATTTAAAAATGTGTCCTCAGTTGAGGCAATAGACGAGATTTTTGTCCGGTACTTGAAAGCCGAAAATACTTGGTATCCGAAAATATAATTATTTTTTACTAAAAATCACTAAAAGTTGTTGAAAATTATACAGATTTTGTTAAAACTTCCAGGATCAAGTATACCTCATTGCTTAGAATCTTACAGTTTTTGTCAATCCAAAAACATTATTATAACTGAAATATTGGAAATTTTTTATTTAATTGGAATAAAATCTGAAAACTTTTCCACAAAACCAGCATCTTTCCATGCGATCGCATGATTTGCCGCCTCCGAGCTCTGGAGTCCAGCGCCACGTTGCGGAGTTCGAAGCAACTAAATCCATGCCATGTGCCTGCTGAGCTGAATTGTATGTAAACAGACCATCGCAGAAACAAATTTTTGCCTGCGAATTTCTCAACAAACCAGTCGCGACGGCTTCGGCCGTTTTCGAAATCTAGAAAATGGGCAACAAGAAAAAGGCGAGCGCCAAGTCCGGGCTCGGCAAAACGCTGATTAAGGACAGATTCGTGCAGAATGTCAACAGAAGGACGGTCGGAGATTCCATGGTGAATTCCACAAAAATTGTTGAAACTTTTAAATTTTATTTTAACTGCAATGCATTTTCAGCTTCACACGGCTGAAATTAACGACGGGTATGACTGGGGACGATTGAATTTGCAGTCCGTCACCGAGGAGAGTTCCTTCCAGGAATTTCTCTCGACGGCTGAACTTGCTGGAACCGACTTCAAAGTCTGTCATTTTGATTATTTTAAAAGTTGTTTGAAATTGATTTAAAATTAATTTCAGAGTGAGAAAATGAACGTCTCTTTTGTAACGGCCTCGACAGGACTGCTGAACAAAAAAGAACGGGCTGAAAAAGAAGCTCAGCACCTGCAGCTGGCTAATCTGCTGAAAATTCCTCGAAGGTACCTAAGTTTTTTATACAAAAAGTACAAACTGATCATAATGGTTGTTCTCAGACCAAAATGGGACGCCTCGACCACTGGAGAACAACTTCAGGAAGAGGAAAAGGCTTCGTTCTTGCAGTGGAGACACGATTTGGCCAAACTTCAGGAGGAAAAGGAATTAATTTTGACTCCGTATGAGAAAAACCTTGAGTTTTGGAGGCAGTTGTGGCGCGTTGTTGAAAGAAGGTGAAATTTTGAATATTTTTAACCACTTTTGTACTGAATTTAAATTGTTCAGTGACGTCCTGGTGCAAATTCTGGACGCCAGAAATCCGCTGATGTTCCGCTGCGAAGACTTGGAAGCCTATGTTAAAGAACTCGACCCGAACAAAAGGAATGTTCTGCTGCTGAACAAGGCTGATTTTCTGACTGAAGAACAGATCGACGCCTGGACCAAATATTTCTCAGAAATCAACGTGACTGTAGCATTTTTCTCTGCAATTTTAGAGGATGAAGAGGTAATTTAAAAATAAAACCAATAATTTCCTATGTAATACTTTTTAATAGAAACCAGAAGAGATTGCCGAAGAATCTGAAGAGACTGCTGAAGAGAATGAGGAATCTGAAGAGTCTTCTGATGAAATAGAGGAGCCGGTTGAAAAGCCAGTTGTCGTCAAAAAGCACCCGAAGGTTCTCTCAAGGCAGGAACTTATCGAATATTTCAAGTCCTTCCAAGTGCCAGGCAAAGACTGCACCTGCATCGGACTCGTCGGATATCCCAATGTTGGCAAAAGTTCCACCATCAATTCTTTACTGCAGCAGAAAAAAGTTTCCGTCTCCACCACACCTGGCAAAACAAAACACTTTCAGGTAGAAAATTGACTAAATTTGTATTGAGAATTTCTAAAATTTGATTTTTAAAGACTTTGTACCTCGAACCATCCCTGATGTTGTGTGATTGTCCCGGTCTGGTAATGCCTACGTTCGTGTGCACCAAAGCTGACATGGTTACCAATGGCATTTTGCCCGTTGACCAACTTCGTGATCACCTTCCCCCTGTCAACCTGATTGCAAGTCTCATTCCCAGGCATGTGCTCGAAGACAAGTACGGGATCATCCTTCCCAAACCTCAGGAAGGAGACGATCCTGACCGAAGTCCTACTGCGGAAGAATTCTTGAGTGCATATGGATGTAAATATAATTTAATCTTAAAGTTAAAATCATCTCATATTTGCGTTTTTATCAGACAATCGGGGCTTCATGACGCAACGAGGTCTACCTGATGTTTCTCGAAGCGCCAGGTGTGTTTTGAAAGACTACGTAAACGGCAAGCTCTTGTACTGCTATGCACCTCCAAACTGCAGCCAGGCAGATTTCCACAAATTCCCAGAGAGAATTAGTAATAAACCAGACAATCCAAACATCCCACAGAACCTGCGGTTTAAAGTAATTTATTTTTAAATTTAATTATAAATTTTAAAATTTTTTTATTTCAGCCTTCAAAGGTTAGTGCCGAGACATTGGACCAAGCATTCTTCACCAAGGTGTCTGTCAAAGCTCATGTTAAATCTACAGTTCCCATGTATGGGGCCACTGCACCTTCAACGGCTCCTGGGTAGGTGAAAATATTCAGAATAAAAATCAAAATTCTATTATTTTTTTTGTTTCACAGAAGCAGTAGTGATTCGAATTTGAGTACGTTTCAGAGACCGCCTAAAAAGCATTTTAACAAACACAAGAAGGAGAAGGCGAGGAGGGTGTTTGGATACTTGGATCAAGTTTAATCAGCAGTGATAATTTTCAAATTAAATATTCAACAAATTCTGATAATTATTATATTATAACGTAAATGTGTTTCTATTCTTTGCAAGGACAGCCATGTTATAGAGAAGGAATGTGCTCATATTTACATTCAGAGCCATATTTAGCCTAGTTATCTTAATTGGGTTGCTGCCAATATAATCTGCAAACAGCTAAACTCTGACAGATTTAGAAGCCAAACAACTCAAGTCTGTTTTGGCGCCTGAAATTGAAAGTTGGTGGCGTCTGATTGGTTCCCTGGAAAGGACTTATTTCATTCCCTGCAACCATTGGCTGTCGTTGCAAGAAAGGGGCGGGGCAATTACAAAACAACAAAGATCGATTCAGGAGGGTAGGACGGCAACTTTCGGCGCTGACCTTGACCACAGGCGAAACACGCAAGACGAGGCCAGGTCGCCGCAGCCGAGGGCTTCGATGCCTGTCAACTGAAAGAAGTGGTCTTCGATGCCCTCCATCAGGAAACGACTGGTCAACTTCATCCGACAGTTTTCCTACTCGCACTCGTCCATCCCGAAACCAGTTCCGCCGACGCCCAGCTGCTTCATCCAGCGCTACCTTTTTGGGTATGCGTTTATTTTGTCCCCACTTGCTTGATTGCGCTTGACCTTTGACCTGATCGCTTGACCCTTTCCTTCCGCAGAGATGAGCACCGTCTGGAGCAACCCGCCATCCTGCACTCGTGCGGCAGCACTTGCCAGGAGATGCCCGTCCTGCACCTGGGCCACTTGAGTCCAGCCGTGTTTGCCGCCTGCACAGGCCCCGACGGTGGACTCACCACGGTCAACCGGGCAGCAGCCCACAAGCACGTCGCCACCAGTGACCCTGACGTCGATTACATCGATGACTCCAGACGCAGCTCGACCTGCTCCTTCCGGACAGACCGGACAGTTCAACTATCTAATTTGTCCAGGTTTATATTATTTTCCAAAAAAAGTACTTTCATAATTTTTTTTAACACAAAATCCAAGGTCGGTGGACAACTCAATCATGAACATCCGAGCCATGGGACTGACCTACTGCGTCAGTGAGGCAGATCAGGGCAAGAAAAGTGTGCACACTTCCATGTCAGACCTGAACGATTATGTCAATAATTTGGACGATGATTATCCTATCATTCCGCCGCCGCTGGACTACACTGACGAAGCAGACCAGCGGTACACCTGCAGCGCCCCTGCCTCACCCTACCACCCAACAACAGAATATTTAAGTACGAGAGCAATTATTTTTTATTTAGAAAAGGACTAATTTTATTTATTAATTTGTTTTCAGCCTTTAAAGAGTCTTTACTTGGCAACATTGAAGTGGCAGGAGTGAAAGATTGGTTCTCTCCTCACCCTCGAGCCTACGGAGCTGCCACGAGTCTTTACGAGCAACACCCTGTCACTGGACAAAAGGCTGGTGACCCCATCGCAGACTCGTTCGCCATTGTGGCCAGGGAGAACAGCGCCCTGCTCATTTTGGCCGATGGAGTCAATTGGGGTGAAAAGGCCAAAATCGCCTCTCGATCGGCCGTGCACGGCTGCGTCGAGTACCTGAACAAAGTTCTCTACATCGACAGCTACCGCTCCCCTGCCAGGGCCAAACCAAAGAACACCTCTGTAATCATCATTTTCATAATTTATTTCATATTTATTAAAATGCTTGAAATTAGGACGTGTTTCTGGCGCTGCTCCGCTCCTTCCACATGGCCCATAGCATGATTCTGCAAGAGGGTGGAATGCTGACCACCCTGACCGCGGCTGTGGTGTTGCCTCTGCAGGAGGATGACCAATACGTAGTCTGTGTGTGCAACGTCGGAGACTCGTTGGCCTATGTTTACAGCCCTTCTTGTGGAGTTAGGGAGATAACCCAAGGTAGAATTTACATTTTTATAATTTTTTTTTATTCTATAGATTAATTTAAAATTTGTTCCGTTTTGGAATGATTTTATAAAAATTTTATAGGATTATTTTTAGAAAAGAAACAATTTTGCTATTTATTGGTAAATTTTGCATTAGAATTTTGGTAAATTAAATTTTTCCTGATTCAGGCTCTCATGATATCAATTCAATGCGTGATATGCGCGACGCTCTGGGAGCCCTCGGCCCCGTGGACGGTCTCAACCCAGAGCTGAGCAACCTGACCTGCTCGATGACCGTGGTTCACACTGGCGACATCGTTTTCCTCACCAGCGACGGTGTCTCGGACAACTTTGACCCGGTCGTCGGCAAGTTTGCCATCCCGAAAAGGGTTTCCATGAGTTCCCCTGTGCCCACCATGAAACACACCAAAGAGGGTCTTCCCGGATCAGCCTCCGCAGGAGACATTTTAGAAGGAATCAAAAACAAACTGCCCTTCGTCGAGGCCCATCAACGACACGAGCTCACTCTGATGAGAATGGAGGATTTGTTGTATCACGGAATGACTGGCAATGAGCCTCCATGCAGGTCTGTATATGTTTAAAAGGTTTCATTTTAAATCTATTTTTTATAAATTAAATGTAAATTGGAAATTTGAACAAAATATAAAATTTTTATTTTTTTACTATTTCTGCAATTTTAACAATAATTTCATCACAAAATTTTAGAACCGCCGAGCAACTATGCGTGCAGCTTATCGACTTTGCATCTAAACTGACTGTTGCCAAAAGGAGAATTCTGGAGGACCCAGAGTTGTACGTTGGCGAAACGTCTTCTGATAACAAGCTGGAGCTCAAGCGGAACGAGCAAAAGTGCCGAAGACGCAAGGTATTCGAGAGACTGGCGATGGTGCCTGGCAAACTAGATCACGCCTCTGTGGTTGCCTACAATGTAGGCGACTACCAGAGTTTGTGAGTTGAGAAGAAGGGAAACGAGAGTGCAAAGTGAGTGTGATCCAGTTTATGGTTCGACCGATTGTTGCCTGTTGAATGCGAATTTTAAAGTCTAAAAAAACGAGAAGATACTTTTATCAGATTTATCTGTTAAGTTTTCAACAATATTTTATCTCTCTACTGCTGAGCAAATTTTTCCTGCTTGTTATGGCACATTGCGATACTTTTGTACAAAGATATATTATTTTGTAATTCCTCTTATATTCTATATTGACCTCAAATAATTTGCAGATTATTTATTATTAGCCGACTATTAGTTTTAAAATAAATTAACCAAGCAGATTTGTTTGAGGCTACGTTATATTGATATATTGAAATTAAAATATTTACTTGATTATTTTTTTGTCTTGAATTTTAGTGCCAATTATTCTTGCATCAGACAATTTAAACTTGGCGATATATATTTTTGTCTCTTGGCACGGCGCTGGCTCGCCCTCTGTTTAGTTGCTATTCGCTTTGCACTTGAAAGTTTTTAAACTGAGCAATATTATTTTTATATGCACAACTTTTGCTTTGATGAAACCCACCCCACGATAGTTAACAGGCCAGTCAGATAAATATTCAACGGAGTGGTAACTTACAAATCGTCTCAAAAACCTCGCTTAAGATTTCTCTGAGAAAAATTTAGATTGTTCAATAGATTTTCGCTCTTGCCTTCCCAAATGTTTTGAAATGTATTTGCCAAAAGAATTTAAATTTTGAAGACGAATTTAAACAAAAGTTGGGTAATTTATTTGTCGTCAATTGGTAGTTTGCAGTGCCATTCATTCGTGATATGTGGAGGTTGGCTGTCATGTTTTAATGATAGATATCAAGATGCTATCAATTAAATTCAAAGGTGCATTTAAAATTAAAAAAAAAAAAATAATGGCAGATTGCTGATTTTGGGACACTAGAGAAGAATTTAACTATTTAAAAGTGTGCAACGAAGAAATCAAAATGCAAACTGATACTGAATTTTACAAAGAAGGTGGTAAAATTTTATCTCAACAAAAAGGCCCGGTTCTGGCAGCAATTTTTTACATAATAGGCAAAACTAGATTGATGTTCCCTCTTTACGTTGAAACTCTAGATAATTATTTTGTTAGAAATTTAATAGACGCAGCTGTTAACAAACTATCTTGTTTGTATTCCATAAAAAAAACGCCATAATCTCTTCTGATCTCACTTTTATTCAATAATAACACAGAGAACACACTTTTATGTACTCAACAGGGCTAGGAACAAAATGAACATGTACAATTCTCTGCAATTTGGACCGTCGTGGATTAATAAAAGCAAATAAAACAACGTTTGTTTTGTTACTCAAACTATCCCATTCAGATTGAAAAGGAATGATTTAATAAATCCATTCAATATATAAATAATATACAAAGATAAGTGATTTAACTTACAAAAAGAAATCATTCCCTAGAACGACGAGAAGATGTAAATGTTGCTCTAGGTTTATAAAGATCATCTGTACTATACCTTTGCTCTATCTTACGAACTCTGAAACATTATAACAAAAGAGTTAATAAATTATGCATTAAAAATTGTAACTAGACTCACATCCTTTTGCGTTTTGGCGGAGCCACGGAATGATCAGGAGGGGTCATGGATGTATCATTTACCACGTTATTCCTCTGATCGAAGCTGGAAAGTTCCAACACGTTTCAAAAATCAAAAACAAAATTTAGCATAAAGATTTTTTTTAAATTTTATAACAGAAAATATTTCAGAGTTAAAATCTTTACCAATCCAAAATTTTCCTGAAAACTTCCTTTTAACTTGAATTAAAATTTGTATTTACCATTTTTCTACAACAACAGTCAAAACTTTGTTGTGTTGTACTTCTTTCTCCAGATAGTCGTCTTTGTCGTTTGCTGGAAAATGAAATGTAAATAGAGAGCTAGGGAAATTATTTTTGTTTAAACTAACCCATTTCTTGTTTGTGGTTCCAACTATTGCTGAGAAAATCCCTTTTCAGATTTATTTTTATTTTGGGAGACGCCATTATGGTGTTGTCATTTATTTCATTCATCAATTGAACCTAAAATAAGAAAACCATTCAAATAAAAATCCTTTTTAAAACCAAAAAACGAATTCTCACATCTGAACTAATGTCTCTTTCGACGCCACTGATTTCAATATCAAGGACCTCTTCCACTGTCAGAGCTTCCGAATTCTCAATCAGAATATCAAATCCATCCTCTTGAGGGGCCTCTTCACTCTCGGACTCGGAAAGAAGAGAGTCGTAGCCAGAGTTTTCAGCTTCCAACCGAATCATGACCTCGTCCAAATGGATACGACTCTTGACCGCATCAATGGACTGTTCTGCAGTGAAATAGTACAAATTGTTCGAGTCCTCGCCTCTCCTGTGTGAGCTGCTTCTGGAACTGTGTCCGTGCCGAGAGTCTTTTCTGTGATTACTGCTGCTGCTACTTCGGCTTCTGTGCCTGTCTGAGTCTCTTTTTGACGAAGATCTAAGATTTTATTTTAATATAATTTAGATAATTTAATTCAAAATTAAAAAGATTGTCCAATCCTTACCTATGACTACTACTACTGCTGCTGCTTTTTCTTTCGTCTCTACTTTTGGAATGACTCGACCTGGAAGAGTCAGTCTTGCTGCTGGAGGAGGAGCTTTTGTGTGAGGAAGAAGATTTTGAAGAGGAAAGCCTTCTGGAACTGCTGCTGCTGCTGGAGTATTCTTTTCTACGTTCATCTTTCCCTCTCTGACTTTCATCAACACTTTTGGATTTCAATAATTCCCTTTTAGGTGCTGGGAAATCTTCTTTCTTGACGTCAGGGATTTTTTCAGGCTCCGGTTTTGATTCTGTCTCTGGCTTTTTCGTCTCACTTTCAACAACAGCTTTTTCAGCTGTTTGAACTTCTTCAATTTTCACCTCGGCAGGAGCAACTTCTTCTTCTATGGCTTTGGGAAGGTCCTCGACAGGACTGGTAATTTGACTTTCTTCTGCAACCGCGACAGGTGTCGCTTCCTGGGAGTTTTCTTTCTTGTCGAGCGAGTCCTCCTCGACGATTTGCATTTCAGGCGCATCCGAGTCTTCTCCATCAGACATTTCGGGAGTTTTCGGCTCTTCCAGTTCTTCTTCCTGGACCATTTCGACAATCTGAGGAGCCTCAACTTCCATCTCTTTGACCTGGAAATGTTCCAATTAACCTAGTGAAAAATTTAAAAAGTAAAAATTTACTTTTTCCGCCTCCACTTCAGCCTGCTGCGCCCTTTGCTGTTCTAAGATTTCGGCTTCCTTTTGCTTCTCAGCCTCAATCTTCAGTTGCTCCTCCGCTTCCAATCGTCTTTGCTCAGCTTGCATCTGTTCCTCACGCTCAATCCTCCGCAGTTCCTCTTCAATCTTAATTTTCTGCATTGCCAACTGCTGCAGAGCCCACTTTGCCGCTTCTTTTGGGTTCTCCTTCCTCTCAAGTTCCACAGCCTCTTCCTTTGAATATTCAAAATCAAGATCGTCAAACTGGTCTGTTTTCTGTAAAAAAAATTAATTTATCGCAATTTCTTTCCTTAAATCGTGAATGCTTATTATCTAACCGGAGGCGGTTGCTTTTCATTTTTTCTATCACTGTTCTCATCGTCAGACGAAGAATCATATCCGCCTCTTCTGCTGAATCTATTGTAACCACCTCGGTAAGGATAAAAATAGTCACTGTCCTGTCTCCAAGCCCTGCCGTTGTGTCTTCCCCCTCCATAGGGAGACTGGTTGTCTCCGAAGCCATTGAAACTGCCGCCTTGGCCTCCAAAATCTCCATCCCTGCGCCTTTGATTGGGAGAATCCGACTCCACCGTCTCTTCGTCTTCAGGAATTCCGAGCTCTTTACAGATTTCCTTGTCAACTTCAGGAGCTATCAATGAGCAGACGTCCGGCGTCAAGACTTGGTTCAATACAGGACCAATATGTATGAAGCGACCACTGTATTTAAAAAGAAATTATTATTAGTAAGCCTGAAAATATGACAAATTTTTTGTTGAAAGGGCTTACTCTATCAAGTGGCGCCTCAGGGTGTCTCTGAGCTTGTTCTTGACCAGATCCGGATTCCACTTCTGGTTTTTCAGGTATCTGTTCACAGCATTTTCTACTCTTTGCCTCATATTTTGGTAAGCAGGCTGAAAAAGACAAAAAAATAATTTTATTCTTCCAATTTTAAACTGTTTTTAATCAAACCTTGGTGTCAATATCTGCTAGGATTTCCTTCCTCAGTTGGTCAAAGTACCCTTTGGACTTCATTTGGTTGATGATTCGGCTGGTGAGCTCAGGGTCGGCACCGTAGTGGTGGGCAACGTCCGTCACATAATCCGTCATTGTGGAATGTGTGCAGTCTGAAAATTTTCAAAATCAGTTTTTGCGTTACTCATTTTGAGCCATTCGAGAGCCTAAAATTTACCTGAGAGTCGGATTTCGACGGTTTAGCCTTGCTCGCAGGCTTCGACTAAATTATTTCATCAAAAGACGGTGTCCAAGTTGTAAATAATTCAGATTAGAAAATTGGCATCCGCAACCTTTAGATCGCTTTGTTATTGTTTTCGTGTTTGCGGCGGAAGCGAGAAAAGCGAGCTGGCAAAAAGCTCTTTTGACGTCCATGAAAATTAAAGCCCCGCCCACTCATCAATTTTTAAGGTAGAGTATAAATGAAGAGCTAAACCATAAACTAAAATTACTTGAATAAATATAAAAATTTAGCTTTTAAAACCTTTAAATAAATAAAATATGCTTTTATTAAATGTAAATGCGGTATTGATTACCCTTTTAATCGATTAATTTTGACAAAAACCGGGAGAATTTTAAAATAAGCTGTCTCCTTTATTAACTACCCTTTCTGCCACTTGAGCCGCTGAAGATGATCCTCATTAATTTGCTTTCTTCAATGGCTTCGTGTGAATTCAAAATTCAAAGGTAGTTCCAATTTGAAAATTGAATTTCAGTGCAATTAAGAACGCAATCGGCAATTTAAATCATCGCACACGAAATAACGCACATCTCCGATTATGTGGAGCTGTCACAAGTGCGGCAAACCTGTTTATTTTGGTGAGAATTAACCCGTTCATTATCGTTTGTTTACATTTCGTCGATTTGCATTGCTCTGGTGTTTTCATTGAATTTTTTCCTCGACAGCCGAGAGGAAGCAATCTTTGGGCTACGACTGGCACCCTGAGTGTCTGCGATGCGAGGAGTGCGGCAAGAGACTCAACCCTGGCCTCCACGCTGAGGTACTAAAGTTGACAAAAATCTCGAGATTTTAATTTAAAACTTTATTTTGGTTTCGCAGCACAAGGGCGTCCCTTACTGCCACGTTCCGTGTTACGGAGCTCTCTTCGGGCCGCAACTTTTCGGTCATGGGACGCGCGTCGAGTCGCACTCGAGTTTCGGGAAGGTGGAGAACAAGAAGAACCTTCCCCGTAGCCACCTGGAGAGCAAACTGAAGGTTTTCAACCAGTACTGTGATGGAAAGAGTGGTGAGATCAAAAGCAGATACGTCAACGGCAGGATGGTGCTGGAGGGAACTCTGCGGATCTGCTGGGGCGTCATGAACATGATCCACCTCAAAGAGGACGACGACCAAAGGGTCACGGTGCAGAAGAAGAAAAACAAGAAGAAAAGCTTCAACAAGGCTTTCCGACGTGCACATTCCTCAGGAAACAATGTAGGATTTGTCTTCAAATTGCATACCTGAAAACAGTTAATTTTCCAGCTAGTTAAAAAAAGTTAATTGTGAACAATTTTATTATTTTATTCTGGAAAGTTCTGAATTTACAAAAAAAATGAAAATTCGTGCAATATTTTATTATTTTACTGTTAGTTTCACTGTAACGTCAAAGTCTTTGGTAAAATTTCAGTAAAAATTATATTTATGACAATTATTGTTCTTTCAGGGGCTGTGGGATGAAATCGATGACCCTTTAGCAGTTGAAACTATTGAGAGGTTCGAGGACAAATTAAGCTTGACTGCAATTGAGAGCAGCTCGAACGCTCCAGAAACTTCAGAACAGGAAGATCTTATGTAAGTTTTGATTAAAAAATTTAAGATTCTCTTTCTCAAGAATTTCTATACCATGGAAAAATCAAGTTAATTTTTATATTCTTTTTCAGGTCTACAAGTTTTATTGCACCGTTGCCTGCAGATTCGGCAGAGGAACAGAACGATTGGCAAGATGAGGGCGAGGTGGTTGCGAACGGGTCTCGACCAAGCTCAGGGTCAACAGCCATCAGGAGGCGATCAGGTTTGCATTTAACAGCTGAAATAGGTTTTTATTTAGAACATTTTTCCGGTTTTCAGGACAGAGAAGATCTCGCACTAAAATCAAAAGAAGGTGTTCGATAAACGGCCACTTTTACAACCGAGAGACAAGTTTTTTCCTCCCACCCCGTGGCAGTCAAATGAGCGTCTGGGTGTCCTCGCTGGTCAACACCTTTGAGGTGATCAATCTCATTTTAGAAAAGTACAGGGTGGACAGCAACCCGCACAATTTTGCTCTCTTCGTGGTTCACGACAATGGAGGTCGGTTAATTTTTTATTTTGTTGAAAAAATGTTGATTTTTTTTTATTATTAGAACAAAAGCGACTCAGGGACGACGACTACCCTTTGGTGTGTCGGGTAATGCTGGGGCCGCACGAGGACGTTGCCAAGCTTTTTCTGATGGACGCCTCGAGCACCCAAGAGATTTCCAACGAGGTTGCACAGTTCCTCAACTTCAGCACGGCTGAGTGCAATGCCATTTTGGAGAGGTACAACCAGGAAGAGGACAATGAGATGAAAAAAATCAAAGCAAAGTGAGATAATTGATAATTTTGCTCATTTATTACAATTTTTCATAATATATTTAAATGCAGATATCGAGAAATGAAGAAACGGTTGAAGCGGAGGATGGAAGAATTGAAGGTTCGGCTATGAATTCAGAAACGCGTTGTATTCGTTGGGGCAGCTTTTGCCTCGTCTCTTATGTGATTTTTCACTAACTCAGTGTTGGTCTCCAATTCCATTGCATCTGTAAGGCTTTTATTTTAAACTATTTGAGATTTTTAAAGCGAGACCAACCCAAAATTTGAACTAGTTTCTGTTTTAATACTTTGAGATCAATTTTTAAAACTTTATGGTATTATTGCGCGGAAAAATTATTATTTTCCACTGATTTTTGATCAAGTTGATATTAGGTTTTTTAATCATTTACTAATTTTTAACTTTGGTTATACGGATGGATCAAATTTTTATTAAATTTTTATATAAATAATCGAGCAAATTAACGCAAAACTAAAAAGATATTATGCACAAATATTATATACTTCTCTCTAGAAATGAAATTAATGTGAACAATTTTACCCCGGTGTATTTTACGTCTTGAAGACGTTTGAAAATTGCTGTATTCTCTTCATTCCTGATTTTATTAAAAACGGCGGTGTTATTCGTCTCTTTCTCAAAATAAATAAAACTCATTACGAGTTGCCATAACTACAATTAATTGAAATATCTACTAGTTTTCCATACCATGCATTTTTAAGTCTCTCTTGCTACCCTTGAAAAAGGGGTGTTGCCGCGCGAACATTCAAAAATTCAGCTGTCAAAACATGGCTGAGGGTGCGTAAGTAGAGGGGTTGATTCTATTGTCGAGATTTTTGTTTACTCATCCTTTCGAGGCTGATTTGCAAAAGCGCTCCCTTCCGGATGGACAGGTGAGCCAAATTAAAACTTGTGAGATTGAATTCTAATTTGATTTTCCATTAACTTCACATTTCTCCAAACCACAGGGGTTGAATTCTGGTTCTTCCGCCCGCAACACAATAATGCCTCCAACTTCGACGACTCTGCCGCCCGCACTGAGCACCACGGCCTCGGACGAGTTGAGCAAAGTGGCCCTGAACACCGGGTCCAATGTCAGTGTCAGCGCCTACCTCATCGCGCCCCTCTTCATGGTGCTCGCTGTGATTTTCGCCTCAGTCTTGGTAACAAATTTTCATGCAAATTTTGTGCAAAAAGTTTTGATTTTAAAAATTCAGGTTTTTCTGATCATTCGAAAGAGACGACTCGATGAACTGAGGCACACCCTGATGCCCATGTACAACTTTGACCCTGCGGACGAGGGCGACCAAGACTGGGAGCAGGAGCTGCTTGAGGCTGTCCAGGAGACTATGCCTTATCAGCACCAACTCAATATAAAAGTAAGAAAATGTAATTATTTCTCCCGATTCCTCCTAAAATTGTATATAGAACTAATTTTCTTGCTGAATGAATTATTTATTTGGGATTTTAAAATTCTATCAGGGGAATTTATAGATTTTCCTTTTAATATTGATTTTTATATTAAACGGAATATTAAGATTTTGCCGAATTATTTATGAAAGAAGTTTTGCTGAGGAAAATAAATGTTAAATTTGGCGCAGTAGTTTTCACGACTGTCCAGGCGAATAAAAGTCCCATAAATAATTGTGAAAAGTGGGCTGCGACTTTTGATCTTGCGCAGCGCGCATCCCTCGATCAAGAGCGGCTGCCTTTTCCTTTGCCGCCGCTCAGTCACTTTTCGTTCTTGCTTTGCGCTGGAGCAACTTGCTTCTCATATGAAGCGAAACATGGATCGACTCTCGTTACTTCTCACAATCGGTAAAGTAGTAAAAAATTTATATAATTTAGGTAAATTTTAACATTTTAATTTTAAAGATTTCAAAAAATTTTACTTAGATAAAATAGCAATTGCACCATTTTTTACAGTTTAAGCCAGAAAAAATAGAGTAAATTTTATTGGAATAATGAAAATCAATGAAATTTTGTGAGGGTGATCGGATTTATCAGTTTAATAATTCTATTAAATTTAAAATACTATGATTTCTTTTTTTTTTTTTAATTCCAATTTTTTCCAATTCTTAACAGGAAAAGCCAGATACAATTTTCAAGCAAGTTGTCTATTTCAAAAATTTTCGCTCCCTTTGCCAATGAAATTAGCAAATAAACAAATTTTGCTTATAAAGATTTTCCAAAAAATAATAATAATTTGATCTAGAGAATTCCTAAAATAATAAGTTTTTTGAGTGGATAAGTTAGAAACTCATTACGTGAAAAATTGCAAGTCAAAGTTGAAAAAATTGTAAAATTGTTGACGTTAAAGAAAATGGAGCTCTGAAATTTCCAGAGCAAACAAAGTTTAGAAAGAAAAAAAAACACAATTTAACAGGAAAAAATTTATCACAAATCTTCTATAATTAAATTAAAATTCAAAAAATGCCAAATGTACCAACATAATTTTAAATAATTAATAAATTTATATAAATCTTTTACACAAATTGTTTTTTTCTCCATTCTTGAAAACAATTGATCAATTTTCTTAAAAAATTTTATCTGATAATATTTCTTCAAATGAATAACGCAATAAATGCATTAATAGTATTACTAAAATCTTGAATTTTAAAAACAAATTAAGCTCTATTTTCTTCCTTCAATTGAATCTAAATTTAATACTCGTCTTTCATTTACCGAGATGTGCAATTTGGGCTCGCAGATTTTGATGCAACGTAATGGCGATTATTGGACCGCCCTTTGCACTGCTTTATTCGCAGTCAGCGGGGCGCTTTTTTACCTAACGTTGATGGGTTGGGAATGACGTCGCGCTCGTTGCGTTCGTTTCGGGCGCATTCTCATTAATAATAATAATGCTTTTATTAAACGCGTTTGCGTACAACTACTAATACATACATGCTATACATACTAAATAGAACTAGGCGCACCACCTATCGGTTTAACAGAGCCATCCAGGGCGTTCCCGCGCTTCATAAATCTTTATTTAGGCGGCGCGATCATTTATTTACCTTCGCGCCGATGAATCAAACTACTGACCCATTTTCGACTCCGCCGCCCAGCAGCCCTTCTCTGCTCACACACACCACCCTTTAATGTCACTCTTCGTCAACATACATGCACCACCTTTAGTGGTGAAAAGTTCATTGTGTGTCGTTGGGGGCGAACGGAAGGCGGAGGAGGCCAGCGGACGGTGCTATTTTCGGCAGGAAATTAGATTTTTGCACGAGAGTATATAAACAAAGCGGCCGCACTGGGCGAAGCTGCTTTTTGAATATGCAATTAATCATGATCATAATGAAAACACTCAATTTGTTTAAAATACTTAAACATGCAACCAAAATTTCTTCCAATTTATAAATTTAAAAGGAATAATCAATTTTAATTTGATCAAAACCGTAAGAAAAAATATAAGCTAAAAAAATATTTGAGAAATAATTAATTTGGCTTTGAATTAAGGCTTGCTGTAAATTTTAGGGAAATAATTTTAAGGAATATTAAAAATTGTATAAAACACAACGATTATTTTTTGAAAATTTGAATAAATTTTTAATTCCAAATTTCAAACTCATTCTTTTGAATTAAGTCCTGCTGTTAAAAATTTATTTTGAATCTGTTTTCCAAATTTTTGTTTTTGGCTCCTTTTCTCAATAGGCTGCAACCCGCGCAACACAAACATTGAAATCCGTTAAATTCACCCAAATTTTAATTTTTTTCATTCTGGAATGTAGAGCCTCAAAACTTAAATTTGATGCAAGTTCCCATTTAGAGATTTTTAGACTTCATTTTCACGATTTCCCAGGTAAAATTAAATTTTATATTCGTTTCTGTTGCGTTTAGAATTAAACATGCAATGAATAAATTAAAAAAAAAAAATGCAATTGTTCCTAATTTACAAAGGTATAAATTTTATTTGCAATTATTTTTAGTGTATATTTTTTTTTGTCAAGAGATTGCAAGAAAATATCTTTCAGATTGTTTTTTTTTTTAATTTAGCCCAAATTAACCCATTCTAATTTGATTTTTCCTTGAAAAGTCTCGATAAAATCAATAAGGAAAGAACTGAAACTTCTTCGTGAGTGGTCCCGGTCGTCCCGGTTTGAACAAGAAAAATTATGACGGGGGCCAATTTGTTAATTTTTCAACGACAAGCAAGTCCTTTCAATTTATTTAAGCCCACAAGACTCATTCAAGACGCGACACTTCCAAAAAACACCAGTTGCGTCATTTGCCTATTTTCGTCAACCGCACATTGTCTCCGATAAATTTCACCGCAGAGCATTTTTTTTCTTCCTCACCAAAAGCTGAAACTGATTAAAAAAAAATAAACAAACGATTATTCTAGAATTCTGAAGAATTTCTGATCTCGAAAACCGAAATAATTTCAAAGGATTTAAGTATCGAGAAGAACCGCTCCTTTCTTCTTGACGTGTTCGTAAATTTATTTCCCATACGAATCCATTAGGCGTCGAACAATTAAGTGGCACTTGAGCGAAGCTGCTCGGCTTAAGCGGCGTTTTTTGTGCGCCATCATTGTTTGCGTAGGGAGATAAAACTCCATAAAAGTCTCTCAAAAGCCAGATGACATTTCTCCGCCGCTTGAGAAGCAGGAAATTAAGACGTTAATTAAAAATTCTGGGAGCGCCACTTTCCCGTTGGCGACCGTCGAAAGGCCGTAAATTTTCTGTCAGCCTAGGAAAAAAAATAAATAATTTGGCGCAAAATTCCTCCTCTCCACGCTTACGTGAGTAAATATTTCAAATTTAATAATGAAAACTTTTGGTCGGCGGCCAAAGGGTGACGCGGCGTGTGCGAAATAATCGTGTACTCGCCGGAGCAAAATTTCGCCGTTTATTCCCACGACTCCGGAAATAGAATTCGAACGACCCATTTAATATATTTGTATCGAAGACGCCAGATGACCCTCGGAGCTAATAAAAAAGGAAGGTTAATCACCAATTAGACGGATCAAAGGAGCGGTGGTTAATTAGTTTTTCTGCTTTCTGGCTCCGAATGGGACTTTTCACGCCGCCTGTCAATTTAACACGACAGCCGTGTCCATTCAAAAGAAACGAAAAAGCAACACGAAAGGTATTAATCTCCTTCTGTTTACAAACTTAACGTTTTTGTTGAATGATTTAAAATAAATATTATTAAAAAAAAAGGAGCAAAATGAATAATTTAAATGGTTTTATTAAATTTATCACTCAAGGAAAGTTAAAAATAATTAAGTGGAAGAATTAATTAAAACTCTGCCATTTTATTGAATTAAAATTTTTTCGTTTTTTCAATAATTTCTAAACGTTTATTAATAAAAATCAAGAAATTCTATCTTTTCAAATTACCAGTTTTTATTGATTGTTTTTTTTTTTTCAACGTATTCGAGTTTCACAAATTAATTTTAATTTATATTGACCCGCAACCAAATTAATTCGGCCTAGATCTCGATTGAAATTAATTCTTGTTGATGATTTTCGCGGCCGCGTGTCGCGCGCGCTTCGTGGTCGGGCGCGCCCGAAGAGGGTGTGAGTGGCGAGATCGGCAGCTTAATTTTAGCAACCTGCGTAGGTGGATAAGTCAAACAGATTGCACGCCGCTGACAGAAACCTTTCAATTTGCTACTAAAAATAAACAACGGTTTACTTTTGGTATGAAATTCTCAAAGGCCAGATGGGTCTTTTATTGGACGCGCCAAAAACATCGTCCGTGGATGTGTTTGTGTGCATTGGCCAGCGGCGAGGAGGAAGTTGAGTGCATTCGGATTTGGACTTTTTTACGACATCCTCCAAAGTAAATTAACTGCTAGTTCCAGGGTCAACTTTTAAATCCACTGACCTAAAAATAAGTTTCATTAAATAAATTTCAAAGAAAAAAACAGTAAAATGTTTAAATCTTTTTAATTTATCTACAAATAAATATTTATATTCCTGCATAATTTAACTTTTTTTTACTCAGCTTTGAACGTCGAGATGGTTATTTTTGTTCAGACCCCATTTACTTCTTTGACGACTTTCATTAATTATCTCTGCGGGAAGAATTATTTGGTTGGCTTAACCCGAAATCGTCCTCGCTTTTTCATCTCCTCGGCACCCGAAGCCGCAGAAGTGTCGTCTTTTGTCACTCAATCTCGTTTTGCTTCGCAGCAGTGATAATGAGTAGGGGCGACGTCGGAGGAGCTGCCCAAGTCCAGCCGCAGCCCAGCAGGAGCGCCCAATTCACCATCGCTCCGAGAACAAACTGCCCCAAAATCCCCACCGACAACACCGAACTGCCTGGCAGGGCCAACACCCGCGTCTCATTAAAAGTAATTATAATTATTTTACTAAAATATAGTTCAAATTGAATCAAATATTCAAGATTTTTCCAAAAATTGAAATAAATTTATTTATTTTGATCCAATTATTTAAATTTGTCTAAAAATGAGGAACAAAATTGATTTTTTTAATATTTTTTGTTTTGTTTTAATCATAACGTTTGTTCCTCACCAATATAATTCATATTGAATCAAATATTCAAGATTTTCCCAAAAATAAAAAATAAATGGAGTTCCAATTATTTAAATTTTTCTTAAAAAATGAACAACATTGATATTTTTAATATTTTTTAATTTAAATCAAATTTAACATTTAGATGTGAATTGTTTTAGGAATTAAGGCAAGTAATGCGTAGTGTTGAGCACGTTCGAGGTCCACCTTTGGACGCCTACATTGTGACCACGGAAGACGAGCACCAGGTATACAAATCTCACTCCCTAGCTATATCTTGAACATTTTATTTTTCAAGTTCAAATGTGATACTCAAGTAAAGCAAAACAAACATAACTTTTCATTTTGACAGACAGGCTCTCCGCTGAACCACGACCGGCGACTGCGGTTCATCTCGGGTTTCAGCGGCTCCACCGGCGAGGCGATCATCACCAAGCTCGGCTCGGCGCTGTGGACGGACGCCCGATATTACGGACAGGCCGACTCCGAACTCGGCTGCAACTGGCAAATCTTGCGCAACGGAATTCGAAACGTACACCAACGAGAAGTGATTAAATTTTCAAACGTGTAAGAGGGAAACACTTTTTTTGCAGACTCCCACTGCTGCCGAGTGGATTTCGCAGAACGTCAACAGAAAGGGCAAAATCCGAGTCGGCGCCGACCCGAAACTGGTTCCTCACCACACGTGGATCACCTGGGCGACGGAGTTTGGTAGAAATTTTGTGGTTTTGCAATTTATAAATTATTTCCAATGAAAAATTAAAATGAGAAAACATTCAATCAATAGTAGATCATGCAATTTAAAAAAATTCAAGTTAAATTATTTTGTTTGACGAAGTTGACACTCGAGGAGATGGTCATGGAAATTAAGAGCCGAACTCTTCATTTCCATAAATTATTTTGGTATAATAAGAATAATATTATTGATAGGAAGAATCAAATAGAAGGGTTGGGTTTTTCTTTTTGATATTTCTTCAAAATTCAACCTCTCAAAATAATTCAAATTTAATATAAAACCAATTAAAATTAATATTTTTTGAAAATATTGATTAAATTTAAAATTGACTTGCATAAAATTTCAAAAGTCTTTGATATATAAATTCAAATTTTCATTATTTTCCTTTTTACAGAAAAAAACAACATGACTCTCATTCCAATTCTGGCAAATCTTATCGACTCAATTTGGACAAGTGACCGACCCGAGATGCCGAGCATGTCCATGTTTGTCCACAGCTTTGAGTACACAGGTGAATATCCTAACAATGTCTTGTATCTTTTTAACTTATTCCTTTTTACATCAAAAGGAGAAACGTGGCAGAGCAAAGTGAAACGAGTCCGAGGCGCCCTCCAAGCAATGGGCGCTGACGCTCTTGTGGTCACTGCACTCGACGAGATCGCCTGGCTGCTCAACATCCGAGGCCGAGACGCCATGTACCTGCCTGTCGCCCGAGCCTATGTCATTTTGTTCCACCAGAAAATTTTCATGTACGTCCCAGGTGCTTCAGTCCCCGAGTCTGTCTCCAACCACCTCAGAACCTTCAACTGCATTAGTGATCCATTTTGCGTCAGGTAAAAATATTGAAATTTGAATTATTTAATAAATAAATATATTTTTATTTTAGAATTTTCGAATATGACCAGTTTTGGAAGGACCTTCCAACCTTCTCGCAGTCCTGGAATAAGGTCTTGCTGCCTGTTCAGTTCAGTTACAATTCTGGATGCAGTCACAGAGTCGTGACTCAGGTGGGGACATTATTTTATTTAGAAACAAATCAATTGAATTATTTTTTTATACAGGTGCCTGAAGAAAAGCGCATGATGCAGCCATCGCCTATCATGATGTTGAAGGCAGTGAAAAATTCTGTCGAAATCGAGGGAATGAAAAGAGCCCACATCAGGGACGCAGTGGCCCTTTGCGAATTCATGGCCTATTTTGAGGACAAGGCAGGAATTTTTTTAATTAATTCTTAATCTAATCTGTGAATTCATATTTTTAGATGTCTGAGGGAGAGAAATGGTCGGAATTTCAGGTGGCCAGCACATTAGACAAATTTAGATACGACCAGCACCTTAGTCAGGGCGCCAGTTTTAAGACCATCGTTGGTTTCGGGCCGAATGGCGCTCAACCTCATTATCGACCTCAGCTGAACTCCTCACTCGTTATTGCTAAAAACTCTACTCTTGTCATTGACTCTGGAGGGCAGTACTTAGGCAAATCAATTTTTAATAAAAATTGGCTCTTTAGTTAAAAATTTATCTTTTTTTAATAGATGGAACCACGGATGTGTCCCGAACATTCCATTTTGGTTCTCCTACCCTGAAGCAACAGGAGGCGTACACCAGAGCCCTGGCTGGACTTCTAACCCTGTCGAAATTGAGATTTCCAAACTCGGTTGATACGACAGATGTTGACGTCCTAGCTCGATCTCATCTCTGGGCCGCTGGAATGGATTACATGCATGGAACTGGTCACGGAATAGGCTCCTTTCTTGGGGTGCATGAACGTAAGTTGAAAAATAATCGTGATTCAATTAAATATATTAATTTTATTGGAAATAATTTCAGCCCCCATAAGTATTCACTACAACAGCCGACAAAAGAAATCTTTCGAAGCGGGCCACTTTCTCACTGTTGGTCGGTATTTCTCTAAATTAAAATTATGTACTCAGCATATCTTTTGAAATTTCAGAGCCAGGATTTTATCAAGATGGGGACTTTGGTGTCCGAGTAGAAAATGTATTGGAAGTCGTTCTAGTCAAACAAAAAGTAAGGATTTTTTACTTTTTTATTGTTAATTTCTGGACCATCCTTAAATAAATTTTCTTATTTTTAGTATAACGTGTCCGGGCCCTATTACGGCTTCAAGACAACAACTCTAGTTCCTTACGAGCCAAAATTAATCAACACTGACTTCCTTACTCCAGACCTGGTATTTTGCTGAATTCATTTTTCTTAAAAAAAGGCTAATTCTTTTTTTAATTTTTCAGAGGAAAATGATAAACGAGTACAATGCAAAAGTGAGACAACTAGTCGGATCGGAGCTGAAGAAGAAACCAGACCTGAAGGGTTTCAAGTGGATGATGCAGAAAACTGGTTACATCCCCGAGTGGCTTCCACCCAAAAATTCAAAGTCTTCGATGCATCAAGAAAGTATTAAACTGTCATTCTTAATTTTAAGCGTCGTTACGATCTTATTGTGAGCACTCGATATACTCGGGGACTTGGAAATTTCTGTGATTAAATTTGAGTGGTCATGAAATAATAACGTGTGCTTAAGTGTGCGTGTATAAACTTGGTGTAACAGATGATTGAAAATGTCAAACAATCTGCATTTTGAACATATAATTAACTGAAAGTGAGATATATCATATGAGCTGCTGTTGCAAATCGTCTGCATTTCAAATTTTGATCAAAATTTCTTGTATTGTGTATTAAGTATGAAAAAATTATTAACTTTTAAAGATTTCAAAGGGTTAGTGTTAGAATTTCCATTCCATGAAGTTATTGTGTATCATATAATAATGAATAAATCGTCACGTCTCCAATCCAGTTTTTCATATTTTATTATTTTAAAATTAGTGTACTTCATCGTAATTTATTAAAATAATTAAGTCATTCGACTTGAAATAATTATTAAGCCTAGGAGAAAAATTCTGCTGGTTTATAAATTTAAAAATATATTTTTGTTTTTGTGATATTCATATCAAAAATGTTAAACGGGCGAGTTTCTTTTTTTGCACACTTTAATTGCTACATTTATTTTGTTACAAAAGTTCAATTTTATAAGTTCACATTGCAAACAAAATCAAAGGCAGTTTTCTTGCACACTCTTCTTTAGTGTGTATAATATTTTTTGTAGCATATAAATCTATTGCTTTATTAGAGATTAATATAATAAAAAATTCTAAATTTAACATAAACCAATACAAAATAGAAGAAAAAGTCATTATTTTTATAACTGGGAATCCACAAATCTGCACTCCTCTGCGCTCAGGTCCAGCGAGTTTTAATAAATGAATGAATTTGTACAGTACATTTCCTAAATATATTACAAAAGTTCAATTTGATAAAAAGTTCACATTGAATACTCCATGACATATAAAAATATTATATAAAATTTTAGGTAAATTTCTCTCCTCAAAGACACGTGCATTAATTCTTCTGTGCCCACATAAAAATGACAATCATATTTTTTTCTTTTATAAATTATTTTAGATAAAATTAATCATTAATTGATTGGAATATTTACATAAGTGCACACCTCCTCAATTATTTCAACATCGACATCCTCCTTTTTAATCTCAACTTTTACATCTGGGTTGGTCTCGGGCTTAATGAATAAATCTGTTAAAATATCTGCTTCAAACTTCCTGTCGATTTCCTCCTCCACGTCGATTGTTTCGGCCGCTTCCGGGGGAGGTTGTTGAGGTTGGCTCGGTTCGGGAGGTTTACTCGGTACTTTAGGGTGGCACGCCTTGACGTGCATTCCCAGGCCAGCAGGCCCGTCAAATACTTCCGAACAAATCGGACAGTCGAAGTTCATCAAGCCGGTCAGCGCCGCTTTCTGCGCAGGCCAAAGTTGGTGCTGAGTCGGCGGTGGAGGTTCAGGTCTTAAGTAAGGGTGGCTTCTCGCCTGCGTCTGACCAAGTTTTTCAGGGTAAGCCACTGGATTTTGAACGAGCTGCGGGTTGATTCGGCAAACGTGTCCGGCCACCAGAAATTTGCAGCTCACAACTTCACCGCACGTTGCGCAGGGTGCAACCTGGAGGTGGTCCTGGGCCACGGACACCGGGATTTCCCAACGGCAATATGCACAGGTGAGCATTTGACTGTGACTTTGTTCGTAGTGCTGCTGGAGGAAGGTCCGGCAGGCGCATTCTTGGCCGCAGTTCGCACACCTTTTGTACAAAATATGCTTCTGCAAATCATTCCAGTTTCCGACGCTTTGCTTGCAGTAGCGGCAGGCGAAATTGGTCACCTGGCCGCAGTACTTGGCAAAGTGCTGCTCAAACTGCTTCACACACTTGAAGCGATATTTGCAGATCGGACAGGGCCGGTCGAAGTGGTGCTGCTCCTGCCCTTTGTGCACAAGATGGCTGCAGACCGAACAAGGGAGCTGGAGTTTCTCGTGGGCCCTCAGCTCGTTGATGCAACCGAACGTTATGTTGCAGCCGGAACAAAATCTGTTTTCTGCCATATGCTTTCGGTAATTTTCCATTGAAAAATATCTGTACTTGCACGTGGAACATTTATGAGAAGTGCTAACCGCCGGAAGTGGCGCCAGCATTCTCTTGATTGAGGAAAGTGGATTCGGAGTTTGATTATTAATTTGAGCCGGATTAGGATGAAACTGGCGAACATGTTCGGCTAATCTAATCTCGCATCCGAAACTATTGTTACAAAAAGTGCAGATACACTTCGCACTTTCCTTGTGCATCAAGTACATCTCATAATTGGGGAAAATGTGATAGCAAGAGCTGCAGGTGAGCTGAATGGGTTTGATGCAATCGGGCTCCGTCTCTTGGTGCTTCTTCAGGTGGCCCTCGCACGGAAACACGCGGTCGCACCTGCTGCACTTGTTGCTCTTGACGTGAACCTCATAAAGGGCCGCAGTGGAACAAACTGACATGTCGAACTTCTCGCCGCATTCGCATGTGTAGGACATGTTGGGCTTCTCGGCCAGGTGCTCGCAGGTCTTGTCGCTGTTGTAGGTGCGCTGACACTGAAGACAATATGAAAATCGCAATTTCACAGGAACTTTCTCGGTCATGCTGAAACAAAAGAGAAATTAATTAAATGAGATTGATATGTCAATTCATTGGAGCAAAGAAACAATTCAATCTAAACAACTTTAAGAGCCACTTTTTGGCAATTACTGAAAAGAATTAATAATAATTGGAAAGCCTTTTGATTTAAGAATGTCGGTTACGGACGTCATGAGAGTGATGATAATCCAATTAAAAAGCATTACTTTTAAATTTTTATAAAGATGAAACGGTTCATGGAACGGTCAATACAGAAAACAAGCTGTGAGATCGTTTTATAAAAGTTGTGTGAGTAAAATTAGGAGAGTATATAATTTGCTCGACAGCAGACAAGGAAGGTTATTTTATCGTTATGAATAAAATTGATGATCAAGCGATTATGTATACTTTCTTGAAAACCACAAATTTGCTGCGTGAACGTGACCTGCATTTTTACTGTCTGAAGTGGATTCTTGTCATGATTTTACACATTTTGTGCCCATACTGCAGTTTGGACTATAGTTACGAAGTTGCAGTCCAAAAAATCTACGCCTGGGGCCTAAAAGTGGGTTTTCAATCTGAACTTTTAGCCAAAAAATAGAAATTAGTTGGCGCAGAGAAGCAAGATAACTCTTGCTCTTGCGTGCAGCTTGTGAAAATCTTTGTGTAATCTAAAAATATTGTTTAAATTTTAAATAAGCAGTCTTGATTTTAAAAAAATTCGTGATTATAAATTAATGAAAAATAACTTAAAAAATTAAAATTTTAACTTTTTAACCCAAATATTAATGTGCGTATAGTGAATTAAAAAATTTAATTATTTAAAAAGAAATGTCTCATAAATAAAAAAATTCTTTTAATTTATAAAAAAGTTTATAAATAAAATTTAAAATCTTAAAACTAACAAATTCAAAGTCCCAACCTATTTCATGAACAAACGCGCTGCTCGCTGACTAATGCAAGAATGAGCTAATTAAAGACAGATTGATTCGCGGAGGTGATCTTTATTGGGTGATTAGCGCGCGGCGCGGTCGACCGCGGGGGCGCCAAAGGACGTAGAGCACATTACGCGTTTTCGAGAAAAAGCTGTTTGCTTCCTCTCTCAAAAAAGACATCCACCTTTAATCAAATTGGTGGATCGGTTGGCTAATTACATAATTACCGGATGCCATTGCTTCCAGCACTTCCCTTCTTGATTGATTTTTTCAAATTTTTTTGGGTGCCTGGAGTCATTCGGCGCCCCCGTGGTCAGTCGCGCCACACCCAATAGAGATCCCCCCCCCCAATCAATCTGTCTTTAATTAGCTCATTCTTGTATTAGTCAGCGAGCAGAGAATTATTTGCTCATGAAATGGTTGGTTTTAAGATGTTAAAGTTTTATGTTAAATTGTGGTGTTTTCCAATTTTGCTGATTTTTTTGTATTTCTCGTGCTCATGAAATAGGGTTGACGACTGTGACCGAAACTGGTAGACCCATTGGTTTTTGAATAAAAACAATTTTTACAACAAGAAATAACCCGATCTCATTTTCATTTACATGATCATCTACTCGAGTGGAGACAAAAATAAAATATGTATTTAATATGGAATTTTTTTGTTTCGTTTACGTATTTCATTATTTTATTTTTGTTCAATGCAGTGAGTAACAATTAAGCGCTGCGTTTTCAGGATAAATTCCGCTCCCCCCGCGCGGTTTTCGTTTTCTTTTATACTTTTTGAATGCCCTCTTTGAGCATCCCATCCGCGGCATCTTGCAGGGGCCGACGGGACAATACATTTGATTGATGTGGGAGAAAAATAACATCAAGGTCAAAATTAATGTGTGAAAAAAGGTAGCAAACAGGAGGATACAACTGAGGGATCAATTTTGATCTTCCTCTTTAATGAGATTTTACACACAAGGAGAAAAGTTCTAAAAAAAGTCATTATCAAGTAACATCTACAATATAAAAAGTGATTTTCTAGGAATATTGGCGTCAGTAAAAAACAATACAATACCATTTCAGAGCTGATCCTTTGATAAGCAGCTTTGTTGCGAAAATGATCCAAAGTTTTTTTTTGTCTGTTTATCCTGTTTATCAAATGCAGAGAAACGTGGGATAATTTAGCTCGCAGAACAAAGCATCATTATGAGCAAAGAAAATTAAAATCGGCCAAACGTTGTTGTACATAATTATGTTTATATTTAAAGTCAACGGACTACATTATTTACGTCCTACATCCTACAAAGTATGAGTTAGTGGAAAATTCCTCCCCCGCATCGCTTTTTGGGGCATTTGTGATATTTTTCTTCTGTAAAAATTTTGAAAAGACTAACAAAAAAAGTTGCAGGTCACGAATTGCCCGCTGAGGTTCTGCTTTTTCATGGCGGTCATAAATATTGAGGGCGACCCAAAAGCCACATCTGGCCCAGGCTAGCTAAACTAACCTGGGTATGAGGAAAATTCAACATATTCTATTTTCAATTTTGCTGCCGAGCTAGAGAAAGCCAGCCTGAGGCCTGGGCAAGGCTAGGATCGCTTATTGATTTATGTTTCAATATATTTGCACTACCTGGCGTATGAATGAAAAATAATCTGAAACCATCAATTTACTAGGCGTGCAAATTATGCCAAGTACACATGTTGCGAAAAAGGTGCTATTTAATTAGTTTCGATAAAAACCGGTTTTATGTATACGCAACCCACCCTAAATATCAAAATATAAAGGGTTTCAAAAACTCGTCGCTCGTGGCCAAAAAAATATAATTATATATCCAAGGGATTTAAAGATCTTTTATCATTGAAGCTTTACTTTCCATTCCTCATTCTTTGCTATTCTCCCTGAAGAGGTAAATAAAAAAAGCACCTTGATGTGTAACACGAGATCGAATCAATTTACCTTTGCAGGTTGTTTGGAGGAAAGAAGAGCGTTTCCAATTTCTTCTTGATTTTTTTTTGTCCAGCAAAAAATGTTTGGTGGAAAATTTCTGCTGATAAAACTTTTTCGATCTACATTATATTTTGGCAAATTAATCTCCCGGGGTTTCCGTTGAAAAATGTTGATTGTTTTGAGTTCAAATTAGAGAATAAAAAAATCTTGTTTGTATTTTTTTACAAAAATCGAGACTGGTTTAGATTTTAGATAATGAAAACAAAGGACAGTACTCTAATTGAAAATTCTCTCAACTTATGGAGAAAAAAATCTGATAATTCAATTAAAATTTGAAACAATTGGTTTCACAACATATAATAAAGTGGATTTTCTCACCTCAACACTTTTCAGTGATGGTCCCTTTTTGTTGTACTCTGTGTAAAGTTGAACTCCCAACAAACTGTTATCAAAAGAAGGGATCAAAAGTTAAGTAGCGCCAATTAAAAAAAAAGGTCAACAATTTAAACCGTTGAGTCACAATCCAGACTAATTATTTAATTTGCTTAAAATAATATTAAAATAAAAAAAAGTCAATTCCGTACGTCATTGAGCAATAAAAAAAAAATGTTTAATAAATTTTTATAGTTTTATTATTGGAGAAAAAATTATGAATACTTGATATTTGGAATTACCAACAATGGTAAAAAAATGTGCAAAATAATAAATTTCACACAAAGTTTATTTCAACCATATGCTACAAAAAGTGCAGATGTGGTGCGCGTTTTTGTGTTTCTTGAAAATTTCGACAGATGGGTTTTGTTCACGAGACGCTTTCTCAAAAGTCAAACTAATCGAGCAGTAAAAAACTATCTGTGTATCATAACGGGAATGTTTATATTGCAATACAATAATGCGTCCAGCAGCTGAGAAATTTCGTGAGATCGGCTTCTTTAATCAATGCACGGTCCGTGGATGATTTTCATGCATGCACGAGTTCATTGTTTCGATTACAATTAAGAACTTCCTTTTATTTACCAGCAATTTAAATAAACCATGTCAATTAACAAAGAGAACAATTAATTACAAGAACAATGAGTGTAAAAATCGGTAAAAGCCATTAGCGTAAAGACGCGTAATCTGCTAAAATGAAATTAATTGGGTGAGAAAAAAGTATCTCTCAGACATGAAGTTATAATTGGCAGAAATTTAATTACAATTACAGGAAGAATTATTGATTATAAAAAAAAGATAATATTTGACGGCTGCACAGCTGCACGCTTGAAATTCACATATTAACTGAGTAAGAACTTCAGTTAAATGACGAATTAATTATTAAAGAATTGATCGACTAGAAATAATTGTATTAATCCACCGCTAGGAAAGATCAATTTAAAAAATTCCCTCACTAAACCTTTTTCAAAACGATGGCAAGCTGGAATAAAAAAAGAAATATCACTAAATCCCTCTTTTCCAATTATCAGGAATCCTGAAGAGTAAATTTAATTTTATAATGTGATGCAACGAACTTATTAAAACGGCGCATTTTTAATCCTGACGCAATCAAATGGGTTTATCTCGTAACTTTAGAAGTTTATCATCCGAGTGGTTGAAAATTGTCAGACAGCAGGATGATAAAATTCTTTAATGCGTTTTTTCACATCAAATATTTTGAATTCTTAAAAATAAACATCATTTTAAATAAAAGCGGCCGACGGCCGTACCTCTCCGGAAGGTCGGCTGAGCCTAAAAAAAGCTCCGCCACAAAATTAAATAAAATCTTTTCAAAAACAATTAGCCTTTTCTGATCTCGGTCTTTAAACCTATTTCATGAGCAAAAGTAAAAAATAAAATACCAGGAAATTAAAAAAAAACATAATAAAAGTTAGAATAATAATCTATTTTTTGTAACAAAAAAATTTACCTTCCAATTTTTGTGATTTAATTCAATTTCATTTCTTGCTCCTATAAAACCGTGAATGAGCCCATTTTTCTGTAAAAAAATCAATTTTCCCGAACAAGAATAAAGCTCGTGTTAATCAAACTTAAGAAAGCATCTTTCAAATGCACAAAAACAAAATAAAATGGAATTGGAAATATTTCAAATATTTACTCACCCTTCGCACGACACACGTCTGCTCACACTCACTGCCGCAACTCAACTCGCAGCAGTCGCGGCTCGCGCTCGCGGCCTCGCGAGTCGTCTCTCCGCTCTCCGCCTGGCTCGGGATTGCTTCTTCCCACAGCTCCTGTCCCCCCCTCTATGCTACTGTAAAACTGTTCACATTTCGCGGGAGAAAAATAATGGTGTAGCATCACAGCCGCCGCACGAACGAGGGGTTGCCGGCGCCAGGGCTGCGTGCAATCCAGAAGGGTCGCACAAGGGGGAAAAGGAAAACTGATCGAAAATTCCTAGGCAAATTCAATATTATGCCACTTTCACATATCACTCCACTACTATAAAACAGCAAAAAAATTTCAGTTAAAAAAAAAAATCAGTTATAAGAAACAAAATTAAATAAGTTGAAATTTTTAATTAAGATTACCGACGAGAAGAATAAAAATAATAATTCCCACCTGGTTAGATTGAAAATAGAAAAACATAATTAGCAATTATGGGAAATTTATAAATTATTTATTTTTATTTTAGAGCCTTAAATTAACAAATTTTCAGAATTCCAAATGCTTATATGATTATAATAAAATCATATTATGGAAGCATTGACACAGTGCAGATATCTCTTATAAACATGAAAATTAATAAATACAAAATTTTCAGCCTGTTGCGCACATTTGAGACTCTTAATCAGAACATTGATAAACACTCAGTAAAGAATACAATATCGTTTTACATAATTATGGCGAGTTAAATTGAGTAATTAAAATATGACACTAAATATAAATACCATGCAATATTTTTTTAATGGGGGCGCTGGTGACAACACCATTTAACCAATTTTTCAAATATGGACAATACAGTTAGAAACATTTTTTTTAGAGTTTGAAATTTCATTGTGCAATAAATGCACACAATAATTAGAGAAATTTTATATATCACACAAAATAAACGAAAATTAACAAATTAATACTTAATCAACTTATCTTTTTGATGTCACAAAAAAGCATTTACTCCACCTCGGAGTCCACGAGATCAACGACCTCTGGCTGCTCGATTTCGATGGGCAAGTCCATCAAACCTGAGATGTCCGATTTAGTGCTGCGTGGCGGGAAATACTCTTGAGCACCTGCAGTGCTCGAAAAGCACCGGTGCTGTTCCTTGAGAGTAGAGCACTCAATCAGCTCTTTACAATTGTCACAGGACCACTGTTTGTGGTGGTGAACTTCCTCCTCTTGGCTGTGGAATTTCTTATGGCAAAAGCCACAGAATGGTGCTGTTGGGGCTGCCATGCAAGGTAGATGCCTTTGAAAGAGGCCGTGACATCTGAATTTCTCTTCGCAGGAGTCACATTCATACTTTACCACGGCATGCCGATACCAAGAGGTAATCATCTGCGCAATCATATTTAACACAATTTAAAAATTTTGCTGAGAATCGAAGTTGCAAAAAGACAAAAATGTTATAATGAAATTTTTGCCTTCATATATGATTTATTTTCATTAATTATATAATTTTTTAAAAAGGAAAATGGATGAGGTATGGTAAAATGTAATAATCTTTTTTAGTTTAAATTATTTTTAAATACAAAAAGTAAAAGATAAATTGCTTCTCACCTCGCTGCCGCAGTGCTCGCATGTTTCTTGACGACTTTCATTCGATGCAGCAGGGAGTTCCACAATTTGGTCTTGGCGATTGGTCAGAAAGAGGTTTCCCTTCTTGTGCGAGACTGGGTCATCAGTTGTGCAAAGCTTCCTGAAGTATTTAGGATTTAATACAATTTTAACACATAAAAATTAAACAAAAGTGAATGACAAAATAAATGAACTAAAATAATTTTAAATCTGAAAAATCAGAATAATATTCATGTCTTCATTAATTTCAAAAAAACTCATTTTTTATTTTTAGAGGGAGTAGAAGGAAGAAAGTTTTGAGTGCAATTTTACAATTGCTGCTATTTGTTGGTGTTGTATGCAAAATACATTAGGAAACGATGATAAAATCAATTAAGGACTGTTCCAATTTTTTAATGCTGAAGGATGGGCAATCCAAAGATTGACAATAAATTATAAAAAAGTGCTGAACTTAACTTGCAATTGTATATAAAAATTGTCAAATATGAGTTGGCTTTAATCGTGTTATATTTGAAATATTTAAATAATAAGATTTTGATAGAAAATTTCATTTCATATTCGAATAATGATCGACACACATACTTGGCAGCTGGTTCTTCAGAGAGGCTGCAGGCAAATGACGCTCTTCTGTGCAGCAGCAAAACTCCTTGACATGGGAATTCGAACATGCAAGAGCTGCACTGGCGATTGGTGAGGTGCACCTGTGGAGAGTCCATATTCCCGTAGCAATTAGGACATTTATCTCCTTTTGCTGTCATTGCATGATTGTGGCCTCCTGCAGATTTTTTTTCGCTCCTAGATTTGGAGCAGCCTTTGAGTGACTCGTGGATTTTCCTCCGCGTTTCGCAACTAAAACTTTTATTGCAAACAGCACACAAGCCGCGGTTCATGTGCGTCTTCAGGAGCGACTGTTTGTTATGTGGAAACCTTTTGGTGCACCAAGGGCAACGAATTTTTTCGTTCTTTTCGGAACGAGGATGCTCCTGACAGCCTAGGCACCCAGATTTGGTTTGGCACCCGGAATGATTTCCAACTTGAACAAATATAAAGTTTTAATTAATTGTAGATCAAGATATATAATGTTTTTTTTTCATTAAATTATTTTGCCGAGGTTTGAATGCAAAACATTCATTCAAGCCTTTCATTTTCTTATAAGGACCTTTTATATGTCCTGATTTTTTTTTTTTTTTTCATAAATAGAGTAGATTAAGAAAATGAGTAAAAATATTCATTGATTGAAAAGTTACATGGCTGGGTTCAGTTTTATTGAGATTTAGTTCAAATTACCCCCTTAATACAAAATGTACTTGAATGTACGTGCTTATTCATTTTTAATATTTAATCCTGTTTCAACTATTAAATATTTTCATTTACAAAAATTACCTTGTGGCTTTGCAGTTTTTGAAGTGGAAACAGCGGCGGGTGCAGGGTGCTTTTGTGCAAGCGAACGTGAACTGCTGCTGGTCGCTGAAGGAGGCGAGCGAGCCGTGATGGTGGTGGATGAGCGGCCAGTTTCTGCTGAACGATAAATAATGAAATTTTTAGAACTATATAACAAACTATCTTAAGAGAATTACATATAATATGTAATAAAAATTTTAAAAATTAAAAAAAAAATCTCACACAATATGAGAGAATTTAATAACGCAAATTTGATTTTTTGCATCGCAAATTTCTCATGTATGCGTATACTTCCTCAAAAAAAAGGAGCAGGAACAATGAAATCAAAATTACATACTTCGAAATGCACGAAATGACTTTTAAATAGATTAATTTATAAGACCATAATAATAGTGATCTTTCGTCAATTTCCATTTTTTGTTTAATTGAAATGTATTCCAGAATAAAAATTTATGGTTATCAAAAATAAAATTTAATAATGCACAACATTGACCAATGCATATTGTGGAAAAAATTTATGATCACCTGTTGGCAAATTCTTCGAAGTGCTTGGCGATGATCGCTTGCTAGATGACGATGAGCCAGCTTTGTCCATGGTGTTCATTCAGTTGACTTTATGCAAATGAAGTGTGTGTTTTTGCACTCAAAACAGTCAAAACGATTACAAAGATCCGATTTACACACAATCAATATTGACGACTATAACTGCTTCAAAAACTGAGGCGAGAGATGAAGGCGATCGCAGGCGAGAGAAAAATAATCGGCCAAAAATAAGTGCTTTTTCTGCAGACACACAAACCCTTAGCCTGATCTCTCTCTTGTGCAGCTTTGTGATGACTGATGATGAATGCATGTTGAATATTTCTAGTATATGCCACCACCCCGGTCGGTTTCTATGTACCTGGTATGTACTTTAAATTCTTGCCTAGCCAACTCAATCTTGCCAATTTCATCGCCTCTCCCTCCAATGTTTTCCTTCCATGCACCAGTAGGCGAAGGAACATGGCCAAGGATAAATAATAATAGGAGAGAAATGAGCAGAAAACTCAAATTATGCGCAAAATATGAATTATTCATTCCATAATAATCAGAGATTTGTTAAGTTCTTTTTAAAATGTCTTATTTATAAGTTTTAACATTCCCATTTAAGTTATCACTCAAAACAGGCATTCAAATAAATTTAATTTTTTTCTTTATTTTATAATGAAAATTTATAAACACTAAAAGTCAAGAGAATTTATTTTTATATTTTGGCTACCCAAAATTTTAATTAAACTATTAAATTGAAGATGCTCATATAAATGCTATTTGACCAGAAAATTAAAATAAATTAAATAAATTTACTTTTTCCACTCAAATTTTCAGGCCCGAATTTACTTACAATTAAAAATCTATTTTTCTTACAAAATTTCAACGCCCTCTGCAAAAGTCCGCAGTGGACGAACGCTGCTATACTCATCTCATATCACCAAAAGAAAAGTAAGCTTGAAAAAGGAATCTGACGTTTATATATTCTAGATCTTGGACAAAAATTTCTTGAAGATGCTTCGTAACTAATGAAAAAAGAATAGAAAATCACAACTTTTCTGTTGCCCTCTCCAACAATAAAGAAAGGATACAATTAGGATACTAGTAAAATCTAGCCTCAAACTTTCTACAACATTTTTCATAAGTGAAACAAAAAATTCAATATAAGAAAATCAAATTTCAAGGTGAGATATCAAATTTATTTATCTCTGGGTTTGCCTATTATTGGCGACAAATCAATCTTGTCAGCGACACTTTTTATACTTAAACATATTAAAACTTTTGAGGAACTGAGATTTAATTTACGCACAAACTAAAAAATATTTGAATATTCATAAAACAGAATAAAATTTTATACTTTTTCAAGTTTACAGACAAGTACGGTCTTTGAGATCGTGCAGAATGACGACGTCATCATCATCAGTGCTGACGGCGCAGTCTGTGATTTCGACGAGCTCAGGCTCTTCCCGCTCCTCCATCTCGACAGGCACATCGATGATCTCAGGGATGTACGGGTTGACCACAGCACCGGGTGGAAGGTCAGGACTGGGCACTCGGGGATCGTCGATTGGCAGGGCGCAGACGTGCTCCCTCTTGAGCGTTTCACACCTAAGCTTTTTGCCGCACCTTTGGCAGCTCCTCGGCTCGCAGTGCAGCATTCGACGAACCCCACTGCCGAGGGCAAAGTTGCAGTGCTGGCACCTGAGGTCAACGACCGCCGAAAAGCAGGTCTTCTGGTGCTGCTCCAGTGCGCCACTGCACTTCAAAGTGCTGCAGCACCACTCGCAAATGTGCTTTATACCGAGATGCTTGTGCCACTCAGTAAATGACGAAATCTGGAAACAAATTAAAACAATTAGAACAACTTGAAAATTAGTCTTAAAGAGGAAAAAACGATTTTGAAACTCTGGAAAGTAATAAAATTTATTTAAAATTAATTAAAATCTTCTATCCAATTCCAGGTGTTAAATAAAAACTGATGTTAGCTTTTGACTCAATTAATTTATAAAAATTCCTGCAATTTATCTAAACATTTGGGTCAGAAATATACGAAATATGCTTACAGGAAGTTTGCAGTAAGGACAATCACTGCATTCCTCTTCTGAATCTGTATCACATTCCATTGCTTCAGATTCCTCGGATTCCTCTTGGAGGGACTTTGATGGCGAAGTCAAGGTTGAAGGCTGGCTCGAGCGAAGGCACTCTTTTTCAGCCTGGTGGCAACTGAGATCTTTCGGAGAGTCAAAGCTGGTCTCGCATGCAGTACATCTCATTCTGTCTTGTTTCTCTGAAGTCCTAAAATAAACAAAACAAATTAGTTCCATCAAGTAATATTTGAATTAATAAATAAACTATAATTATATTGATTGACAAAAGATCACAGCAGCATTACTTAAATTGACTTTGAAAATACAATTTAATTTATTTTTGGTTTAGTTTTTAAGCAATCATACGAGAATTTGAAAAGAAAAACTTTTAAAATAATTAGAATTATTAAAAAAATAACTCTAATTAAACGGTTAAAAACATTACTCAGTTAAAAATCAATTAAAATTCTCATTCTGATATTAAAATGAATAACAACTAACTTCTCCTCATCATTGTTGTTATCTCCTTCTCCTCCACAAATCCCCGAAGTGTCTTTGTGAAACTGCAAGACTCCTCGACATGCGAATTTCAGGCCACAGCTGCAGTCGAGGTTCTCGAAATGGGCGTTGAGGTCAAGGACGGAACCCATCTTCTTTGTGCAAACAATGCACTCGAGGTCAGAGAGGGTCTGCCGCTTTTGTTTGCACTGCGCCTCGTGCCTCTTGACCAACGTGGCGCAGTTGAAACTGCCACCGCAGTAAACACAGGTTTTGTACCTGCGATGGTCAATCATGTCACTCTCCTTGTAGCATCGGGTCGAACACCTTTTGCAGACTAACTGGGAAGCATGGCTGGTGGTGGTGACCAACTTGCAGCCCTTGGTGTGGTGTTGCTTGAGACGAGTGCGGCAGGCAAAGGTCCGGTGGCAATTGACACACTTGCTGTCCGCAATGTGCTTCTCCAACTCACTCTTCTCCTCAGCGAGGTAAATCTTCCTGCAAGCGGCGCAACGCACACGGCCTTCGAGTTGGTTTTTCTTGGCTGGCGACGATTCAGGTGAGGTTGACGAACAGGAGAGAGAACCTTGCCCATCTAAAAATGGAGAATTAGAAAAATCAATACCAAGTTTACAAAAAAATAAATGGATTTTTAAACAAAGATCAATTAATTTTCCCCTAATGAGGTATTAATTAAAGATTTGGTTAAAATTTCTGGATTTTTCCAAATTTACATAATTAAAAAGCAGGTAACAGAAAAAAATTAATAAAACTATTCAATATAAAATTGAATTTTCCTTTAATTTCAGCCTTTGAGATAAAGAAAATAAGCATTCGTTCCTAAACTTTTCCCCAAATTCATACAATTTAAAAATTCTTTATCGGAAATTAAATTATAATTATTAACGATTAGTCTAAGGAAAACTCACATGTTGTCTGGAAAATGTGGTCAAGAAGCTGGACAGTGTAGTCATCATCATCCTTGCAGTGCACTCGACTGCTGGTTTTCACAGGGTCGATCATAGAGACACCCGATGGTGACAAATTTGCACCCATATTGAATCTGTTTCCTAAAAAATTCAAATTTTTAGTCCAATTTCTTTAGTTTTTCTAAAATATATAGAAATTTTTCAAAGGTTTGAAAGGAAATGAAATTTAAAAAAAAAAATGCAAATTTGGTAAAAAAAAATTATGAAATTTAAAAAAAGTCAAGATTTATCTGATTTTCAAAAATTTTCCGTTAATTAGACTGTAACCCTTTCAACCACAAATTTTATGACACTATCAATACAAAAACAAAGTTTAGCGAGTACATAAAATCGTTTATCCAACGAGATTGTTATTCTAATTCAAACTTCACGAAAAGTAGGAAAATTCTTATCAAAAATAAAACGATTATAACCGCTAAAAGCGCGGACTCATTACAGTGACGTGAATAACAAGATTTTGAAGACGAAAATCAAATTCACCTGCAGCTCGGATTCGACCTGCCGACGGAGGATCACAGCCTAATCGGTTCATTTCTGCAGATCTGAATAAGTCACAGAGAAATGCGATGGTTTTCGCCTTGTTTCGAGCTGCGGAATTCGGATCAACGCCGAGACTCTGTTTCAAGAGAGAAGTGCGGACGAGAGCTGCACCGACTTGACACCCCTTCAGACGTGCAGCGACTTGTTTTGTTGTGCTTTTCGTGCCTCGTGGGTGCCTCATGTCGCCACCGCCGGCCCAGCAGGAAAATATTCAGGCGGTGGAGAGGGAAGGAAAAGGAAAATCGCTGCCAGTATGAGATTTGACAAGGTTATCTTTGGCAACCGCGAGGAGGCGTATTCGTCATTAATTATTTTTTATTTATTCATTTTTGATAAAAGAATATAATTGTTTTTTTTATCCAGTCGAATGCGCGTATTTTTATGCATAAATGATTAATTGGATTCGAGCGGATATGATTAAAGCAAATTAAATAATGAAAGGTGATAAAATAAAACTTTTGACGAGAACTTTTTAAATCTCCAGAAATCTTGCAGAAAAATAATATAATTTTACAATTACTTAATTTATTGTTTTTTTTTTTCATAATTTATATTATAAGGATTATAAATTATAATTCAATCTGCGTGAAAATTTAAAAATACGTCTTGAATTAATTTCATGTTTTTTTTTTTTTAAATTTCATTTTTAATTTTTATCTATTCCGAATTGGCTTAACAATAATTAGGCTGTGGTGCTTTTTAAAATTAGTTTTTTTTTTAACTAATAATCATGCAAACAATGAAACTGAACAACAAAAATATGAAATCTTTAATTGATTTATAAAATATTTTTTTTTTAAATTAACCAGAGTTAATTATGTTTTTTAACTTTTAAAAATTAAAATCTTAATTTAAAAATAAAAATCAATTGCAATATAATTATCTTTTTAAAATTGAATCAAATTAATCACCAACTGAATTTATGTTAAAAAAAAATTTCATACTTTTCGCACATGGAGAGGATTGGTGGTCTTGGTTAACTTCAGGCCCTTTTCAGGGTGGTCTATGGGCTGTCGTCAGCTCTGGTCATATAAATTCCACAAAGGTGGGTAAAATCTTTAAATTATCCACGTGAAATGACTAAATTCTAGCAATAAACTCTTAATAAATGAGCGCGGAAAGAGATTAAATTGAAAACAAAGTTTTATTTTTGTTCTCTGTTGTGTCTTCGAATTTGGCGAAACGAATTTTATTTGTCTCAAAATCTTCCTTCGTTGTGACTTGTGACCCTGAACGTGTTTACCATCTTTCCTGCCATAAAGTCGGCACAGGAATTCATCAAAGACCCATTTCTAAATTTCCACAACAATTATAAAAGAACCAGCATCCCTTGTCAGGGCTAAACATATTTACGACGCATGCAGAATTTTCTATTTTGGAACTTCCTGGGAAGAAAAGAAATGTAAATGTGGCCGATAGAAATTCGCCTTTTTATTGCACTGGCGGCAAAAAATCCACAAAAGAGAAAAGAGCATTTATTTTCTCAGGCACATGTGGTGGCCCTTTGGGGATGCAGGGAGTGCCTGGGTCCATTGTTGTCCTTTCACAATAGGCGCCAAAAGCAACAACCCTCGGCTCTAAAGAGAGAGATAATATGAATCGCCAATCTTTGTTACAAAATTTAAAAATCATTCTTAAATTTTATGATAAATGTTTAATTAATTTTTTTGCAAAAACAACGACAATAATTTAATTAGTCTATAATAATGTTTTGACTTGTGGGAAAGGTAATTAATAAAAGGCTCAAATTTAATTGGAAATAAAGAGGTTAAATTACCAAAATTAGTCTTCGTTAACCAATCAATTTAAACGGAAAGCGGTGAAAAAAAATTAAAATCTATTTTATACTACAATTTCTGATAGAATTCTATAAAATGACGAGTTAAAAGTCCATTTTTTTTTCGCTCAGATTTTGAATTTAAATGACACAATTTGGAAAGATCCATTGTTGACATAAAATATGGAGCGAATTAAAATAAAAGCAAATTATTACTGAAAATAGTTTAAAGTTAAAAGTCCTATCAAATAAAATCAAATTAAAAAATATAATTCTGTCAATTTGTAGTGACATTTTATGTATTTTATAATTAAAAAACTTAAAATACTGTAGCTTAAAAAAAGAAAAACATTAATGGCCTCAAGAATATTAATTTAATTAATAAAATAAATTACAAGTTTTCAATTTTCATTCACAACAAATTAATTTGATGCCGAGAACTTGAACTTTTTTTTTTCAAAATTGACAGAGACATAATCGAATAGAATTAACTTATTTGTGATATTTATTACTATGAGAATAAACAACTTTTCACTATTGGAGAAAATGTTTCTTCAAGCAAACTAGAATTAAATTGAGTGACATTTGACAATAATTCTGTTTCTTATGAAATTTTCGCCTCATTTCCCAAACAGAAAAATAAGGAAGCTCGTCAACTCTTGAAAATCTCTGACAGCGTGTCTTGAAGAAGTTGAGGACAAGGGTTTCTTCTTTTTTGAAAAATAAAATAATATTTCTCGGAAACTTCTTCTTCTTCGACCACCGCGTCTGCAAAACAAGCTGGTCTTGTCTTTTAATGCGCGCGACTGATTCTCATATTAGGGATGTTTACTCCTCGCCTGAATGCATTTTACCCTGTTCACGAGAGAATTATTTTTATTTGGCACCACCTGAAAAAAAGAAAGGTAGAAAATAATATAAATGCAGCAGAATCCTGGCGACGGTGGGATTAGAGGCGCGCCTTTTCACTAAAAGAAGGGAGAAAAATATCGAGCCAAGAAGTGGCATGGCAGGGGTGCAGATTTACAACCTCTTTCTGCTCTCGCGGGTCTTATTCAATTTCATGCTTGAAATTTTAGGAAGAAGAAAAAATCTTGTCGCCGCCTCTGGGAAAAATTTCCAGGGAGCAGAAGAAAAAAATGTCAGATGCTCATAATGTGAGGTAAATCGGCCTAAAATTGTGGTTGTTTACACAAAGCGTGACCAAATTTTATGACAGGCACAGAAAAATCACCACATTGACACTTTTGTAAATTAAGAGGCGTGAATGATTTTTTTTGACAGACATTTTTCATCATAATGATTACCAGTTATTTAAATAAAATAAACCAACTTTCGTAAAAGCATTATTAAAATAATTTTTATTTTTAATTGAAAACCCCTTTTTAGTTGTGATGATTTTTTGCAATTTTTTGTTTAATAGACAGAGAAAAACTAAATAAATTCGATTTTTTATTATTTTTTATTCATGTTGATCAAAAATTAAATTAAATGATGCTCAAATAAAGTGTCTGATAGAAATGAATAATGAAAAAAATTAAATTAAATTAATTAAAACTATTTTAATAATTCATTAATTTAAATATGAAGAAAAAAAATTCACTCCATCAACAATTTCAATAAGAAAAAAATAATTAAAAATTGGATAGAAAAATCATTGCGTTAGAAAAATAATAATAATAAAAAATTCCATTCTGCACTTGTGTGCAGGGGCGAGTAGATGAATAGATCTAAATCTAAAGATCTTTCACAGCGAAGAAAGAGATGTGCACGCAGTGTAAAAACGCACAAGTCCTGGTTGTGTATAATTGTAAAGAATTAAAAAAAAAAGACTTTCTTCATTAATTCATTTGCAAATGTTGGTTTAACATATGACGGAGGCTGTCAAAGTTTCTTTCTTAAATCAGCACTGCAGCAGATCTTTTTATTTTATCTTAATTTTTTAGCAACTCTTTACTCGATGTGATGTTCTATTCTCGAACAATTCAAAAGTTTCCCTACCGCTCATTATTGCGTTTTTAAATAAATTTTTGACACATACAAAATAATGATAATTAGTTTAACTGGTGTGATACTAAATTGCAATAATCTAGATCAAGCAAGAAAATAAAATTATTTAAATTTTCATCATGTTTTATATATAATTATTTAATGAAGTATTGTTTGTAGTAAAATATTATAAGCGTATCACAGTATATTTAAATTTATGAAAGTTTCACTGAAACAGCATGCATTAAGAAATATGAATTAAGACCATTTATTGCATTTTCTGAAATTTCCATTACATATCAACATTTTAAAATGAGTACAAATTACATCAATTAAATAAATATTCAGTTTTCAGTCGTTTCAAAAATATTACCCAGAGCAACTAACATTTGGTTTCAACCTGAAGTAGCCCACGAGGGTCCAATCGTCCTCATCACTCTCGAAGTCCTGAGCGCTGACTTCGACGATGCCTTTGTCAAAGAAAGGAGTCTTTGTGTCCAAGTTCTTTTCACAAGCACTGCTGGTTACAATGTTTTTCTTATCTCGCACAGGCCTCTCTTTCTTCAGTCCGCAGTAGCGTTCATGAGATTCTAGTCGTTTGGTGCTGGAGAGGATGGCGCCACATTTGAAGCAAAGTTTTGACTCTTCTTTCTTCTTGCTGACCTGCTTGCTGACCACCTTCTTGCTGCTTTTGGGTCTGCCTCTTTTGCGTTGCACCTTTTGGAAGCAGATGAGCTGGTCCGCCGCCGAAATCACAACCTTCGGCTCGAGCGTCAGTTTGCTGGCTGAGGGGATGACAGGCTTAAGTCCTAGAGTGTGGAGGAATCCACGCTTGTCGGACACATTCTGCGCTTCCCAGTCGGCACCTGATGGTCTACGAAGATTGGACACCCGCAACTTTGGTCGGGGACCGCGTTTCAGAGGCTTCTGGCCCCTCAGATCCATTCTGAAATCATTGGTAAAAAAAGTTATTAAAATTTTGTAACACAATTCAAAACATAAATTTCAACGTTTTCAATAGTAAAAAATTAGTAAATTTTATTTTTGACAAGTCTATCAGTTTTGATTTCATAACAGCAAGAGAAAAAAATAAATTAAAATTAAAAAAAAATAATTTTATTTATAAATATATAAACTGAAAAAAAATTTATGAAACAAAACTGACTGTACAATAATGAGCTTGGCGATCTTAATTGGGTAATTACTCTGATTAGCGGCGCCTTTCACGCTGATGCCGGATGACATAAGGATGATCTTCATTTATCAATTAAGATCACCTCAATCCCCTCTCCCAATCAATTAGCAACCAAAGTGTTGGTATTTGAATTTTGTTAGTTTTAAAGATATAAATTTTTTCAATATAAAAAGGGGTATTTTAATAATATCGATTTTCATTTTTTTCTTGCCTTAAAAAGATTAAAATAAAATTTAATCAAACACATTTTTTTTTTTATCTAAGTTTTGAGCAAAATTGAGTTCAGAACAGAAATCTTTGAAGGCAATAAAAGGACCACTTCTTGATGAGGTCACAACAGGTTAGATCAAAATTATTTCATACGTTAGCATTTCAAATCAATACAATCACTTCCAAATAAGGTTTGGACAATTTAATTAGATTATTATTGAAATTTGACATTATTTACGTTTCGCCAAAAACTTCTAGAAAAATTTTCACCACTTTGTCAAGCATAATTCCTAACAATTTTTTTCATTGTTGGTATGTAGAGGAAAAGCTTAACAAAAACAATCTAATGAAAGAAACGCAATTTTTTTTTACAAAAATCTTCCTTACTTGCATTTTTGAGATAAATTTGAATGATTATGGAATTTTGTGCAACAGGTTTGAAGAAATCAGAAGAAATAAACATTCAACATTTAATCTCTCACCTTTCATCCAACTGTTGAGCGACAATCGACTGCAATTAATTAATTAGGCTGGACCCGTGGACCCGCAGAGGCACTCCGGATGTTTCTTCGACGCTCAGAAAGATCAAAAACGAATTAAAAAGGCATCCACTCTTGTCTGGGTCTCGCACAACAATGTTGCGACTGCGACCTGCTGCTGCCACTCGAGTGACGAATGAGACGAGTCTATTCACGCAACAAAGTGGTGGTTTGGTTCACGCTCGAGGGCGGGCGCTCATCTGTGCGAATGACGCGGCTCGGGTGCGCGCGCGATGAGATGTTCGGAATTCCAACAGAAAAAATCTTGTCGACTTTCTTTCTACGCATTGGCTCAATTAGCTGCCATAATGGAATTTTCGAGCATAGATAAAAAATACCAAATAGCGTTGCTGGAGCGGCGCCCTTGAAACTGTACAGGATTTTCAATGCATGATTTTCTGCCTACATAAAAATAAATATGATCTTTGCCGGTCGCGTCAAAGCGTGTCTAACTGCCTGCGACGGGTTTAATTTACCGCGACACCAGATCAAGTTACCACACTGCAGGAAAAGTGATGGTTATTTTGTATGAAATGTAGAACAAAACTTTTAAGCGGTCTGTTTAATTAACAAGGCGAATTTATAATTAAAAATGTCAATAAATTTTATTGATTTTTTTTAATAATTTGAAAAGGAATTTATTAATCGCAGAAAAATTGACCTTAAATGTTAATTTATGAGCAAATCAAATAATTAAAATCGTTCATTGATAATTCTCAATTAAAATTGTCTTCTATAAAAAAAATCAAATTAATATTAGATAATTTTTTTTTATTTCGAAAATGGAAGTACATTTATAAATTTTTAGACAAATTTCCAAATTGCATTGAAACAAATTACACTTATAAATAATGGTAAAATTGCTCCAAATAAAAATAATTATTTTGAGAAAATGATTAGGAACATACAATTTTAACTTATTCACACTCTGCTCTTTGAAAAATAAAAGTTTTTTTTTCATTATCAGTGTCTCTAATAAACATTCTTTTCTACCATCTTGAAGCGACACATGTCAAGATGCTTGGCCAGCAGGGTGTTGCACGGCTGGACATATCGACACCTGGGACACTCGGACGGCGCCGTGTGCAGTGTCAGGGCGACCGCCGTCGGACAGATCTGCTTGCAATAGGGACAATTAGTGCCAGCAGGGACGATTTTCAGAGGAGGTTCTTCGACAGGTTCCTTCATCTGCTTCTGAATTTCTGTAGTTTTTTCGCACATATTGTGCTGGCAGAAAAGAGCAAAGCATTGACTTGATTCTCCACAAGTTTTGCACGTCCTCTCTCTGACGTGCTTCAAGTAGGTCCCAGCGGACAGAAGCTTTTTTTTGCAGAAGTCGCAGTCCAACTTGACTGGGGCCGAGGAGGCTTTTGTCTTTCTCGAGCAGTAACGCACGTGGTTCTTGAGAAAGGTCTCACATTTGAAGCCATTTCCGCACTTGGTGCATTTGGTTTGCGACTCATGTTGCAGAACTTCGGCCGCCGAGTGGTACTTTTTCCTGCAGACGCGGCACTGGACGGTCTCCTCGGCCAAGTGGGCCTCCAGCTGGGCTCGGCACTCGAACTTGAGGGGACACCGAGGGCACTTGACCTTGCGCCGGTGCGCGTCCAGGTGGATTTGGTGCGCGAACTTCCAGCCGCAGTGCTCGCACTTGACCGTGCCCGGACGCGCGTCCTCGTCGTCCGTGTCGCCGCTCGGGTGTCCGTCGGCAATGTGCTCCTCCAGGAAGCCCACGCAGCTCAGGTTCTTCTTGCATTTGTGGCACCTCTTCGGACCCACGTGCGCCTTCAGCTCCGTCATGTTCTTCAGGTCGGTCAGGCATACTGGACACTGAAGAAGTTGCTTCGACTGGAATTCCATTCTCCGAGCCGTAGCACAAGTCTGAAAAAATATTCAAATGTAAAATTAGTTTTTAATTGTTAATGAAATTCTTATGAAAATAATTAACTTTAAAAATTACTGGAATTGCAAAATATATTATTATTTCCATAATTTCAATTAATTAATCTGAATGATGCTTTTAAAATGAAATAAATTAATTAAAAATTACAGTTTCTTGTATTTTTATTAATCCCATTTATTTATTTTTATCGATTTTTGTAATAAAGATCAATTTTATTTGGTTTGATTTTTTGCTATAAATATTAATGATTATATCAAAAGCAAGTAAATAATGTTTGAGTTAAAATAATAATCTAGATTAATATTCTCTATTATAAAATTAATAACTACATAAATTTAATTTATGTAATTTTCAGTTATTCCCCAAAATTTAACTGTGCAATTATTGAAGACTGAAAAGAAAAATTGTATAATCATAAACAAATATGGGGACACGATAATATAAACTAGCGGAAACATAAATTATAATTATCAGTGGAAACTATGGTGGGTGTCAAAGCAAAAGCTTGATAAAGAGGAAGGAATGCAATGAGTGGGCTCCATTATTTATGCTATTTTTAGCTGGTTATGAGAAAAAAATTAGCCGGAAGGATAAATTATTTTCGTGCTTATTTCATTAAATTAATTTTCTCAGAGTACCATTATATTTTTTCTTTCTAAATAACAGTAATTGTGTTTTTAATTTTAATTACATCAATAAATTATTTTTTCTATTCTGAAAACTTATGCAGAACCGCGGAAGGAGAGTTAACTTGGATAATTTAGATACATAAGTATGTACTTCATTCATAAAATGAATCAAATTAGAGTTTAATATCTGATGAAAGGCGAGAAAATCGGGGCCAAAAACCTGCCAATTCTGAAAACACACCACGGACAGCTAAAATTCGCAGAAATTCTTTCTTGATATGGACGTCTGAAGTCTAAAGGTGGCCGGTTCGAGTTCCAAGACAATTTTATATTACAGTCGTACCAACTACGCAATATATGCAGAAGTCACCAAAATAACAACATCAATTCTTTTGCAGATGTAGGCTGGGCCGGGCTAGGCAACTTAACGAAAAGAAAATTGCTATGAAATTTAAAATTTTGCCATTACTAAATTCTATAGGATTGATTAATTTTTATAAATTTCTAATTTTCTGTAATCTACACCGGCAATCACTCAGATTTTGTGTTTTGCGGAATTCATTGCAATGTGAAATTTTGTTTGATTGATTGCGCAGGTGCAGGTGATTCTTTTGTTCCAGCTGTTTCCTTCCCGCCTAGTCCAAGTCCAACCTGCTTGAGCAGCCGAATCATTCAACTGTGTTTGTTCGTGCTTTTCTCTGTGTGTGAAACTGTGAAGTAATGCGAAATGAAGACTGTATAATTTTTTTCCTTGAAGGAAATGTTTGTGGACAGAAATCGTTCTTCAAGACCATTGGAAATCCAAAAGCAACGGCCGAAAAGTTGGTGGTTCTGGGCTGAAAACGTTCCAAAATCGACCCGAATGTTCCGTAAGGTAAAATTCGCATTACAAATTTTGGTTTTGATAGAGACGCTCTAATGCTTACTTAATTTTCGTTCCATTTAATTTCCTAAAAAGGAAAGCTAAATTTCTAGATGATAGGCCGACCTATCATATTAACCATTATTCGACTGAAAAATCCCTGAAAATTTTGGTCATTTTTCGTGCCGCTTTTGAATCTACTGAAAATCAAACTGGATTTGCATTTGAATTGCAAATTTGAAATATAATTTATGCAGCATAAAAATTACAATTAAACAGTAAGAAATTAGAATTATTTTCAAAACTAATTAAAATTAATAATAATCAGATTTATTTTTTTTTGTTTTAATTTACAGAATAATTATAGAATGTGTCAACTAATCCTATAACAAAATGGCTTAAATTTAAAAATTTTATTTAAAAACAAAAATGCAATTATTGAGAAATTTATTGGAGTCATAATTCCATTATAATTTACTTCTTTGTATTTGATGATGATGTGTTGATAAATAATCAAATCAAGATTATTTTCCGTCCACCTTCGGCACTTCTATTCATTATGTATTTTTACATATTTATCCAAGCGCAGGGTAACAAATTAAACTGAAAAATGTGCTTTCATTGTAGGCAAAAATATTAAAATTGTAAAAGTTTTCTTTCTCCCGCCGAATTATTTTCTTTCCGTTCATGAGAAACATTTAACAAAAACGATCTTGACTGTTTCCAGACACTAATGGGCAATAATTCAAGGCATTCCCCACATTTCCACAGGCAAGCCGAGTCTCATCTCGTAAATAATCCTGCATTCCCGACAGGTTTGAACGACTCTGGAGTCAGAAATGTGATCCAGATCGGATTTCGCCTTTTCTCTGCCCCACGCCACTTCACACCACATTCTTCCGTTTCTTCCATGAAAACCGGCGGCGCCACAGTCCATAGTGTAATAAATTATAAGTATGTACTCTAAGTACAATTATTATTGAAAATGACGTCACACCCGTCATGTCTACTATTCTGTCGCTTTACAAACAATACAAACTGCCGAACAGCAACAATAGCATCAAGTTTTCAAGTGAAAAATATTTTAACAGGCTTGGAATTTAATTAATTAAATCCTCTATATTTTTTTAAAATTACAAATCAATAAATCATCATTCAAAAATTAAATTTAAAAAGTCTTACTTACAATTAGAAACTTATTTAAAGTACAAATTACTGAATTCCATAAATTTGACTTTTTTCAGATTCGTTTTCGACCAACGCGATTTTCAAAATAAGGTAAGTGACTTGAACACCTTCTGGCCCTTCTTGTTATTTTCTATTTTTCTTACCCGGAATCGTTGGAAATCCGTCCCTCTCGTTGCTTTCGCGCGACCGACGCGCGTCGATAACCTCTCGCGACTGTTTACTTTCCTCAGACACTGCTTTATTTTGTCATTCTGTTTCTGCGCTAGGCACCGTGGGGGCGTCCCTGCGACTGCGGCCCTTATCACTTTTAATTTTTTATTAATATTCTGCCCACCACGCTCGCTAGAATCGTCTGACGGAAGTGGCGAAATGCTGAATTATCGCTTTTGATTGCCTCTTCATACCGCGGTGGAATAATTAGAAATAATTCACCTCGAAACGAAAAATAATATCATTGAAATCTGAACTTGGAAGAAAATTTCCGAAAAATTCACCGAACATGAAATTTCCGACATATGAATTTTATGTTTTGGCTCAAAATGAAAGCAAACGACAAACAAAAATGGTTTTTGCTGTGGAATAAAAACCAAAAGTTGTGAAAAACGTCTGCGATATTATTTGAGAAGATAAGAAAATCAACAGAAATTTAATTTTAATGATTCCGAGAAACAAAAATCTTGTTTCTTTATTATATTACAAATTCTGAATATGATTCACGAGTCAAATATTATTACATCTAGAGCTTTGAAAGTTATTCAGTATTTATTTTTAATTAACACTTTTATTCGAGAAATAATATAAAATTAAGTGAAGTAAAAACAAATTATTTACCCTAATTTTAAACCAATGGATTTCAATAAAAGTTAACTCTTTTATTAAAATTTAATCAATTTATTAAAAATTTGTCGCTGCATAAATTGTCATCATGCGGAAGGAGTTGGAAAAACAACTTAGAATAATTAATTAATTGCTAATTACTGCATTATTTATCCAACTAAATTAACAGGCCACGATTTATCTAATCAAATCCGAGAGCGCCGCCTGCAACATATAAATTTCAATTGATTTTTTTATTCGTTATACAATTTTTTTATTCATAATGCGGGCAGCTGATTGACTAAGGGTCACATGGCTCCATTCATCAAATATTTAACATCCCCTAAATATAATTTAGTTCAATCGTAATTTTGAATTCTCTTCATCTCCCCTTGTCATTGAAAATTATACGCACGTCTTCAATCTTTTCTGACCGCTGCGGCGATTCCGAATTCGTCTTGACCTATACTAATGATCTGGAACTAATTATCACCTGAAGGCGCCGGACCATTTCCAGCTGCTGAAGCCATTGGCCATTCTGTTCATTGTGATTTCAATGCTGGCTCTTGCCCACCTTTGAGAAGAAATTATTATTCTTTCTTTGTCGGCGAATGCAGCTGCCACTTAAGAAAACCAACTTCTTTCCACGGGTTAAATATCTGAATGGGACTTACAAAATTGACACATAGAAATTTGTCAACGAATTTTACAACCCGCCGATCAGGATTGATTCTAGGCGTTTTCATTTAAATCCGACTCTTTATTGATGAAGGTTCTTTTGCGTTTTTTAATTGTTTTATAGGGAAAGAAATAAATCTATAAAAAAAAATCGTCTGCGCTCTGTAATTCACACAATTTTGTTTTTATTCTTCCTTTGAAACAACTCAAAACAATCCATACAGGAAGAGCCAAATTTAAATTAAAACACATTAGAATGAAAATTGATCTATAAACAAGTCACATTAGATCGTACATTAATTTTCTCAAAAGTAATATAAAAATTGAATTATAAAAACCGGGTCTGAATAAATATAATAAACAAATTAAGCACCCGCTGCAGATAATCACCTAATTTAGAGTGCTAATTTTATTTCCTTAAACAAAATATTTTCCATAGTAATAAAAAATTTAAAATTTTCTTTTATATATTTGATTGTTGATGGTGATGGGTTTAAATGGGTTAAATTGGTTTTACAAGCAACGTTTTAGAAAATAAAGAGAGAGGTGTTTTCCATTGTTTGATAATTATTTGAGCATTATTTTATTTTTATTACTTGAAAAAGTTAAGATAATTTTGCATCACTAAAGAGCTTGAAAATTAACTTCAGCTTAAGAAGCTAGGCCCGCCCCATTAATCTTTTGCCGTCAAAGAAACAAGAAACACGTGATGAAATTCTAAAGCGTGTTCGCAATTATTTTCAGCTGCACCCTTTTTAAAACCACATTTGTATAATTATGTATGAACATCCCAACACCCCAGTGAAAAGTTGTTCCTGTTGAACGAAGTTGCATGTTATGGACAAGCAATTTATTATAACTCTAAGGAGACTATTATGCGCAATTTAGTGCATCGGGCATGCTGCAATCGGGTGCGCGGTGAATTTCCCAAAATACATAATATGACACGCCAGTGTAATTTAAAATGCAATGCTGTGAGGGGCTGCCTCGCCAGGTTGCATACAAAAACAAAGGGGGAATGTTAACTTAACAGTGCATTTTTCTGCATTGTGCGTAATGGCCATGCGTGGCTTGTACCCTTGACGGGGCACGAGATTGCGTGCACTCAGACAATTTTGTATTAAAATTAGACGGAGCGAGGTAAAAATAAGAGTATAGCTTCGATTGGAGTTGACATTCCCTCAGTTTGTGGGCTTGTTAAAAAATTTGTTAGTTTTCACAAGTTCTACACTGAGGAGGAATATGTAAATTACAAAAATAACTTGTAAATATGTTAAACTTCTTTTTTCCCTGCTGTGTATTTCATTTGACAAAATTGTAAATGGGTGGGTCGCACGGGAGATATTACACATGTGATTACATTCCATACTGCAATAAAGCTGCAATAATAATAATAATAGCCCCAATTATTGATATTATTAACTGCTAAATTATTAAAATTATATACACATCCCCTTTCACCTTTGGCCGTGAAATCAGACTCTGAACAAAAAATTTCCTTTTTTGCATTTAATGTTTTGATAGCCAAAAAGCATTGGAGCGTGAAATTTATTGTTCAAAAATTATTAAAATTTTCAATTTAAAATGCGCTTGAATTATGGATGATTATTTCACTTTTACATGCGACCTTACTAAATTTTAAAATAGTAAGTAACAACTAATGCGAGTTGTGCCTTATTTATCTGTTTTTTAATTTTGATATTTACAAATTTAATGCAAATGAAAAAAAATTTAATTATTACATAAATATTATCATGCGTTTTGACATTACAAAAACCGAAGAAATAAACACAAATAATTAAGGTTCTTGCCAGAGGAATAAAATTTCATTGAAAATTTTCCTTCTCCATCAGGAAATTGTTCAAATAACATTCAATTTTACTTTGTCCAAAGATAATTTATTGCTTTAAAATCACGTAATTTGCAAATATTGATTAGTCTAAAGAGAACCTCAAATGGAGTTTCATATAAACTTTGGTTATTTCTGTGGCTTTCGGCCAAAGAAGATTTCGGCAATGAGGATTACAAGAGCTAATTTGTTCTCTTATCAAGATGAAGAAGCAGGGGAAAAAAATGTCTGCATATTTTGCGTCAAAAAATTTATCAGTTTTGAGGTTGACTGCAAGCTTGGAAATTTTACTTTAATTGTAAGATTTTGCTAAAATTTCAATTCATCAACCAGCAGCGAGCCTAAACTTAAATTGAATTTCCAATTTCTGGTGCCGCAAACTGATTGTGAGAAGAAAATATCTGATCTGATAGTATTTCTTTAGGTGTTAAGAGATTATTTTTTTTTACAATTAATTTGGGTAGAATTTCTTCTTTTATGGCAGTGGAGAGTCCTGAGGGGAAGGGGTGGCAACGCAGTTGGATGCTGGATGCACATTTTGGTCAGTTGTGTTGGAAGAAGATTGTTGCTGCTCCTTGCAAGTTTGATCGCATAATTTTGAAAGCTGAAATTTAATTATATTATTTGAAGATTGTTTAAAATGAAAATTAGTGATCGATTTTAAATTTAAACACAATTTCTATCAAGAAAACGCTGAAAATGTTTTAACTTGTCAAATAAACTTCAAAAAAGCATATTTTATAAATTAATTGGAAACTTAAAAAAATTACGAGCTTGAAATTTTACTGACCTTTTCGAGTTTCTGCAATCTCATCCAAGCTTGGAGTTTCTTGCCATTTCTTTTTCTGTGCGATTTCTTCACAGCAGAAGGCCAGCGCTTTGACTTTTTCGACTCTCTTTTAGGCATGTCTTACTCCTTCAGATTCCTCTCTAAAACTGACCTCCGAAATTTTGCCCCTCCGAAAATTTTGGTTTGTAGAAAGAAAAAAATGAGCCGCAGGCCAATTGTCAAAACATCCTTTCTATTCAAACTTTTACCTGGAACTTTTTTCGATTTGCTCATCCAGGCAAAAAGGCAATTTCTATATTTGGAAATTTGAGCCTGCGACAAGAATAGAAATCCGTGGCGACAGCAGGATTATTGGGGAGTGAGGGAGGCTCTTTGTGTTGGTCAAATTGTACACAAGGCAGTCGCTCTGTCAAGAGGAAAGAAGAGCTTCAGCTTTGTAGCCAGCGCGTTGAAGCAGAAAAGGCACAAAAACATTTATTTCGTGTTCATGATTTTTATTTATTTCTTTAAAAAACCGCTTATTTTATATTTTTTGCTGTTTTTTGCTAATAAGGCTACATTTGAATTTTTATATCAAATTTAAGTATTTTCAGAAAATGAAAAATGCACATCAAATTTTTATTATTGCTGTTTAATTGTCCAAATTGTTACATACATACATTTTATCGCATTTTATACATTCAAATTGTTGATATTTTTGGTCTACAATTTAAAAAACTTACATTTTCCTAGCAATTTTTAATAACAATAAAGCTACAATTAATTTTAATTCTCACGTCTTCAATTTTTTTGATCATTTGTTCCATTAAAATTATTTAGAAAAGGTAAAAACTAAAGTTTTTCTGAATTTTTTTTATGAAAGTCCCAATTTGTCCGTAAAACGACACATATTAAGGTGCGTTTCGAGCAGGGTGTCGCACGGCTGTGCAAAACCACACCTAGGACAGAACTTTTTGCGCGAGTGCATCTCCACATCTTCCTCTGTGCCGCTGAAAGTCGCGCAAAAAACGCACAACTTCTTCTTCTTCTGGCTTGAAATTTCCATTTTCATTTTGAAGCACGAGTGGGTCTTGTGCTCCTCCAGGCACGAACTTGTGAACGAGCAAATTTCACAAACCCTCTGTTTCGCGTGAATCTTGGTCAGTCCCTGACACTCGCTCTCTTTACCGCAAGCTTTGCACAAATCCGCCCGGACGTGGATTTTCCTCGACTTGAAAAAGTCGAGGCAGAAGCGGCACCGCCGCAGTTTGCAGATCTTGTCCAATTTGGCGCCGACCACCCTGAAGCGAGCGGCGCTGCAAGCCACGTGTTTCTTGGCGAAAAAGGAGCAGAGGAAAATCTCGCCGCACTCCTCGCACTGGCGCAGCTTTTGGTGATCGCGGACGCGACTTGTCCAATTGTGGCAAAAGTTGCATCTTTTGTTTTTAGGTTTCTCTTCTTGTTTTTTGTACAGTTCTAAACGGGCACGTTGCAAACGCAGCTCGCGGCGTGTATTCAGCATTATTTTTATACTTCGTTTAGACTCGAAGGGTTGAACAAAATTAACGGTCCGATTTGTCTCCTGAAAACAGATGGAATCCAAAAAAATCAATTTATATTTTAGAAAGTAAAAAAACTTCTCTTTTAAATTAAATTTTTATCTAATGTATTAATCGAAAGAGGATAAGTATTTTTGTATAATTTTCGGAGATGGTTGAAGTTTTATTTGCCCAGATTTGAAAAGATCAATTTGAAATGAAATTTTTTAATATAAAAATGTTTCGTCATGGCAGTATTGCGATTAATTGAAATTAAAACAATATTTTCACCGGTTTGTGGTAGAATAATTACTGTGGGTATTATTTTTCACACCACTTTGGATCGATTTTGCGAATTTAGATGAAATTTGTCTGATTTTTTTTCCTTTCATTAATTTTTTTGGTAAGAAATAATTAGCTTCAATCAAATTTTTTTCTTAATTGCTTTTTTTTTTGACAAATTTTAAAAACAAAATTTCAGTTACTATGCTTAAAATTTTTTATTGATGCAAATTCCTAACAAATGTCACCTTATGATTATTTAATTTGATGATTTTATATGACTTCGAAGTAGCATTTTATTTCGTAAAAATATAGGACAATTTAAAAAATTGTAATGCGCATACCTCAATTTATTTAACGGATGTTTCTCTTCTATAATCCTTGCCCACGGGATGAAATTAGCATAATATTATGCTTCCTTCGAGCAGTTTCTTATGCCACGTCATGATGTTATGGAGCTCAGCGAGACGACTGTTTTCAGTAGGAAAAGAGCACATCAGCGACTAGGGTGGGGTGTTTCCACCAATCAGACTCAACAGGGGCACTTGACGTGGGAACAGAGAATTTAATGAGTAAAAAATGTGTTCGTTTGCAGGAAAATTTTATTTCTGTTAGCCTTAATTTTTATAAACGTGCCAACGAAACAAATTTAAAAATATTAAAAAAATTTATTTAATTGTAATTAATTAAATTTGTTTTGGATCTAAAAAAAATAGAAAAATCTTTGATTTGGATCATCTATGTAATATAAAACCCGACAAGCGGATTGGGTCTGGAAACGCAACCGGTTTCGTATTAGAGGCGAGCCGGTTGCCTACTTTGCAAAAATAGAAGTTTACAAGGCTTGCGTGTGAAAATTGTACTGGTTGTACGAGTGTACATACAATATTTTGGGAATTTTGAATGCAAAATATTAAAGCAATTTTTTTCCTGTTAACCAAGAAGTGAAATTATTAAGGAATTTATAAAAAAATCATTTATAAGAAAATTGGTTCAATTCTGTTATTATTATTGATTGATTATTTTAATTTGTAGTTATTAAATTATTATATTTACCATTTTTTTTTTTAATTTCAATTTTGATAAATCTCAGTGTGGGGCCATAAGCTTTTTGAAAGACTCTGTTGTTAGCCGAGAGCGACTGCGTTGATGCTGAACGCGCACTGTTGAGTGCTGACTGCTTCATTAATTTCAGTCCAACTTGTTGTTTAATTTTGCTGAAATTGTACTCCTCATCACGCGTCCTCTTGCGTCTGCGCTCAAGATTTAAGTTGCACTGACTTCCTGTGCAAAAATTTCGACTCGCTTTACTTTCATGCTACTCTGCATTTTCTCGTGATTGTTATATGATCTTGTGTTAAGGTTAATTAATGAGAATTTTAAATTATGTTCAAAACTAGTTATTTGCTTTTGGTAACAAAAGTTTCATTTTGAAATCAAGAATATTGAGAAAAAAAAATGACAAAATGTACCAAATTAAAAATAAATCCAAAATAATATTAATAATAATTATTTTTTATTTAAATATTTCATTGTTGCAATAATTATTAAATTTTAAAATCTAAAAGGTAAAGGGCCAAGGAAGCTCAGTCTCTGTGGGAAAAAAACCGTTTTTTTCTTCTTCGGAATCTTTTTCACTCGAGAAACACATCAATATTGCACACAAAAATCTGGCCCGAGGTGTTTCTTTATGAAGGAGTAGGGAGTGCCGGAATAGGGCCGAAAAGAACAAGGCCGAAAATGGCTGAGCGGAACAGGGCCGAAAAGGAATAGGGCCGAAAAGGAACAAGGCCGAAATACCGGTGCAAACAAACTAGGAAGAACCGATTTTTTTTGGGAAATCACCGCGATTACCGTGTTATGTCAACCCGCCATCCCAATAAGAAATGGAACGCCTCGGGTCTCAGGACACAAATTTTTTATCATCGCCCTTATAAATCAAAGTAAGAAATATCTAAATTATTTAATATGTGGTAGGGAGGAAATTTTCAGTTTCCTGGTTTTATTTATGCTGGAAACAGCTGGAAACATATGCTGGAAACACGTGAACCAAAAACTGACCAGCAGACTTGAAAACTCAATATTAAGGAGAGCTTTTGCAAAAAATGACCCAATTAATTTTGCTCTACATTTTAACATTGGATTTTTTATGTCAGTTCCAAGGAGACATAGTTAAGACAAAATGAATTTGTTAGGAGAACCAAATTTTTGAAATTTAAATTTAGCATTGTTATGAGAATTTCCTAGAATTGATTTTTTTTTTTCAAAATAAGCTTTTTTTCAAATCAATAGGTCAGTGGACATAAAAAATTTACAATGATCTTATAGGAAAAGGTTGAGAAGTTTATACACATAAGTGATAAGTTTCCTGGACAAATAATTTCTTGAAAGATCTTTTCCGAGTTCCGATGCAGTATGGTTTTTTAAGCTGTGCAAGAGATCAACTTATCTTCATCTTGTTGTCCCCCAAATTTATGTGATTTTGTGATTATGTGTCTCGCCCAAAATGAAGATTTTTTGCGAAATCTTGTGTAAAATCAATTTTCATCTATTTTGCAATGCGAAACGGCCGCATGACGGATTTTGATATTGACGCGCAAAGGATTGAATGTTCGCTGAGCTGAACGCGCTCGCGGTTATCGGTTATTTTTCAGCTTTCGGCCTTGTTCCTTTTCGGCCCTATTCCTTTTCGGCCTTGTTCCGCTCAGCCGTTTTCGGCCTTGTTCTTTTCGGCCCTATTGCGGGACTCCAGGAATAGACGAGAGCTCTGATTGGTGGAGCGAACATTATGCAAATGAGGTATCCTTTTCCCGAAAAATACCCTCAAGGTATAAACCATTTCTGCGCGCAAAGCCGCGGGGGAGGAGATGACATTGTCGCTCATATTTTTTCGTCGGGAAATTTATCTGTCAAAAATGCAGTTTTGCGTTTGGCGTGAAATGCAAATCGTGATGCGAATTTAGATTAACATTTGCCTCAGGGGGTGCATCGATACGCGCAGTCTACGGGAATGGGATTTCCCCCCGCAAAAACACTCTCTGTGTCACATAAATTTCAGAGCTAAATAATGACTTTTCTAAATCTAAAATAATTTTCAATATTTTATCCTTTTAGTGAATAACGACTTTTATTTAACAATGACTTTAATATAAAATTTCATAAAAATAAAATAACAAAAAAAACTTTATTATTGATTTTTTTTTTAAATTACCAAACAATTATTGTGTTTTCTTATTATACTTCTTGCATTCAGATACATAGATATAATTATAATATTTTTTTTATTCGTTTTCTTTTTTGATGAAACAGGCCACAATTTTTGAGAGAAGAGCACTGTCTGTTTCGCCACCCGAAAGATAATCGCGAATATTCTTCTGGTTGACGCTTAGCTCCTGCTCATGTTGCTCTTTGTGCGAATTGAACTCCAATTCTTCGCTGAAAATTTTCTTGCAATCAGGACATTTAAATTTTCGCTCCAAGCTTTTAGGCTTTGGGCTCTCTGCTGTGTCGCCAAATCGACACAATTCCATATGGTTTGCGAGCAACGAGCTGCATGGCTGCGCAAACTCGCACCTTGGGCACTTGGACGGGCGCAAATGGACTGCAAAAGCCGCCTCAGAAACAAACATATCTCCGCAATATTTGCACTTGCGCCTGTAAAAAAATAGTGAAAAAACCCTGAATTAAAGAGCTGAAAATATTTAATTATGACACACAGATAAATTTAATTATTCACGCAGATTAGCTTAATTTGAAAATATACAAAAATTAACTATTTGAGAATAAAATTACTTTTGTGCTTTGTAAAAATATTAGATTTATATTTATATGTTTCAAGCATCTTATAATGATTTTAAATAAAAAAAATTAATTTTTTAATAATTATATATTTATCTCATGCTTTTTACAAATTATTGTGGGCAACAAATATATTTTCAAATTTCAATTCAGAATGATTGTTTTGTGAGCTTTGAGCTTTGACTATTTATCTCTCACTTATCGAGCTTTTAAAGAAAAATCATTCCATCCTGCATTTATTATTAAAAAAAAAATATCAGAGAAATAAGTGAACTGTGGATACCTTCATACTTTATATTAATGAAATTGCTTGAATTTTTCAAGTAAAATCTTCCACGAGTATGAATGCTGGAAATTAAATTTTTTCCAATATTTTATTTTAAGGAAATTATCAAATTTATCAAATAAATTACGCTTTTTACTTTTACGCTTTAAAATTTTAATTCAATTGTTCTTACCCTAAGTAGCTGTACATTTTCGAGGGCATTTTAGGCTCGGACATCTTTTCGACACAACCTCTTCCTTCCAACTGCCTGCAATTCCTCCCGAATCTGCCTGTTGATCACCGCGACAGGTAGATTTGGCAGGAATTGCAAGCATTTCATCTGCAATTTCGGCTATGCTGTATGGTGATTTCTGCGTTTTCCATCAGAAATTCCAGGCGAATGCCGCAGCCTTCCTCATCCTTCAAATTCCTATAAACCCTTCCCTTATTTCTATATTAATAAATCACACTCCCATTGAAACGCACTATTGTCTGTCTCCTTATAATAGTATTTTCACTTTTTTCAAGTATGCAGATCATTTTCCTTTTTAATGAAAAAAATATGATGTGTCTTTCATTTTGAGATGTTATTTATTAAAACCATATTTCTTTTACTAAATGTCCTTTCATTTTTGAAAATATCATCTCAATATACCAACCAGAACCATGAATTTGCCTTAATTAACTAGATTTAAAAAAAAATCCAAGTTATTGTTCTGTTGCTATAATAACTCGTACCCCTGTTGACAAAAAGTTATATAATATTAGCATTTTCTTGAAGGTATGAAAGTTTATAACGCAAATAATAAAAAAATATTAGAGATATATTAACCAAGAAGTGACACTTATGGAAATTTATACATAAAAATTGGATCTTTTTATTGATTGCATTTTAATTTTATTTATATATAAATTCTATATATTTACCTTTTTTTTAATTTCAAAATAAATCCAATTGTGATTAATCGGTGTGGGGCTTGAAGCTTTTTGATAGACTCTGTCGTTAGTCGTTGAATGCAAATCGTGATGTGATTTTAGATTAACATTTGCCTCAGGGGGTGCATCGACGTATATTTACCGGGATTGCATTCCCCCCTCAAAAACTCTCTTCGTGTCTTATGACGTTAATTTGAAATATCAGAGCTAAATATTGAATTTTTTTTTAATAAAAAACACTTTAATCTTTTCTATGTTTAATGACTTTTTATTTTAAAATGACTTACAAATTTCATACAAGTTAAAAAATTCTTGATATTATTGATTTTTTTTTTCAAAATTATTATGTTTTCATTGTACTTGTAGCATCAGATACATTGAAATAAAGAAATTTTTTTTTTTAATCTTTTTCCACTTTGACCAAACTGGCAACAATATCGGAGAAAAGAGCAGCGTCTGTTTCGCCACCCGAAAGATAATTGCGAATTCGCTGCTGGATGACGATTTCCTCCTGCGCGTGTTGTTCCTTGTGCGAATCAAACTCGGATCCTTCGCTGAATATTTTCTTGCAATCAGGGCACTTCAAATTTCTCTCCAAGCTTTTAGGCTTTGGGCTCTCCGCTGTGAGGACAAATCGACACAATTCCAGATGGTTGGCGAGCAGAGAGCTGCACGGCTGCTCAAATCCGCACCTCGGGCACTTGAACGGGCGCGAATGATCCGCGAGAGCCGCCTCAGAAACTTGCTTCTCACCGCAAAATATGCATTTGGGCCTGTTAAAAAATTAATAAAAAACTCAAAATTAAAGAATGGAAACCTTAAAATAATGCGAAATATCACAAATAAGCTAAATCCTTTAATTTCAAAAATTAAAGTGTATAATAATTGAAAAAAATGATCAAAAGTTTAAAAAAAAATTTTATATAGTATTTATCTCATGTAAAATTTTAATCTCATTTTTATTTATAAATTATTATGGGCACCAAATTTAATATATTTTAAAATATCACTTCAGAATGATTGTTTTTTGGAAAATTGAGCTGCTAAAAAATTAATTAATAATAAATATTGTCTAAAGATAATCAGCTTTTTATCACTAAATAAAAAATAAATCCGTTGAGCTTTGACCATTGATCACAAACTTATCGAGCTTCTTTTGAATATCATTTAATTAAACCTCAATTCCAATCTACAATTATTAATTAAAAAAAATCGCGGAAATAAATTAATTTTGTAGACCTGCAGACTTAATTTTATGAAATTGCTTGAATTTTTCTTAAGTGAAAAATGGAAATTACATTTTTTTCAAAGATTTTAATACAAGATTTTTTTTTAAATTATGAAATTTATACAAAATAAATTATGCCCTTATTTTTATGCTTTAAAATTTAATTAACTCTTTCTTACTCTAAGCCGTTGCAGTTTAGAAAGTGGTTGCAAAACTGATGATAGCAGTCGGTCTGGACAGAGCATTTGGTACAATTCCGCAGCTTCGTGTGTCTCTGCAGATTCTGGTTGCTCGAGAGTGGCTTTTCGCACTTGCTGCATCGATATTTGGCCACGCAGTTGGGGCTCAACTTCCGGTGCGCCGTCATTCCCGATTGGCACGAGAAGGTGCGATCGCAACCCGAGCACTTTTCGGTCTTCAGGTGATCCTCCAGCTTCAGAATATCGCGCAGTTTGAATTTCTTGCTGCAGAAAGTGCATCTTTGATGATTGAGAAAGCGATCGCCTAAAAAACAAAAACACTTTCAAATTTAGAGTCGTGTTTTGATGAAATAATTTAAATCTAAGTCTTATTTAAAACACTTAAAATTAAAAATTATTTATTTTATTACCTGAACTATTATTGCTGCTGCCCATTTTCAAAAGGTGCCTCCGAGTTGAATACAAAATTTAGAGTTTCTAACGAACTTTTATAAATGAAATAATTTTTTTATGCTTAATTATTGTGGGAAAAAATTTGAAAGTTATATATGAATGTAGGACTCGGTTTTTGACGTTTCGTCACCGCCCCTCCTGTAAATATTCGAGAGCATTTCAAGCTCGGACAACGTTCCGCTACCACCTCTTGATTTCAACTGGCGCTAGTAGGGGTGGATGTACTTAATGCCACCCCACGCGATAAATCCTTCCCCTATTTCAATTATTTTATCTCACTCCCACGGAAAGCGTGTGCGCACTATTGTCCGTTTCCCTCACTATTTCCAAGTACGTAGATCAATTTCCACTTTGATTAACAAAAATAAATGACGGGTTTTTCGTAGAGATTTTAATTACTTTAGACAAATATCATGAAAAAGTAAAAGATGAAAAGTGGGAATATAATTTGAAAAAAAAAAAAATTAAACCGAAAGCACTGGTATGAATATTAAAAAAAAAAAATGAAGAGTAAAATTGTTGATAAATATCGAAAAAACAGTAAGAATTTTCAAATTAAATGTATGCAAAAGAGTTTACAAAAATACCCACAAATTTAAAAAAATGTGTTTATATTTAATTAAAATTAGAAAAAAAATATGTATTTTGAATCAAAATGACAAATCTACTAGGTCAGAATTAATTTTTATCTCATTAAAAAAAATGATAAACATCAAGAAACTCTTATGATCAATCAGCAAAGTTCCATTAGAAAAATCGGTCAGTTAACGAATATTATATTTTTACAATTCAGCGTGAGATGAATAGAGAAAAAAAACTTTTCTTGCTTTATTGAACGAGAGTCAATATTTTTTATTCTGTCGCGAAAAATTGCTACTGGCATTGATGGATGTTATTGTTGATTTTAAAGCGTGTGGGGATTTGTATCTTTTATGTCCGCTGAAAAGAGCAGCGTTGTTATCTATACAAATAGCTTATAGGGGAGGAAGTGGTCACTTTGACACGTTCTGAAATCCATCCCCCCGAATAATTGAAAAGGGTTTGCTCACCGCAAGATAATAAAAAAATGCTACTCATGAATTGCAGATTTCGTTTTCCTCATAGTCAGACAATGTGATGTAAAATTTTGGGCTAATAAACAACAATAATGAGCAAAAAATATATTAAAAAGCATTTCTCAAAAAATAAAATTTTCCACGTTCAATTTGAAACACAAATTAATATTAATTTAATTTACAAATGATACAAAATGAATTTTTTAATTTGAAATGGTTTATTTTCAAAACAACTTAGAAAATTATCAATTAATACAAATTAATAATGAAATTTTACGAAACTTTTTCTACAGTTATTAAAATTACACCTTTAAATACTAAAAATTTTAATCTTAATTATTCTAACTGATACATGGAAACTAATCCTCAAGTGTGATTATTTCTATCGGCTCCTGCTTCAATTTTGCTTCTGGGAGTCTTTTTTGTTCGAATCGGCACATGTTGAGGTGTTGGGCCAGCAGGGAGCTGCAGGGTTGGGCAAAACCACACCTGGAGCATTCGGTCGGCCGAGTGTGGCACTCGTAAATGTCCGAGGTTTGGCACAAAAACAAGCAAAATTGGCACAATTTCGACGAGTCACAAATTTCCCTCTTTTCTTCGAGCTCAGAAAATTCCTCGTCGCTTTCCTGCGAAGACTCGTCGCTTTTTTCCGACAAGCACTCGTGTCTCTTGAACTGGACCAAGCATTCGCTCACGTGCCGACAATTTTCGCAACTGCGTTCGCTGGTGTGTTTGTGCAAACAATCTACACTTGACATGTGTCTTCCGCAACCATTGCACTTGAGAAAATCGCAACAGAGTTTTTCGTGTTGGGAGCAGAGACCCTTGCATTCGAATTGATCTCGGCAGTTTCTGCACGAACGGTGAACCAAGTTGAAGTGGTTAATTTCCGACCTGTAGTAGCGATGGCAAAGCTTGCAGGAAACTCGCTGCTTCCTATTTTTTTCGCTGGGGTGCGATTTGTTTCCTTGAAGCGTCGCCTCACCGGCAGCGGAATCGTCCGGGAATTCAATCAGCGGTAATTCGATTGACATTTCGCTGCTCCCGAGGTTTTCGCTCTTGACGGTGTGAACTTCAAAATCGTTCTTCATTTCAGTCAAGTCTAAAAAAATAAAAAATAAATAATATTAGAATAAAAAATAAATTACCGAATTTCATAAAAAGTATCAAAGTAATCAAGTATTTCATTAAATTTTTATATTCTGGTGAATCTGGTGAAATATTAAAAATTATAATTTAATTTTAAAAATCGAGCAGATAAATCAATTCAATTCATTTATTCTCTCGCAACAAGTCAAAATCAACTAAATATCAAGTATTTTTTTTAAATTTACAATTGTATTAATTTTTTTTAGAACGAAACTTTAAATTATAGTTTTTTTTACTAGCTTTTTTTCCATTATAAAATTTTCATTAGATTTTCATTAATATATAGACTTACATTCTGTTGTGATGCCTTCAATCTCTTGCGATGCCATAGTGAATGTGCTGTTGAAGCGAAAAGAAATTCTCTCAGAAATTGTTATCCGCTCCTCACTCGCAAACCCTTGAATAGACTCTGACATCTTTATAGGTTTTCCTTGTTGTCAGAGGCGAAAAATTTATAAACTGCGCCGTTGAAATGAGTGTGACTGGTCGACTTAAGCGCTCGAAATCGTCTCGCAGCAGTCAGAGCTGTTTGGGATAATATCGCATTCTGTTAAGGAAAATGTCTTCAAAGTAGGGAGGTGGAAATGCAAAGACTTGCCCCCCTCTACGTATAAACAAGAGCCACGTCATTAAAGCTCGGTGATTTTTTTGTCATAAGCAAAATAATAAAAGACCGTCATCGTTAAATTATTAACATTTATTATAATTAAAAAAAAAATATATGAGAAAAAGTTTGAATTGAAACAAGAACATTATACATAGTCTGTTTTTACTCTCCTCAAGTGCCCACTTCATATTGAATTATTATTAATTTTCCTCCTCTCTTGTTATTATGTATCAATGGTAGTTCCTTATTCTTTGCTGGACGATATGATTTGGGATCATTAAAATATTAATGAGAGTCTCAATCAACTTCATGCCTTGATCATATTTTGATTTGTAGAGAGCATAAAAGAAATTTTCGCAAAAATCTTATTCCAATTTAATAAATTATTTAAAACAAATTTAGTAAATAAATAAATCTTTAATTTCTTCAATCATTTTTATTACTTCCAGAAAATTTATACTGTCTATGAAACAAAATCTTTAATTATTTGATGTGTCTCATCATCAAAATATATTTGAATTACATTATTGTGTATATTTGAAAAAAAAATCACAAATATTTTTTAAACTTTTCTGCAAAATAAGACCAAACTAATTTTTTTTGTTCACTTCATGCAAAAAATTGTCCAAGCTTTGAATTAAGTATTGGGAAAGGCAGATAAATCCCACGAGTTTTAAGGGGTGGGGGCGTCATATTGTCCGCGTGGATGATTGGCATGCTCTAAATAAACAGAGATATGCAAATCTGGATTATGTTGCGCATCATATGATTGCTGAATGATTTAAATTGTTATTAAAAGAAGCGAGCTCCCCTCCTGTTGCTTTTGTCCGAGCTACAAGCTGAATTTAAATAGAGATGAGGAAGACCTGTCAATCAAACCGGACGATAAAGTTTCCAACATTACCGCCGTCATGTATTTTATGCTCGAATTCTGGCTCTAAAAATTATCAATCTGAAGAAAAGAATTGTCCTTTTTCATGTTATATTAATAATCTCTTTTAAATTCTGAAGATTGAAAAAAAAAATAGATTCACCTCATTTGTAAAAAAATAAAACAAAAATTGTATTAAAAGTGTAAAAGAAATTGTTGAGTCCATTCCTGATGCGAGCGAAAGTGAAAAAGTGAAGTTAAAAGACATTCCTCAATACGAGTCAAATTTTAATTTTCAAGAAATTGAAATGTACGTTTTAAGAAAAATTGTAAAAGGTCTCAAATCAAAAACTGTGCCAGATAATATCAATGAAAAAGTCATAATTAATTGCTTCCAGGACCTAAAATTCAAACTTCTGGATGTAATTAATACGTGCATAAGGGAGGGAAGTTTCCCATCGTGTTGGAAAAAGTCGATGGTTGTTCCTATTGCTAAGGTGAAAATACCAAAGGAACCCCAGGACTTTAGGCCAATTAACATTCTTCCCTTATGTGAAAAGATTTTGGAAATTGTGCTGCACAATCAAATATCGAAGTATGTTGAAGATAATAAAATTCTGTATGAGCTCCAATCTGGCTTTAGGCAGAGTCACTCGTGCGAGACGGCCGCGCAGGCTGTTCTCTCAGGTTGGCGGAAACATGCAGACGAAGGAAAAGTCTCGATTGTGGCCTTCTTAGACTTTAAAAGAGCGTTCGAAACAATAGACAGAGAGCGTTTAATTTGTAAACTAAAAAAATATGGCTTTTCAGAGAGCAGTCTCAGCCTCTTGAAAAGTTTTCTTTGTGATAGGAAACAATTTACTTATGTAAACAGAGAAAAATCAGTTGATGCTGATATAAATATTGGTGTACCTCAAGGTTCAGTGCTGGGTCCACTATTATTTATACTGTATATCAATGATCTTCCCCTGCACATGCAAAAAGACGTGGTTATTAAAATTTTCGCAGATGACACTCTGATCTCAGCAACTGCAAATACATATGCAGCTGCTGCAGAGATACTAAATAACAACTTAGAAATTCTGTATATTTGGCTTAAGGAAAGTAAAGTCAAATTAAATGTGTCTAAGTCAAAGTGTATGATAATATCAAAATCAAAAAATAAATCAACGAAACTTAAAAATGAAGTGTGCAATAATCCTATTAAAATTGACGGAGACAAATTGGAACTTGTAGAAAAAATAAAATACTTAGGTGTGATCATAGACGAAAATCTCAAATTTGATGAACACATCTCTTA